GTTGAAGGAAGCTTGGCTGGGCTTCCTGTTGATGCCACTCAACGATAGGGAAAGTGCTCTCCATCGAAATGAGATGCAAACGGAGCTCAAATGATCCCGTGTGGCTGAGGCAGCCACCAGCCCTGGGGGATGGAGGGTGGACATCTGGCCAGTGCCATCCCTTCTCGGGGCTGCCCGGTCCTGGCTGCTGGCCGGTGCCGGGGGTCCTCCGCGGGCATGAGCGGTGCCCTGGACAGATGACTGGGTGAGCCATCTGGCTCGGGTGGCGCTGCGCTCTGCTGCACACCCTGCAGACGTGCATCCCAGTCAGGGCAGCTACACACATGAGACTCAGACAAAACGAAAACGTGGGTCCTGTGTGCAAAAATTGGTAAGACTCTCAAGAGGCCAACAGAAGAGCATTGGGTAGGGCTCGGGGTCGTCCTGGAGGCCAGCACAGTCCTGACTGCGGAGCTGCTGCTGGGCAACTCTCGGGACTCAGAGAAGTTGAGCCGTTGGCCCGAGGATGCACAGTCACATGGGCAGGGCTGGTGCCCACAGCCAGTGTGTGATGCTTACCTCAGAAACGTGCTTTTGTGCCTTATGACTGTTTCCTTGCAGCCACAGAACAGGACACACGGTTTTATTTAAGGGTTAAGCTAATTCCCTGATTTTTATTCAAGATTTTCAGAACCTGAAGTCTGTTACTGATTTTGTTTATAAGAGAACTCCAGAGGCAGCAGCCCAGCAAGCAGGGATGCAGCCATGCCTCATGCCCTCGGGCTGCGGATCCTGCATCTGCTCTGCCCCTGTACCCCCCCCATCCCCTGCACAAACCTGCAGTGCTGATCCTGGCGCTGGGGTCTCCATGGGGACACATGGTGCCCATGACTATGGCGCTGGTGGCCACTGTGCCCTCTGTGTGTGTCCCTGTCCTGTGGGGTACCCTGCACGTGCTCACAGTTCCCTGAACGTGTGTTCCCTTCACCACCTTCATGAAGCACCGTGTGCTCTGGGCTCCAGGGAAGAAAGGCCTCTGTGGGACTGTCCTGCACACCAAAGTCACGACAGGTCATGGTGAGCAAAGCGGCTACCCCAACAGGCTCTCAAGTGATAAAAGCTGGGGTGCTCGTGGGGGCTCCATCGCTGAAGCGTCTGCCTGCAGCTCACGTCGTGATCCGGGTCCTGGGATCGAGACCTGTGGGATCCCCGGGAGTCTGCATCTCCCTCTGCCTGCTGCTCCCTGCTCCCCACTCCTGCTCTCTCTCCGTCTCTGGCAAATAAGTAAGTAAAATCTTAAAAAAATAAAAGAGACAAAGACCGGCCGGTCACCACCACGGAGGTCAGAGCTCCTACCACTTGTGTGTGAAAACCTGGCAGCAGGGGTCACTTACACGGATTCTGGGACGGAGAAGGGCCACGAGCTCCCGGGACGCTCGCGTCAGGGGCAGCTCCACGTGGTGACGGCATCTGTCCTTGGCTCGGTCCCCACGTTCCCCCAGTTAATCGAGGCTGGGGCTCTTCTGTGGTCCTCCAAGCACTGAGACCCCTTACAGGGTGGGGACAACAGCACCGTGCTCCTCTGCCTCCCAGTGACGCGGCAGCTGGGCCTTGGAAGGTCCAGCTTTGCTCCCACAATGGCACCTCCTGATCTTACAGATGAGCACAGCCTGGTGCAACAAACTGTCACAGGGCAGACGGTCGTGTCGAGCCGAGGCGATGGGAAGTAGACACGCTCTCTCACTTGGGGCAAGGTTTGCAAGACACTGGGCGTCAGGCGGCAGGGCGCGGGGTCCCCACGAATTGCTGGGTAGCGTCCACGTGCCCTGTGGGGAGGGTACCCAGGCATGGCCTGGCAGTCACCCCGGGTGAGTGAACGAAGTTGGGAGGCTGCGAGCTCAGGGGATGGACCTCATGACAACAGAGCTGAGCCCGGTCAGGGCAAGTGAGCGGAGGCCCGGACCGGAGCCACACCCCTGCCGCGGGGAGCTGCAGCACCTGATCACACGGTCACCCCGCGGGCTCAGCACCCACAGGGTGTAGAGGGAGACAACAGGGAAGGAGGTGAGCTTGGGGGAACAGTCAGCCCAAGCCAAGGCACAAACATTGAACTAAAATAATTGCATCTCTGAATAGATGTCAAGAATATTTATAGGAATACAGAACTATTCAGCACCATGAGAGGGAAACGTAATGACTCCCGGGATCCACTTAGAAGTCTCAGGAGTGCAAAGAAGCAGGAAAATAAGCCCCAAGTGACAGCCAATTAGTCACCTGGGCCGGACCCAGGGCAGACCGAGGGCGTTAGTGCAGCATTATAACCACATCCCACGGGGCCTGAAAGTCCAGTCGAGATGTGGGAGTCGCGGCAGCAGTGCGGTTGAGTAGGTGGGGTGTGAGCAGGTGTGTGAGATGGAAAGTATCTCAGACGGTGCAGTGGCAGGTCAGACATTCCACGTGGGGCACCAGAGACTCCCCAAAGTGAATCAGGAGACAGAGAATGAATAAGCCTAATCCTCAGTGTCCGTGGGGCAGCCTCATGCTTGTGCACTTGGAGCCCCCCAAAAGAGGAGGAAATATCAGGGGCAGGGGTACAGACAAGCATCAGGAAAACAATGGCCAAAGTGCTTCCACATATGATGTAAAGCCAAACTGACAGATTCAAGAAGGCATATGAGCTGCAAGCACAAGGACCCCGCTGGCGAGGAGCAGGAGTTTCAGAAGCCTGGGGGACTGGGTCCAGCGTGGGGGGATGGGGACGGGCCAGGAGCAGGGCACATCCATGGGGCCCGGGTGGTGACACCTGTTCAGGGGCACAGGGCAGTTCAGGCTCTGTCTCTGGAGTGGTGTGTGTGCCGGGAGAGACCATGTGCCCTCTCTGTGAGCCAGGCCCACGGGCGTCCCGTGAATCAGGCAGGTCACTGTCAGGATCTATGTGTTCACTGTGTGTTCAGCCCCCAGGAAGCAGGCGCACATGAGGGTGCATTTCCCGCTTATTCCCGGGGCCTCTGTACAAACACTTCACAGGCGCCCCTCCTTTCTGTCTTTTCCAAAGTCACATTATGGCAGGTTTGGTGCTGGTAAGCCCAATTTCTGTCATCTAAAAATGCAGGTTTTGTTCTTTTGCGTACATATGGCGTTGCTGGGTGTGTGACGCTGGGCTGACAGCTCTTCACCTCCCTCCCTTCTGGCCTAACTGCTGGGGAGGCTGCCCTCCGCCTGCCACTCCTCTGTCGGTGATCTCTCCTTCCGGTTGTTCGCAGGGTCACACTATCCACCATCCGGGAAGTGCTGCCAGTTGTGCACGAAGCCCTGGTACCTCTGCGTTCACATCTTTGGGGAGTTCTGGGCGATCCCAATATTGGAGCGTCCCTTCTCACATCCCGTGTCCCCCTGGAGTCCAGGTGGACATGTGTGAGGCCTGGCCCCACCCTCCACTGCAGCCAGGGCTTCCTGCACATCACCCTCGTGGCCGCATTGTTCTGATAATTTCCTCAAATTATGTTCCAGTCCAATGTTCTCTCTTCAGCTAGGTCTAATCTGGTGTTTAAGTTTGTAACAAGCATATTCATTTCTAAAAATTATATTCAGGCCTTTTGTGTAACTTCCTGATCATTTAGAAAATCCTCTTCTTATTGTCTTTCGGTCTCACATTTAAGTATTTTGTACATCCCACTTACTATTGTGTATTTCTGATTTCTGACATTCCTGGGCATCTGAATCCTCTCTTTACTCTTTGTTGACTCTCACCCATGATGGTCTGTGGTCTTTGGTCATGGCTTGTCTTCATTGATCTTAGACTCTGAGACACCAAGCTTCTCAACTTGGGCCCGTTCAGCTCAGCCGATTGCTGCCTGCCGGGTTCACCTTGGACCCTTGCCCCCTGTGCCCTTTGCTTCTGGCTCAAGGCCTGGTTTCAAAGAAGCCCCAACCCTTCACCACTTATGTCTCAGTTCATCTTTCTCTCAAAAGTTTCCTGGGGGTTTTCGCACTCTGTATAAATACAGGATGCAACAAAATTACATATTTATGACAGCGCCAACTGTTTTGTGGTGAAACTTTCACCATAAAGTCAGAAGCCCTTCCTTTGCGTCACATACCTGGGCTTTGCTCCACGGTTGATCTCATGTGGCCCCCGGCCGTGTCCGCAGCACCCAGCTCCACGTGCAGCTCACACAGCCTGTAGTCCTTGTCAAGACCTGGTTAGTTTCTGACCTGTTTTCTGTTGGAGAATCTTCTGGTGTGTGAGTTTGGGTGGGAGGCCGAGACTACATCCCCTCTAGGAGCCAGAGGATCGTCTCTCAAGGTTGATGTCAGGTCAGGCAGGTGCTGGGTTCTGTGGTCCTGTGAGCCTGTGTGGACTTGGAGGCTCTCAGGACACAAGGTCGGGGCAGCTGCCATGTGGGGGCCATGACCAAGTTTCAAGCATTTGGGGGGAACAAGTCCTGGGAGCCTTGGGGGCAATGCAGGGAGATACAGAAATGGGGAAGGGGAGCCTGGCAGGAAGGGCTGGCCCACCTGGGGAAGGGCCCGCAGGCAACAGGTTCCATCAGGAGGAAGGGTGGAAATGATTACTGCAGGGAGGTCCATGGGTGAGGGCGAGTGTGGTGGGGAGGTGGGCAGGTCCCAGGGAGCACAGGGTGCCTGTTGGAGGAACAGGCATGGAAGGTGAGGAGCCTGGGCCAGGGCCACCTCCTCCAGGAAGCCTGGCGAGCAAGCCTGCCCACGCGGCAGCGGGGGGCTGTGGGTTCAGGCTGGAGCCACAGCAAACTGCTCAGAGAAATAGGTGGCCACCTCTGGGGTCCAGAGAGTTGCTGCCCACATGGGCCGCACTCGGGTTAGCCTCCCAACCTGCCTGCCTGGGAGCTGGGGCAGGGGGATGGGGTGGGCTGGGAGGCCACTTCTGCAGGCCCAGACCTGGCCGGTGCATGCTGGACTTCGGGGCCCAGCGCCGGGTGGCTCAGGCTGGGGGGCAGGCAGGGCACATAAAGACTGCAAAAAGGCTACCTGGCACTCAAATGTAAAATTAACCAAGATTGGTTTAAAGTTTATTGCCAATAAAATTAATTTCTATTATGTCCTGTAATATAACTTCCTGAGAAATCCTGAAGAATTTCCTTAAAAGCTGCTTAAGTTCAAACCTGTTATCAATGCTGCTCGACACAAGTGAGAGCAGCACAGTGGTGGGTCCTGAGTCCTGGACAGCACATGGGTGTGTCTGGAGGCTCCAAGAACTTAGGGAGCCAAGCTGAGAGCAGGAGGGGCCGGGGAGTGGGGTGGAGGGAGGGGACTTCCATGCTGAGCAAACACAGAGCTCTTGGAAGTCTTCTGAGGCCTGGGTCGGGAGGCGCTGGGGTCCTTGCCTCCCAGACTCCCCACCACACTGCCCAGCGCTCCCCTCAGGAGGAAGCCAGGCCGCAGCCCCCCTGGTGTCTGGTGGGGGGGAGGGGACACAAGGGGACCTTCCTTGTGGAATGGTCCTGGGGACTCTCCAGGATGCACTGCCCTCTGCACACAGCGGCCCTGCCAAGCCCTCAGGCTTTGTGATCCCAGGTCGGTGATGGTGGCCGAATGCAGGCTGTGGACTCAGGGGCTTCCTGGCAGGGGGGCCGCAAGGGGAGCCCACTCTTGCCCTGAGTGGGTGGCAGGCCCTCAGCACCCCGGCTGGACAGAGAGGCCCCGGCCTGAGCCACCTCCAGCATCTGTTCTTCAGGTTGGCCGTGCCACAGTGCTGCGGCCCCGGGACGGCCTGCCCCTGCCCTGGCTCCTCGGTGGTGGAGAGGGCGGTGGGCACGGGGCCCTGGACCTGCTGGCTCCCTGGGGGTGCGTCTTCCCAGGACAGCACGTTCTGGCTGTGGTTGGGCAGCAGGTGCAGGAGCATGAGGTTTTTCAGGTTTGACTCCCAGGCAGGGATTTTGCAGGAGGAAGGTTCTGGGGACGGGCATGGCTCCTCAGCGGTGGAGAGGGCGGTGCAGGGGTGCATCTTCCCAGGACAGCATGTTCTGGCTGTGGTTGGGCAGCAGGTGCAGGAGCATGAGGTTCTTCAGGTTCGACTCCCAGGCCGGGATTTTGCAGGAGGAAGGTTCTGGGGACGGGCAGGGGGCTCCTGAAGAGCAAAGGAAAGTCGCAGTGATCACGGGAAAGGGGAAAGGGGGGGAGGTGAGCGCCATGTGTCCTCCCTGTGCCCAGGGGGTGGCTGGCCTCACACTGCAGTCAGGGAGAACAGTCCTCCCCTGCCAGGCTCCCCTGCCCCACCACCCCTGCCCACCCCTGCCTGCCCCACGGCCCCTGCCCCACTGCCCCTACCCCACCATCCCTGCCCCACCATCCCAGAGCCTAGAAAGGAACACGGGGAACACAGGGGGCACTTTCTGTGAGACACATCCCACCCGCGGGAGGGGGTAATGCAGTGCTGTATGTTCACAGGGATGACCTGAGTCACAGCACACGCGAGGACCCCCAGGACCGACCACAGGTGCCCACAGACGCTGTGCTGGGAGACTTGCCCTGCAGTGGCCTCATGGGGGCGTCCCCATGTGGGCCTCCTGTTGAGGCGTCGCGGCAGCCCCACAACCAGTGCTGGGCTCCTGGAGCAGAGGGGGGTGTCTTTCCAGACATCCTCCCTAGCACGGGGCTGACGGCCTCAGGCAGCTGTGGGAGCCCGCGGCCGCCGTCCTTGCTGATGTGACACCAACACCTGCTCGTGCGACGGGGACATCACGCCACATGTGGCTTTCAGCCTGATGACCCGGACGGTGAAGTTCTCTTCCTGTTTGTTGGCCTCCGGATCCTCTCTTCTGTGAGGTGCTTGTCATTGTTAGTCATACTCCTTTACCTATTGTGGATACTAGTCCTTTGTCACTTACAAATGTGTTTCCAGTTTTTGGTGGGACTTCTCACTCTTTGATGAGACCCTTCGATGTATCCAGAAGTCCTTCGTTTCCATGTGGTCTAGTGTATGCCTGCGTCCCTATGTGGTTAGCGCCTTTAAGAAAACCTTACTGCACATATCCTCAGATACGACGAGGACAGAAAGATATACCCAACACTATCTTCAAGTTTCTACAGTTGTCCCTTCATGTCATTAGTCCATGTGAGATTAATTTGTGTAGAGTGTGAGGTAGGGTCTAATTTCATTAGAGTTTTTCCCACGTGGCACCAAACTTTCCAGCAGAATTTATTAAAACCTGCCCAGCCCTGCTCATCAGTCATAAGTCAGCCTTGCCTGAAACTCAGTGTCCGTGTGCTCACAGGTGGATAGGCCCCGGCATCTGCAAGCCACCATGCCGGGCCCTACGGGTAACTCTGCACAGAGGTCTCAAAACGGCGCGCTCGCCGTCCTGAATTGTCCTTCCTCTCCAGGATCTGCACAATCCCACACACACATCAGAAGCAGCTTCTGGGGCTGGTGTCCTGCAGCGGCCACGCTGTGGGGCCTGGTGTCTCCAGGCGTCAGCTCCATAGGCCATGTCTGTCTCGATTCCTTAGGGCTCCTCACAATGTTCTCGTTAAGTTTTATCGTTTTCTCTGCAAGTCTTCCATATCTTTTGTTCAATTTATTCCCAGGGACCTCATTTTTAAAACACTATTGAAGAGTCACCTGGGTGGCTCAGTGGTTGAGCATCTGCCTTCGGCTCATGGTGTGACCCGGGGGTCCTGGGATTGAGTCCCCACAGGGAGCCTGCTTCACCCTCTGCCTGTGTCTCTGCCTCTCTCTGTCTCTCATGAATAAATAAATAAAATCTTTTTTAAAACCTGCTGTTGAACATGGTCTCTTTTCATTTGCTAACATTCCTTATTGATGTAGAAATGCCTACTCCACCTGCATCCTAAGAGGCTTGTCAGCCAGAAAGGGCGCCCCGGGCTAGCAGCCCCACCTTCCACTGGGATGAGGGGAGTTAATCGATAGACCCCGGAAGGGACTCTGTATTGCTGGGTATCTAAAAATACGCATTTTGTCTCTGGTATTTGCTGGTGGACTCAGGGCATATCTAGAATCTCATTCACCATTCCTGGGCTCATCAGATCGTAGGACCTGTGGGTTGGCAGCTAGGGCAGTGCAGGGCTCTCCACCCATAAACACCTCCCCCCATTGCTGGGACAGATCACACCACAGATCTGGCCCAGCTTTGCTCACCAGCCTCCATGTTTGGCCATGGAACCCTCCAGCTCTGGGGTCATGCTCCCAGGTTCCAGCTGTGTTCCATACCGCTAAATGCATCAGTGAACTGTGAGCCCTAAGTTTTGTTTTTTTTCAAATACGCACGTAAATTAAACAGTTTTCTGTTCTCATCAGATGTTTTTCACTTTGCCTTTTGTTTCCCGAAACAATAAGCACAGTTACTCTGCCTTTTGTCCCCGAGCCCCTGCCCCACGTCCTTGTGTGTCTGTGTCTGCAGCCACGTGGGGGGAGAGCGGCTTATTTCTTCCTGGTGCCTCCCAGCACCTGCTAATCCTCAGCTTGAGGAGTCTAGGAATCAAGTCAGGGACAGTCTGTCCTTCCAAGCTGTTGGCAGAGATTTTTCTCAGCTCCCTTCAGCTCTGAGGCTTGAGATGGCTGGTTACTCTTGCATTCCATCAGAGTGACAATCCAGGGATAGCCATTTGAGTCCCAACTTTATGGGATCACCCCCTTGCCTGCCACTCTGGCTGTGCTCTGAGCTTGGTCTTCTGGCTCCCTCCTGGAAAGCTGGGAAGAGTAGCTCCCCAGGGGAAGTGGTGCCCATGGCGGAGTTCTCTTTGGGTCTTTCTGCCTCTGCCCCTGGCCTGAGGATCCCCAGCTCCTCACCAGTCTGGAGCGCCTGCACCCCATGAGTGGCAAGCACACAGCCCCCAGCTGTCAGTCTACCTGGGAGCCAAGCTGCCATGTGAGTGGACCTGAGGCAGGCTCTCTGTCACTTACGCCACTGGTTTGTATTTTATGATCTTAAAACCTAACTTGAGTCCTCTCCAGAACCATAGAGAAAAAAAACTCACCCTTTCAGCCTCTACCTCCTTTTCTAGGAGCTACTGATTCCATGCCACAGGCATGGTAAGAGGCCAACATTCTCAAGCACCGTGTACTCTGAGGGGAGGCGTTACTGTGGTAAACATCTTCGATGAGGTAGCGCTGTTCAGAAGCACCCCGCAAGGATCATGTGGGCAGACAGTGACATCACTGGGCACTTTGGCAGACAGCACCTGGGTGGCCGGGTCTGAGCTTCTACAGAGCCCCTCAGCCCTTCTGTTCTAGTGCTCATCAAACTGTCTGTGGCCCTTGCTCTGTGTGCACACTAGTGAGTTGGCCACCACTGCTCTCTGGGGTCCACAGCTCAGACCAGTGGTCACACAGAGGACGTCCAGGGCCAGCTCCCAGCCGATGCCTCTGCTAGGTGTTGGCCCCACCTCTTGTATCTGCAGAGCAGGAGGCAGGTGAGCATGGGATGTCAGGCACCACCTGTAGATGTTCTATATGAACTCAAGCTTGTCCTCTGTGTCACTGAGAACACAAGTGTCCCACCCGGGATCGTCCATTGGTGATCTCTCCTTTTTTTTTCCCACAGAAAATATTTAACTCTTTAGAGAGTCAAACTTGGGTTGATCTGAACACCCAAAACATGGGTATCTTACCTGAAGCTGAGTCCACAAATTTGGCACTGTCTCCTCTCATGGGCTGCCTTATTTCTCCTTATTCTTCCTTTGAAACCTGCAGAGAGAGAAATTACAGGGGATATGGATGCATCTGTTATGCTGCCAGAGGCGGCAAATGAACGTGGCTGTGCCCCTGATGAGCTCTGGGACCCAGGCAATCACCTTGCCACCTGAGTTCAGAGCACTCACTTCCATGTGTGGCTGCTGACACAGTTGTACTGAGGGGAATGCTGGCTTCTCACGATGGAGACAAGTGGTGCTCTGCCTAATGAGCAGGAGGGTCTCAGCCCATATGGTACTGAGGAAGGGGCAACAAGGACACAGCACAGGCCATCTCTTACCTGGTGCCTTCCCTGCACAACTCTGCTTGCTGGTGGTGAGTCTTGGCTCTCCAGGAGCCCTGGTGTCTTCACACCAGCTCCTGAAAGCAGGCAGCTTATTCTCTGACCTTGTGTTCCCAGGCCCTGCCATCAGGTGACCTATCACCCCATTCACATGGGTGGGCAGCTAGGAGGGGAGGGCATGGTTCTTACCAAAGGGCCAAGGATGGTGCTCATTCTAACTTTCAGGGCTGCACACAGCAGGAACCAGACACTGCACTGTGCACAGTTTGCCCCTGGAAGTTCTGAAAGACCTACAAGTACAAGTGTCTCTGGGAGACTTCTAAGTTTGTAGAGTGCAGCAGTCCCCCTCCCTGAGCCGGCACCTGAGAATTACAGTCAAGATACAAACTGATGCTGAATGAGTAAAGATCTAACTTTATAGGAAATGAAAGGGAAGCCCTTGCTGATGATGAACGGCCATTCCCTGAAGAAGTGAATGGGAAGACTGTAGAAAGCCGAGATTTGAGGGATGTGCTGTTGGGATGGGCAGTCCTTCAGGGGCTCCATCATAGAGTCATGGGCACCAAGGTGGGAGCAGGGCTCTGACAGGTAATAGGGGTGCCACAGCAGCCAGGTGGGTGACTGCTGTCATCAAACTTCTCAGCCCATGGGTAGTAGTAGGGCATCCACCACAGATGGCCACAGAGGGGACAGCAATCCTGGTTGAGGCAGGATGTGAGAGAAAAACCCACAGGAGGTGCTCAGGAAGTGAAGGTGATCACAGTATTACTGAAAATACAGGGAAGCACACTATCTGTTTAGAATGAAGGTGAAAACACCACAGAGCTTGGCAGTGTAACCATGGAGGGCAATGGTGAGAAATCTGGGGAAGGTAGTGACTCCTGTTTCAGAGTGTGTCTCAGCAGCCTTCACTGGAGGACAAAGTGGTGGAGCAGGAAGCACGAGAGGTCAGTCCTCCACAGAAATAACCACTATGTGGAAGCGCACCATCAGGGTCAGCTCTGGAACTGGACAAGCACAGTGACAATGTGTAGCACCAGGGAAGGGGCACACCTTGTCCCTCCTGAGTGAACAGTGTGCGAGCCAGCAGCCATCCATCCTCAATCCTCCGGGGGCTGCAGGAGAACAGCCCTTTCTCCTGGAGCAGCCAATGCCTGGGCAGACAGCAGGAGCTCCATACTCCAGAACCTATGCATTGTGCCTTTTGGTTGGTCTGGTCGTGCCCTTGGGGGTTGGCATAGGTGCTCTCTTGTCCTGGCCATATTGGCAACAATAGCTCCCTTCAGGGGCATTGATTGGATCATTTATTCCCCTATTTTCAGCCTGACATTTAAGGAAATCACTGGCTGACCACACAGATAATTAGAGAAACTTCACAACAAGAAATACACACTTCACAGAAGTAGTTTGGAAGAGTCACAAATTGATAATTCAAAAACCTAAATGATCCCTGAGCAAGGGGAGAATCTGATGTCCAGACCTAACACATTGTAATACTCAGAATAACCAGTTTTCAACAAGAAAATCATAAAACAGACAAAGAAATAGGAAAATATGATCTACTCAATGGAGAAAAAGAATTTGACAGAATTTCCCGGAAGACACCCAAACATTTGAATTAGTAGTCAAGGATGTTAAATCAGCTGTCTTAAATGTGCTCAGTTAGCCAAGGTGAAGAACTAAAGGAATTCAGGAAAATACTGAAAGAACAAAAAAGAATATCAATAAAGTGTTAGACATTACAATAAGGAACCAAACAGAAATTGTGCCACTGAAAAGTGACACACCAGTCACTAGTGGAGTCCACCATGTGTAAGCAGGAGAAGAAAGGATCAGTGAGCTTGAAGACAACTGAAATTATCCAGTCTGGGGACCAGGGAGAAAATGGAATGAAGGAAAATGAACAGAAGAGAGAAAAAAGTATCTGAAGAAACGCTGGCTGCACACTTCCCAAATATGATGGAAGGTATGGATCTGCATGTCCAAGGTGCTCAACTGATGCCAAGCAGATAAACACAGAAGGGTTCAGAGTGAGGCACGGCACTGCCAGATTTTCCGAACCCAGACAGGATTCTGAAAGCAGAAAGACAGAAATGGTTTATCCCGTACTAGGAGCCTCAGTAAGACCAACAGCTTATTCTCCCCAGAAACCATGGAAGCCAGAGGGTACATGTCCTGTAAGGTAAGGAAAATAAAATCTGCCAAACTAAGAATTCTAAATCCAACAAAACTGTCTTTTGAGGATAAAGAAGAAATCAAGACATTTTTAGATAAATAAAAGCTAAGAGAATTCATGAACAACAGACCTTTCCTATAAGAAATACTAAAGGGAGCATTTGGGGCTAAAATGGAGGCTTTACACAATAGAAGAAGTAAAGAACTGATAAAGATAACCACACATGCTAATATATAATAAGCCAGGATTATTGCACTTTGGTTTGTAGTTCCTCTTCTCCATGTGATTTAAAAGGCAAATTCATAAAACAATAATTATAAATCTTTCCTAATAGGCACACAATGTGTAAAGATATAATCTGTGATGTTAATAATATAAAAGAGGAGGGCTGGAGATGTAGAGGATCAGAGTGTTTGTCTAGTACAAACACTAGTTAAGTTGGTATTATTCGACTCTTAAAAGTTTAAGATGTTGGGGCAGCCTGGGTGGCTCAATGGTTTAGTGCCACCTTCGGCCCAGGGCGTGACCCTGGAGACCCGGGACCGAGTCCCATGTCGGGCTCCCTGCATGGAGCCTGCTTCTCCCTCTGCCTGTGTCTCTGCCTCTCTCTCTGTGTCTCTCATGAATGAATAAAATAAAATCTTAAAAAAAAAAGCTTAAGATGTTAATTGTAATCTCTAAGGTAACCAGTGAGAAGATAACTAAAAAATATAAGGAGGAAGAAAGAGGAGAACAAAAATGACACGGTCAGGGCACCTGGGTGGCTCAGTGGTTGAGCATCTGCCTTTGGCTCAGGGCCTGATCCTGGGGTCCTGGGATTGAGTTCCGCATCAAGCTCCCTGTGAGGAGCCTGCTTCTCCCTCTGCCTGTGTCTCTGCTTCTCTCTCTATGTCTCTCATGAATAAATAAATAAAATCTTTTTAAAAAAATGGCACAGTCTGCAAATTCAACTAAATACCAAAAAAGGCTGTAGTGGAAGCATTGTGGAATAAAAAAATATATGGGACATACAGCAAACAAATCAGTGGGGAACAGACAGTCTATTTAATGTTTGGTGAATGCAGCTGGAACAACAGAAACCCACATGGAAGAGATGAAGCTGGGTCCCTACCTCACACCAAACACACCAGTGAACCATAAAGGTGAGAACTCAACTCTCAAAATTGAATGTTGAAAACTTGTAGATGACTTTCTTTTAGATGCTGGAGTTAAAGATTAATCAAGACCAAAAAGCATTATCTTTTTTTTTTCAAAAAGCATTATCATAAAATATGTACAAATGTGAGTATATTGAAAGGATGGTTCTGGGTCATCATATGTCAGTGAAGCTAAGCAGGAGTCCAAGTGCTCTGTGACACTCTATCTGTAATTCACCCAACTAACGAGGGGTCTGTATCAAGAATATATAAAGAATTCAAATAAATCTGTAAGAAAAGCAGAAAGAGCATGACAGGAAAATGGGCCAAGGACAAGAGCAAGCACTTCCTGTAGGAGGACACGTACTTGGCCAGTGCACAAGCGGTGCCATAAGTCTTAAGGGAAAGGCTGGGAGGACAGGGAGCCACCGCCTGCACCCCTCAGGTGCTTCAGGTGCTGGGGGGTGGGATATGGACCGATGGGGTTTCACAAACACTTCTGTGGGGGTGCAGACCACACACACCCTTTAGAAAGAGGCCCCTACAGGGGCATCTATCCTGTGCACACACAGCTGTGGGAGCAGTGGTCACAGAGGGCAGGCACGCACACTCACAATTGTCTCGACATCTATTAAGTGAAAAGGTGATTCTCCCAAAGTCCAGACATACACACTGTCCCTTCCATGAGATAAACAGTAAGCAGTGAATTGCATGTATTTTTCAGGAATATATTTAACCTGAAACACAAGTACAAAGAGTGTAGCCAGGGCCACAGACCAGGGGCCACATCAGGACCCTGCCTGTTCCTGGGCAGTGGGTACTTTGGCACCAAAAACACATAAAATACTGAGTAAACTGAGAAATTAGATCATGCAGAGGTCAATGATGAGTTTGTCTCCCAGACAAGAGTTATGATTATTGCACACCAGGGTCTAAGACAATGCGGGGGATGGGGGCCACCAGGCAGCAGTGCTCACAACCTCTCACAGAGTCCTCACGTATCACACCCTGAGAGTGACAGCCACGCCTTCACCCCCTCATGGAGACCCCAAGACTCAGGCGGCAAGTGGTTCACAAACCTGCTCTGGGATGTGGAACCAGTAACGTCTCCAGGGCATAATGAACCCAAGTCCACCTGTACCACACGAGACCTGTTCCTTTCTAACCACTTGGCTGAGAGCTACAGACACTGGGGTCACCCATAGAGGGGCGTGCCTGGTGTGCAGCCAGGGTCAGACATGGGTTCTGGACCGAGCCTGAGGCAGACAGAAGGCCCCACGCCGGGGTGTGGACCTGGTGCCCGTGCAGGGCACAGGATGTCCAGGCCGGGGTGTCCTGAGCCTCTTGCTGCTACAGAAATGACTCAGGCCCCACGGGCTGGGAGCGGTGGGCAGTCCCGTGAGTACAGCCCCACTCTGCCAGGGTCTTTGGGCACCTGCTAGTGTGACCAGCACTGTGCTGCACCTGCCTGACCCCTGCCTGGCTACACAGGCCACCCACATCCCGTCCCGGGGCCACCCATCCTTTATCTGAGGCTTCCCAACTCCAGCCCATGTGTGGCTCACATGCTCGCTCACATGCCCAGTGTTGACCATCCGTCACACACCCCATCTGCTTCTACAGTTACTCTCCAGCACCAACTATGACATACCAGAGGTTGGAAGGATGGCACAGAGAGCACCCCAGAAATGTCACAGAGCGTCCTGCCCTCCATCCTCTACCACATGGTGACACTGGCATGTGGCACCAGAGAGAGCATCGGGGCTTGGCCCAGGGACACCTGGCTGGGGACTCCATCTGCTTCTATCTGGTGCACATGGGCCCCATGTCAGGAGCACAATGTGCCCCTTGCTGCCCTTTGAGCAGCGTCCCTGACACCTGGGAATTGGGGAGCACCGGTGCAACGAGCATCCAGAACACGGTGCCGACCTCTGCTCTGGGGGGCCCCCGTCCTGCGGTGGGCTCTCATCCCTGCATCTGAGCTCAGTCATCGGCAGCCCCAGCTCACCTTGGGCAGCAAGGAGTTCTCCGGGATGGTGCTAGAGGCAGAATTCAGGCTTGTAGACCCTGACACCGACAGGAGCACCTTCTGCCTAGGTCTGCTAGGTGGGTGGAGAAGGAGAAACATGTGAGTGAGGAGGCCCCACTCTGGGTGAGCGCAGGGCGGGGACCCTGCAGGCGCACAGGTCATGGGGGTCTCCCTGCTGGGGTCCCCTCGTCTGCAGCCTCAGGGACAGGCAGCAGCTGGGGGCCGCTGAGGCTGAGGTCCTGCAGAACAGGCAGGAGGGCCTCTGGCAAGGACTCGCTTCCTCTGCCAGCAGGATGGTCAAGCAGACAGAAGTAGCTGCCAGTGTGGGCTACGTCCTCCTCACATGCTCATTCTGTCAGCTGGGTTCTATCGCTAGCGAGCTGAACACCCCTGACAGACAAACACGCCAGAAAGTCTGTGTGACGGGTTCCCGGCGACACACGCTGGTGACTCCTGTCCTCCGGGGCTCGGGCTGGCTGTGCTCCCCGCCAGCCTGGCTGCTGCAACAGCAGGTGAGGCCCAAGGAACGGGGGTCAAGGGTGTCTAAAGCGCCAAGTGGTCACTCGATCCAAACTGCTAGGTTACCATAGAAACACTTCTGGCAACAAAAAAGGACTAATAGGGTTTTCGCTGCCCCATGACCCAAGCTGCTGGGGTGGAAAGAAGGAAGTCCACACGGATCAGGGTGATGCCACGCCCTGGCCGGTCAGACGACCTCAGGGACCTCACGATGTGTGGATGTCTGTCTCAGGTGAGAGAATAGCTTCCGTCACGTCCCCTCCGATATCCCGTCCGCATTCCCGTCCACGTCCCCAGCATGGCTACCTGACTCCACTGTCAGCACATGACCTTCGTGGTCACAGCAGGCCCAGCCAGAAGCCCAGGCCAGGGCGTGGAGGCCAGGGGTGTGGCAGGGCAGGAGGGGAGGACAGCACGGGGCGGTGGGGTGGGGTGGCAGGGACATTACCTGAGGGCCAGAGAGGGGCCTGTGTGTCTGGTGGGTGACATTCGAGTAAATGACTCGCCCTTTGTATTTTTATTTTAAATTGCATTAAATGGCACTGAATGAAGGCTACCAAGTCCACGCACGGCTTAGGACACTATTTTCACAGGACCACCCTCTTAAGGACAAAGGGAGCCGGCACTCACTGCGTGCTGCACGCAGCACTCCAGGAGAGGACAGCCTGTGGTGGCTGCAGAGCTTTGTTGTGGGGACAGAAGTTGGGAGGCTCCGCAGATCTTACAGTCTGTCAGCAGCCACTGTCTGCCCCCGCAGCCCAGGGTGGAAAGGCTGCGTGCTCCTTGGGGGCCGGGGCGGGGGGGGCGGCCACAACTTCAGCCCCGAGACAAGGAAGGAGCAAAAGGACAACGCCGCTACACTCACGACCTGCACCTGTACGGGCCGCAGGACCAAAATAAAGGGGCGCCACCCGGACCTACGCACGGACGCACGGCCCTTGGGAAGGACGTAGAGCAGCAGTACTGTGACTGTCCGAGGAGAGCCGGTGTGATGAGCCGCTTGAGCAGCCATCCACGTCTGTGAGGTCGGGGGAAGCAATTCTGTCTTCTAATCCATCCCCGCGGCGTTGGGAAGTCTCCCACCCAAGACTGTCTCCCTCAGGAATGGTGGGTAGGGTGGGACTCGGCTATTTCCAGGCAGGAAACCCCCCAGGACACTCACACACTTACCCGAGTACCAACACAGTCGGGTTACCATCCGCTTCCTGTGAGGGTGTAAACGAGGATTCATAGCATGAGAAACGAAGGTGTGCTTGACGTGAGCTTCTTCTTACACAAAATCTGTCCATTATTAGCTCGTTTTGAGCAAGGGTGCTTGGGCCCTGGGTCCAGGGAAGGGGTCCCTGCGGGAGAGTGCCTCCCTCCCGGTGCCCCGACCCCTGGGCACCCTGAGGGCACCTGCTTGGCGGTGGGGCCTGTATGGAGGGAGCACACTGAGTGAGGCCATCAGGCAGCCAACCTGTGACAGGTTTATGCGCAGGCAGCGAGGATGCAGGTGCACAGAGGAGAGAGGCCCCAGAAGAACCCAACCTTGACACCTGGACCTCAGACTCCCAACCTACAGATGGTGAGATCCTCTGTTCCTCACTGAAGCCGCAGTCTGTGCCAGGGGTTGGCAGCTGCAGGAGCTGGTGCATCATGCCACCTCTGGGGAGCACCCAGGGTAGGACGCGCTCCTGTGAGGCCTGCTCATTTCCATAGAGGTACTGCCTGCTGTGTGCCAGCATGGCATCACCTCCATTCCCACTTCCACCCTACCACAATGGACGGACACAACTCTGCTGACCAGCTCCAACCAGCTCTGACCAGCTCCGACTAGCATTGACCAGCTCCGTCTAGCTCTGACCAGCTCTGATCAACTCTGACAGCACATTCTTGGTGCTGCTCCATTCTAGGTGGGTGGTTGTGGCCCCTTCCTGTTGCTGTAACTTGCTTTCCTGCCATCTTGAATGATGCTGAGCATCATGTAAGTTTGTTGAAATCTAACCCTAAATTTTGATGAAGTCCAATGTATCATTTTTTTCTTCTTTAAATTTTAAATAATTTAGAATTATTTCATATATTTTTACTCTAAGAATCACGTGAATATACTTAATACTCTAGAAAATAGAGAAAACTAAAACTTACCCAGAGTTCCATATTCCTAATATATTTCTCAGCATTTTCCCATTAATCTTTATTTCCCCATTTATAGGATTTGTTTTTATTTTATACAACTGCAAATTTTCCATAAATGTAATTTTATACTGCTTTCCCCTACTTATTATATCATAAGCATTTCAAAAATGTTATTATAGGGGCACCTGGGTGGCTCAGATCATGATCCTGGGGTCCTGGGATGGATCCTCACATCGGGCTCCCAGCTGACTGGGGGAACCTGCTTCTCCCTCTCCCTCTGCTGCTTGTGCTCGCTCTCTCTCAATAAATAAAATCTTTTAAAAAAGATATGATATAGTTTTCATAGCCAGAATCTCCAATGGCTCTGTCATCTTTCAGAATTGGATATTCAGCCTATTTTGCTTAATAACTCACCTGATTTGGGATTTTTAGATTGTTTCACATTTTTCATTATTGCAAATGATGTTATAGTGAACATCTCTGCATAAAGTTTTGCCCACATTTATAACTGACTCCTTCAGGTAATAATATTAAACAACTGAGCGCTTCCTAAGTACTAGCTACTCTACTAAGTACATGGATTATCTTCACTTAATCTTTACAAAACACTTATAGGAAGATAATTTTATTGTCCTCCTTTAGATGAGGAAACCAGCAAAGACAAATGAGGTTCCCACCCAGGGTTACAGGCAGAGCTAGACTGAATCCAGGAATCCTGCTGTCTGTTTTCATTCTCAGGGGCACATGGGTCAGAATTTCATCAACAGATTGACTTAAAAACTAACCCTATGATCGTGCACCTCATGGTAACTGTGCACCAGATTGAGCATCTCACACACACACACTAGCAACCACTTGAGATGATGAGGTGTTGACCAGACCTTCCACAATAATCCTTGGTGCTGTATTTAGTACTTTCGCTATCATAGCAAAGAAACCTTTGCCTAACACAAGATCACAATTTATAATTTCTTCTAAAAGAGTTAAGGCTTTACCTCTTAAATTCAAGTGTATGATCAGTTTTGAGTTATTTATATAGTTGAAGTATGGTATTAAGTTGTTTATATTTCAAAGTGGATATCCAATTGTTCCAATTCCATCTGTAAAAATTTTCATTTTTCCCCAATGGACTGACTTGGAACCTTTGTTGAAAATCGACTGACCACAAATGTAAAGGTTTATTTCTAAAATTTTTACTCTACTACATTGACTTATATGTCTATCCTTATCCTAGTACCACACTGTCCTGAGTCCTGTAGCTTTTTAGTAAATTTTGAAGTCAGGTTGTATAATTCTTCCAGTTTTGTTCTCTTTTCAAAATTGTTCTGGCTACCCCTGATCCCCTGAATTTCCATACACATTTCATGATCAGCTTGTTGATTTCCTTAGAAAGAAAGAGCCTCCTGGGAATTTAATAGGGATTGCACTAAATCTACAGATTAGTTTTGGGGGAAAAATGCTATCTTAACAATATTAAGTGTTCCAATCCATGAACACTGTATATCTTTCCATTTATTTTAAATGTCTTCAATTTCTCTCAGCAATGATTTATAACTTTCAGTATTTAGATTTTACTCCAGTCTTGTTAAATTTATTATTTTTAAAAATATTGTTAATGGAACACTTAATATTATTTCCAGTTTAACTTTTGCCGAATATAGAAACACGATTGAACTTGTTATTTTTTTTTAAAGACTTTATTTATTCTTGAGAGACACAGGGAGGGAGAGGGAGAGAGAGACAGACAGACATAGGCAAGGAAGAAGTAGGCTTCTTGCAGGGAACCTGATGTAGGACTCAATCCCAGGACTCTGGGATCACACCCTGAGCCAAAGGCAGATGCCCAACTGCTGAGCCACCTGGATGTCCCTAAACTTGCTATTTTTTAATAAGAAAGTCAAAGGAGACTTTTTTCTTTTTTGAGAGAGAGAGAGACAGAAAGGATGGAGGGGGGCAGCCCAGGTGGATCAGCAGTTTAGTGCCACCTTCGGCCCAGGGCATGATCCTGGAGACCCAGGATTGAGTCCCACATCAGGCTCCTTGCATGGAGCCTGCTTCTTCCTCTGCTTGTATCTCTGCCTCTCTTTCTTTCTCTCTCTCTCTCTCTCTCTGTGTGTGTGTGTGTGTGTCTCATGAATAAATAAAAAGGGAAAGGGAAAGGGAAAGGGAAAGGGAAAGGGAAAGGGAAAGGGAAAGGGAAAGGGAAGGGTGGAGGGAGAGAGAATCTTAAGCAGGCCGCACACCCAGTGAGGAGCCTGACAACCAATCTGACAGGCTGAGCCAATCTGGCTCAATCTGACAACCCTGAGGTCATGACCTGAGCCAAAACTGAGTTTTTTTTAAAACAACTGCTTCCGGGATCCCTGGGTGGTGCAGCGGTTTAGCGCATGCCTTTGGCCCAGGGCGTGATCCTGGAGACCCAGGATCGAATCCCACATCGGGCTCCCGGTGCATGGAGCCTGCTTCTCCCTCTGCCTATGTCTCTGCCCCTCTCTCTCTCTCTCTCTGTGACTATCATAAATTAATTAATTAATTAATTTAAAAAAACTTTAAAAAAAATAAAAACTGCTTCCATTCCAGATAATGGCAAATTACATAAAACATTTCTAGGTCAACTAAGGCAACTAAGAAGCTCTGACTTTGACCACAGCTGAAGTGATTTCCTGGGATGGCTGGTGGGAACTCTGATTTCGTTGAAGATAAATATCCCAGAGCCTACTTTAGCTCTAGCTATTTTATTACTAGTTTTTTTGTTTTGTTTTTGTTTTTGCTTTAGAACTATGTTGTCTGCAATCAACACGGTTCCACTTTCTATTCTTTATTCCTTTTTCTTGTTTTATTTCACTGGCTGGGACTCTAGTACAATGTTAAATAAAAGCAGTGAGTGTGGACATCCTTGCTTTGTGCCCAGTTGTAAGAGGGACAGTATTCAATCTTTCACTAGGAAGTTAGTTCTAGTTCGTTGTCAAAATGAAGAGCTTTTCAATTCTTTCCTAATTTGTTGAGAACATTTTTTTTTTATCATGAATGACAGTTTCTCACTGGCATCTTCTTTTTCTGAATTGACATCATTATATTATTATTGTCCTTTATTGTTAATATTTAGTATGAGGTCAATTGGTCTTCACACAGTGATGGTATTTAATCCTGTGTGTTGCTGGATTTGGTTTGCTACTACTTAGTCAGTGGTTTCTGTATTTTCTTGAAGGATCTTGCTTCATGGTATTCTCTTGTGATGACATTGTCTGGCTTCGGTATCAGGTTGAAACTGGCCTCACAGAACAGGTTTTCCCTCTGTTTACTGAGAGAACATGTGTACAGCTGTCGTTATTTTTTTTTAATTCAGTAGAATTCAACAGTGTAGCTATCAGGGCTAGGGATTTTCTATTTTTTATTGAGTTGGGTTTGCTAATTTGTGTAAATTGACTGGAAAGGTAACTACCTTTCTTAAGTAAGAATGCATTTTTCAACTTTGGAAGTTTTAAGTCAAATATAGAAAAGTTCAAGAGACCCAAACCCATGCTATTACTTCTGCTGCATTAGAAAACCATATATGCTTACGGTTTTGAAAAGCAGAAGAGAATGTGTCCTGGTCGTGAAGTGGGGAGGGTTTGAGCCATTGAGGTCTCAAAGCTCTGCCCACACTTCAGAGATGAGCTCAGCCTTATTTAATCTTAGCCATCAAAGTGGGAATGATCTGTCTCAGATAATCCATAGAGGGATTAAACATGATGATGGATGACAAGTGTCCAGCAGAGTGGCAATGAATGGTCACGGCTGATTTGGATTCTTGAGACAGGATGGGAATGAAGGGTCCTGAGACTGCTCTACCACACGTTCTAGAGATGAGCTTCAGCCACATGCTGGAGAAGGCTTGAGTACATTCACCTGGACACACACTACAACCAGGTGGGACACCCGGTCAACACCTGCATGGTCATCATGTCTTTGTTTCTCCAGATCCGTCCTTCCTGTCATTCAGAAGAAGCTGTGTGGCAGCCACCACCCAAGAGGAGACGACAGGGGTCGGGTACCAGTGGATGCTGTAACCACCACTACTTGTACCTGGGATTGAGTGCCACCCTGGTTTCTGTGTATGTAAGGTCTATATGTGTCCCCTGCAGTGGACTGGCAGGGGGAGTCATGCCATATTGTGTTGGCCATGGTTTAAGCTGTGACTCGGCCTGTCACAACCAGTCCCCACTCAAGACCAGCCTCCAGCATCTCCAACATGGAACTCTGAGCCCAGGCTGTGTAATGGCACAGTGGACTGGGTGCATCCTTCTTCCCCACTGACCTGGGGGATGAATAGGGGAGCCCTTCCACTGAGACAGGAGGTGGGCTGCTGAGACCCTAGGGGACATGCCAGAGAATCCTGCCAGGAGCCTGCTGGAGTGCTGGCTGCAGATGCCCACACACATCATCCAAGCACACCTGTGATGCATCTGTTCCTGTGACAACACCCATTCTTCTATCTTCTTCTCTGCTCATCCACCTACCCCGCTGCTTACAATGTCTGTGTCGTTCACCTTATTTCCCTTGTGTTCCCCTCCCACCGTTGTCTCTGTTTGAGCCGAATCCCTGGGAACACTATAAATGCTTTAAACCAGCCAAACAAGTAATTCCAAATACTGCCCTACCCTGGGTTCCTGGGGGGAGGCTTAGACCCTAGGTCGGCTCTCACCTTTGTATTTGAGGCTTATGCACAGTTGCCTCTCACCTACCTTTAGCCACGAGTTCTCTGAGACTGTGGTGGTGGAGCAGGCCTGACGTGAGTGCAGGTCTGGCAGCAGGAGCTCCTTAGACTTCACTCTGACAGGATGGGGCAGGAGGAAGGGTAGACACATGTCAGCAAGGCAGGGAATGCAGACGGCTGCTAAAGCCATAGGCCACATCAGCATTGTGGCTCCTTCCTGCAATTTCCCTTTCTTCTTCAGCCCCTCTATCCCTTGCGCAGGGGGAGATGCCAGAGAAGGGGCGGGGGGAGGGGGGGTTGAGGAGCACCTGAGGGGAGGGGCTGCAGAAGCAGCAGGGGTGGGTGGTGCCGTGTGCCCCCTGGGGTCAGGAGGGGGTTGAGGGGAAGGAAGAACAAGATCTGTAGGAACTACCACGAGTCATGGTGTGGGTCAGAGACAGAGCTCGTGGGTCACTCAGGTAAATGCAACTGTGGACGTGGGCCAAGCAGTGTCCACCCATGAGCTCATACTGTTGTCAGTGGGGGACTTTCAGATGCAGTCGGACAGCATCACCCCAGGGCCGAGGCCAGCCCTCAGTCCAGGGACTGGGATCCTTACAAGAGGCTAGAGCACAGAGATGCAAGGGGAGCCTCTGCTGAGGCTGGAGGGGTGTGGCCACAGGCCATGGGCCCCGGGGGGGCCCCCCAGCGGCTGCACAAGACGAGGTCCTTGGTGTCGCCCTTTTAGCCTCCAGACTGTGAAAGAACCTGTTTCTGCCATGTGAGCCACTCAGTGAGGGACTCTGCTGCCTGGACCTCCACCACCACGACAGGATGATGCACAGTTACCCGGAGGGCCTGCTGTGTCATTGGCTTCTTTCCACACAGACCAGGGGGAGAATGATGCAGTCAGCCCGCAGTCGCTGACCCACAGGCTGAAGGTGACAGCATGAGAACACACGACTTCTATCAGTATCTCAGATGAGCCTACAGGTGCATTCTCAGCCAGCACCTCCCGAAATGAACGCACCCCTGGCCACACACTGGGCACTGTCCCATGGGGCAGAGAGGCCCGTTTCACTGGCTGGAGACTGTGAGAGGGTGACGGTGTTGGGAGCCCCTCTGCGGTGCAACTACAGAGGACAGGGCACCTGGCGAGGGGCGGTGGCGTGGAGCTCTGGCTTCACATGTGTGGTCCCTTCCCCTGTCACGTTCCGCCCTGTCTGGTAGTTTCTGTAGAGCCGCGTGGAACGTGCTCTGCCAGGCATGCAGTCGAGGTGGTCCAATGGCTGGCCCAGATGGTGATTACGGCCAGCCCACGAGTCCATCATCTGACTGCACAAGCATCTCCGCCTTTTACACACACACTGCTGTGAGCGTCAAGAGGTTGAGACAAATCCTGGTCTCCAGACACAAGTCTGGCCTGCTAGACAGGAGTGACCTGGAGGCTGTGGGCACATCCAGCCCTAGTCACCCAACGAACACTTCCCATCATGGAAAACGGCTGCCCCTGACTCGTGGTCGCCACATCCACGGGACTCAGGGGCTGACCTAGGTCCTCACATATTAAACACTAACCCGAGACCGTGTTGCAAATGACAAGATCCTGATGAGAAACAGGGTACACCTTCCAGATGAAGTCTGAACGCAGGCCACTTTCTTTAACAGAACAAGCTTCACAACACATGGGGTTTTAAAAGCAGGCTCCTGAAGAGCTGTAAATGGGCTTGTCACTGTAGACAAGAGGACGTTAAGTGCGTGATGCACAGAAATGATGTGCGGGACACTTGAAAGCTGGCAGCCAGAGTGCCAGCGAGGACACAGGCAGGTGGAAGAAGGAAGGATTTCCATCCGCACACGGACAGTGTTTCTAAGCTCCAAAGTTTCTATATGAATACTCACTGGTGTGCCATCCTGAGACAAAATTTAAGATGGAAATTTATGATCTGGTTCCTTAATTTTTCAATCATTCTTGCTAGAAAGGGACAAAATAGGGAATGTGCAGGGACATGAAGAGGAAGTCACCGTCTACACACCAAGAAGAGAGGCCATGATGGCCCCATGACTTTGCCGACACCCTGATTTCAGGCTCCAGCCTCCAGAACAGTGGGACCAACGTGTCTGTAGCCAGCTGCCTCCTTGGTGGCCCTCTGTGATGGCGGCCAGGGCAAAAGGAGATGCTGGCCGTCCTGTGAGCACCTGTCTTGCTTCGCGATGCCTTTTCACAGCTGCAGTTTCAATGTGGAGACACTCACTCTGGATGGTGAACTTCACCACTGGCCACTTTCTGCCTCCGTGACCTTGCAGGGGACACAGTGGTGCACGCCTCGTGCGCATGCGTGCAGTGCCCCAGGGACGGGTTGTCCTCGTCTACACTGCACACTGACTCAAGGCAAGGAGGACTGGTGCTCGAAAATAACCAGGTCTTATCAGAGGTCATGAGGAGGAGGTTCGACTCAACTTCCCACCCCCCGTTCTCTGACTTAGATGATCAATGAGTGTGGATTTTTGCACATTAGTTCAGATATTAGCTGCAGCGAGGGAGGGGGTTTTCCTAAGGCAAGTGAAAAAGATGTGTGAGCGCTGTGTTAGTATTGAGTGAAATAATGTTACACACTATTTAATAATATAAGTAATGTGAGTCAGGAAGAGCAAGCAGATCAAACAGGCTGGCAAGTGGGCAACCTACCTCTCTGCGGATGAACTCAGGTTCTCCTCCATGTCCCGCATCAGTGAAAATGAAAAAGAAGAAAGAGTTGGTACTCAGGTTATTCTTTCGGAAAATCAAGTCCATTATTCGTGTCAAGTGAGCGTGTCTCGGAGATGGAGCCGTGGCAGGAAAGCATCCTGGGTGGGACAGCCGCCTCCTCCCACTCCTGCTCCCCTAGTGCCCAACCCTCTCTGGCAGGAGCGGGGAGTGAGCGTGGCAGCAAATGAGGAGAGTACAGTGAAGTTGTCAGGAAACTGCCAAACTGCTTTCCCAAGTGGCATCACTTTAAATTCCGTTACTTCTGGCCCACACCCCAGGTGCCCACTGCTGCGAAGGGCTCCCCGACTGCGCTTAATTCGCATTTCCCCGATGGTGAATGAGGCTGAACACCTTTTCAGGTGTTTCTCTGCCACCCCGATATCCTGTTTGATAAAGTTTATTAAAATCTCTTCCCTATTTTTTAAACATTGGGCTGTTTTACCTTATGAAGTTGTTAGAGTTGTTTATAAATTCTGAATATAACTACATGGCTTGCAAATATTTATTCCAGCCTGTGACTTATATTTTCTATGTTTGTGATGGTGACTTTTGAAGAGCAAATGCTTTATTTTTTATGGAGTCCAATTTTTTTTCCCCTTAATAGTGCTTTGGTGTCATATTAAAGAAAACTTTGCCTAACTCAAGGTCACAAAGATCTTGTTCTGTTTTCTTTCTAAAGTGTTATAGTTTAGCTCTTAAATTCAGCTATGATTGATTTTGAGTTATATTTGTGTATGATGTGAAGTAGGGTATTAAGTCCCCCCCCCTTTTTTTGCTATGGTTATCCAATTGTTTCAGCACCATTTATTAAAAATACTCCCATTTCTCCCCCATTGATTTGCTCTGGCACCTCTGTGAAACATCCACTGCTCAGGCTTTATTTCTGAAGTTTCTACTCTACCCTGCTGATCTGTATGTCTATCCCCATGCTAGTCCCACACGGTCCTGATTACTGTAGCTTGGTCATAAATTTTTAAGGCAGATTGTGTAAGTCCTCCAAGTTGCTTCTTCTTTTTCTAAATTATTTTGGCCACTCTAGCCATTCTAGGTGCTCTGAATTTCTATATATATTTTAGGATTGGCTTGCTATTTCCTTAAAAAAAAAATCTTGCTGGAAATCCAGTAAGGATCATGGTAAGTCTGCAGATTAATTTAGGGGAAATTTTCTATCATGACAATATTTTGTGCTCCAGTCCATGAGTATTCTAAATCTCTCCATTTATTTAGATTGTGTTCAATTTCTTTCACCAGTAGTTTGCAGCTTTAAGTATACATATTTGGCACTTGTTTTATTATTTTATTATTTTCAGTGCTATTGCAAATGGAATGGTTTTCTTAATATCATTTTCAGGTTCCTCATTGCTAGCATAAAGAAATATAATTGAAGTTTTTATATTGATTTTGTATCCCACCACCTTATTGAGCTACCTTATTATTTCTACAGATTTTTTTTTGCAGATTTGTTATAAGCATGTTTCCTGCAAATAAATACAGTTTGAACATTCCTATTTTTGTTCATTTTTTATTAAATCTTGCACACTAAAAAATACAGTTTGATTTTCAAATCTATGTCTTTAATTTATATTTCTTGCTGTGTTGCACTGGCTAGAACTGTAGTAAACTGTCAAATAGAAGTTTGAAGTGGGCATTCTTATCTCTGTCCCAGTCTCAAGGGGAAAGTATTCAGTATGAATTAAGTGTGAGTTAGGAGCACCTGGGTTGCTCAGTGGTTGAGCATCTGCCTTTGGCTCAGGGTGTGATCCTGGGATCAAGTCCCACATCAGACTCCCGGCAGGGAGCCTGCTTCTCCCCCTGCCTGTGTCTCTGCCTCTCTCTGTGTGTCTCTCACGAATAAATAAATAAAATCTTTTTTAAAAAATAAGTGTGAATTAGTTACAAGTTTCATCAGGTGCTCTTTTATCAGATTAAGGGTGCTCCCCATCCCCTGGGTTGTGGAATTGTTTTTGTCATATATGGATGTGTTCTCATGTCAACTGCTTTTTCTGATTAACCAGTTTCTGGTTTAATGTTGTCTTATTAAGATGCTTATTACATTAATTTATTTTCGAGTGTTACCTTGCATTCCTAAAATAAACCTCACTTAGTCACTATGAATAATCTTGTTTCTCTGTAACTACATTTGGTGTGCTAATATTTTGTTAATGGTATTTGCATCTATATTTATGTATAGCATCAGCTCATGCTATTCCTCTTTGGGATGACATTGTCTGGTGTTAGTGTCGCACACTGACTCCACAGAGTGAGCTAGGATGTGCTCCTTCCTTCTTTTTCTGAAAGGATGTGCATAACTGCTTGTATTTTCTTCTTAAAATATCAGATGGAATTTATCAACGAAACCATCGGGCCCTGGGATCTTTGTGGGAAATTTAAGTTAGTGATTATCTTTGTTTGTTATGTGTCTATTTGAATTTTCTATTTCTTTTTTTAAAGATTTTATTTATTTATTTATTTAAAGATTTTATTTATTTATGAGAGACACAGAAAGAGAGAGAGAGAGAGAAGCAGAGACATAGGCAGAGAGAGAAGCAGGCTCCATGCAAGGATCCCGATGTGAGACTTGATCCCGGATCCCAGGATCACACCCTGAGCCAAAGGCAGCCGCTCAACCACTGAGCCACCCAGGCGGCCCTCTCTTTTTGACTCAGTTTTGGTCATTCATGTCAGCTAAGTTGAATGGTAACTCCCTTTCTTAAAAAAAGCATGTTTCAACCTTGAGACGTTTTAAGTATAGAAAAATTGAAGAGATCCAAGCCTATGATGTTACCGTTTTTGCATTAAGAAGTCATTGTGCATATCTGGTATTCTATATTCTTCAATACTGACAAGAATTTGTCCTGCCAGGGGTGGGATAGGACAAGGGATCAGCTTTCAGAGGCTTAAATATTATGTGCATTTAGGAGGTAAGCTTGGCCTTATTCTTCCTGTTGGACACCAAGTGGAAAAAATATAGCTGCGTCTGGGAGAAAGTGTAGCAGGATTTAACATCATGATCAAGGAAAAGTGTCTGTCACAGTGGCAGCCACATGGTCGGGGCTGGCAGCAGGTGTCAAATGGTACTGTCCCAGGCAAACAGGAACACGGGGTCACCTGGGTTGAGGGCAGCAAAGAAACACCTGCTCACACCTTGGAGTGAGGGTCATCTTTAGTGGCGGAGCCCGGGGAGTGGGTATGGGCGGGAGGCATGACAGTCTCCACGAAAGTGTCTCCAAACATCTAGTAGGTGTGCCAGGAAGGAAAATGACTTTGCTAACAGTATCACTGTTACAAGTGGGCGGGGGTGGGGGGGGGTGGCCTCTTCCTCCTGGTAAGTTAGTACTAGGAGCTCTCCCTCTGCTGTCCTGCAGGGGCTCTGCTGGGATGAAACCCCTCCCACAGAAAACCTAAGGTCCCCTGTGACCTTCAACGTCAGAAAAGTCACAAACCCTGCTTTAAAATATGGCACCGGAAACTCCCAGACGCTGCAAAAATGAGTGGGTCCAGAAGGAAGCAGCCTTATTGGCCTGTGAAGGACACACACAGACAGACAGACACACACACACACACAGACACTTCTTACTCCACACCTGTTTCCTAAGACTTAGTTCCTAGCATTTTTAAACAAGAATTGCTATCATGCAGAAAAGTTGTAAGGATTGTACAATAACGCCCAAATAGCGACATCTGGGTTCTATCTTTGTTAAAAGTTCACTGTACATATTTTTTTTACCAGATGATCATCCAGTCATCATTTTATTTTCTGGTGCCCCTCAAAGCCTGCTGAGTGCACACATCTGTCTCTTTCACCAAAGCACACATATCGTTTCCGTTGTAGTAAACCCATGTTTGTGCTGCATCCCTCCTCCCCCTCCCTCCCTCTTGCACACACACACACACACACACACACACACACACAAATACAAGCCCCACAGCTAAGGATATTTTCTATCCCTGTTTCTTCTAGTCCCTTCCCCACCTTTGTTCCCATGTAAGTAGCATCCCTGGGGACCAGGTTAATGTCTCAGACCCGTCACTCAAGGAATTCCAAGCACCACCTTCTGTCCTCACTCCTGGGGGAGCCGGAGACCCTTCATGCGGCTCTCCTCTTAGATCGCACACACGCACCCTGTGGCTCTGTGCTCACCTTCAGCAGCAAGGAGTTCTCTGAGTACAGGGTAGTGGTGGAGCACAGACTTGGATACCTCGGCGGTGGCTGCGGCTCCTTGTGCTTCTCTCTGTAGGGACGGGGCAGAAGGAAGGAGAGACTCATCAGCAAAGAAGGGGCCTGCTTTGGGCAGTGAGCTCGGAGCATGCCACTGAGGGCTGCGAAGTGCCACATGCTCGCCTTTATGGCGATGCCCTCGTCTGCGGACCCTCAGAGCCAGCAGCTCTCCTGCTTGGACTGCACAATGGTAGACACCCTGCCAGAGCTCCAGGGCTAAAGGTCTCCACCAGCTTGCCAACGGGAGGCCACAGAGGCACTCTTCCTACTGCAGTGCCCTACCCTGGACCACTGCATCCACAAGCCCGTGGGCACAGCACGGCTCACTCACAAATGGACCAGGTGATGGGCCTCGGAACCCATGGCCTTACCACTCCACACTTATTTCCAGCAGCAGCTCTAGGCAGTGAATGCAGGAGGATTGTCCTTGATTTCCCAAGTAGGTCCAGTACAATCACATGAACCTTTCACAAATGAGAAATGAGAAAGAGGAGGAAATCCAGAAAATCTAAAGTATGACAAGAGGACTCACCATTACCAACTTAGAGACGGAGGGGCAAGGTGGGAAGTGTGAGAATGGGACAACTCTGTCAGCATTCTGAATCTGCCTAGAAGCAGATTCTTCTCCATTCCCTCCAGAAACGTCAGCTGACCTGTGAACTGGGGCTGCTGCCTTGAGAGGCCCCAGGCAGGGACCCTGCTGAACTCACCCAGGCTTGGGACACTCTGAGATAATGAGTCTGGTTTTAAGCCACTAAATTGGTGAGAATTTGCCATGTAGCAATAGAAAATTATAGAAGTCAGTTGGTGGACATTAGCCAAGTACAACAGCTATAGAATTAGGCAAGAACAGTCTTCAATACATGTGATTATCCTTCCATAGCAGAGAGACAATCCAGAAGAAATACTCCCAGGAAACTGGTCTGATGACTACCATTAGAGAGAAGCACTTTAAAAAGTCTTACACATGGGGCAGCCTGGGTGGCCCAGTGGTTTAGTGCCACCTTCAGCCCAGGGCCTGATCCTAGAGACCTGGGATCGAGTCCCACGTTGAGTTCCCTGTGTGGAGCCTGTTTCTCTCTCTCTGCCTGCGTGTCTGCCTCTCTCTCTCTCTCTGTGTCTCTCATGAATAAATAAATACAATCTTTTTTAAAAAAAAAGTCCTACACAAAAATCTACTCGTAATTAATGTTATCTCACTCCACCCACACTTACAGAGTTAATTTTTCTTATTTGGATTGGCAACATGTCACATGATTTAAACACATTCCTTGATCTCTAGGAACTGATATTTTGCTTGCTACAGCAGGCTTTGCCTAAGATATAAGGCTGTAAGTGTCCAGGCAGTGGACTCTCAGGCTATCAGGACCCCTTGGGGACACTTCTGCTATAAAGAAACACCACTGCTCCAAACTGCCGCTGTCACCCAGAGGTTTGTGTGACACTTCTCACACAACAACCCACTTCAACCAGGAAGGTGAGCTCGTTTTCTTTTGAAGAAGTGAACACTAGGCTGAAAATAAAAATATTCCAGAACTGAGGAATATGGTTCATCCCAAAAACAATAGCTTCTATTCTTAAAAATCATATTTCTTGGGCAGCCCGGGGGGCTCAGTGGTTTAGCACCACCTTCAGCCCAGGTTGTGATCCTGGAGACCCGGGATCAAGTCCCACGTGGGGCTCCCTGGATGGAGCCTGCTTCTCCCTCTGCCTGTGTCTCTGCCTCTCTCTCGTGCTCTGTCTCTCATGAATAAATAAATAAAATCTTTTTAAAAAATCATATTTCTTTTAACAATGTTCATGGTATATGGAATTGTTAAAAAGGCTTTTAAGAAATTACACAATATAATTATAATTTTATAAAAACGAAGCATTGTGTGTATAACTCACAAATGATTATTAAAATGGTACTTGTAGTCACTACTCAGAGCGCCAGGAGCGACTGCAGCAAGTGGGAGGGCGGTGGGGGGGGGGCACTGCAGGTCCCCAGCCCCGCCCCGCCCGCACCCGGACTCCCGCGGGCCCCCAACCCCGCCCCGCCCGCACCCGGACTCCCGCGGGCCCCCAGCCCCGCCCCGCCCGCACCCGGACTCCCGCGGGTCCCCAGCCCCGCCCCGCCCGCACCCGCACTCCCGCGGGTCCCCAGCCCCGCCCCGCCCGCACCCGGACTCCCCCGATCCCCAGCCCCGCCCCGCCCGCACCCGGACTCCCGCGGGTCCCCAGCCCCGCCCCGCCCGCACCCGCACTCCCGCGGGTCCCCAGCCCCGCCCCGCCCGCACCCGCACTCCCCCGATCCCCAGCCCCGCCCCGCCCGCACCCGGACTCCCGCGGGTCCCCAGCCCCGCCCCGCCCGCACCCGCACTCCCGCGGGTCCCCAGCCCCGCCCCGCCCGCACCCGCACTCCCGCGGGTCCCCAGCCCCGCCCCGCCCGCACCCGGACTCCCGCGGGTCCCCAGCCCCGCCCCGCCCGCACCCGCACTCCCGCGGGTCCCCAGCCCCGCCCCGCCCGCACCGGGACTCCCGCGGTCCCCAGCCCCGCCCCGCCCGCACCCGCACTCCCCCATCCCCAGCCCCGCCCCGCCCGCACCCGGACTCCCGCGGGTCCCCAGCCCCGCCCCGCCCGCACCCGCACTCCCGCGGGTCCCCAGCCCCGCCCCGCCCGCACCCGCACTCCCCCGATCCCCAGCCCCGCCCCGCCCGCACCCGCACTCCCCCGATCCCCAGCCCCGCCCCGCCCGCACCCGCACTCCCCCGATCCCCAGCCCCGCCCCGCCCGCACCCGCACTCCCGCGGGTCCCCAGCCCCGCCCCGCCCGCACCCGCACTCCCCCGATCCCCAGCCCCGCCCCGCCCGCACCCGCACTCCCGCGGTCCCCAGCCCCGCCCCGCCCGCACCCGCACTCCCCCGATCCCCAGCCCCGCCCCGCCCGCACCCGCACTCCCCCGATCCCCAGCCCCGCCCCGCCCGCACCCGCACTCCCCCGATCCCCAGCCCCGCCCCGCCCGCACCCGCACTCCCGCGGGTCCCCAGCCCCGCCCCGCCCGCACCCGCACTCCCGCGGGCCCCCAGCCCCGCCCCGCCCGCACCCGCACTCCCCCATCCCCAGCCCCGCCCCGCCCGCACCCGGACTCCCGCGGGTCCCCAGCCCCGCCCCGCCCGCACCCGCACTCCCGCGGGTCCCCAGCCCCGCCCCGCCCGCACCCGCACTCCCCCGATCCCCAGCCCCGCCCCGCCCGCACCCGGACTCCCGCGGGTCCCCAGCCCCGCCCCGCCCGCACCCGCACTCCCCCGATCCCCAGCCCCGCCCCGCCCGCACCCGCACTCCCGCGGGTCCCCAGCCCCGCCCCGCCCGCACCCGCACTCCCGCGGTCCCCAGCCCCGCCCCGCCCGCACCCGCACTCCCCCGATCCCCAGCCCCGCCCCGCCCGCACCCGCACTCCCCCGATCCCCAGCCCCGCCCCGCCCGCACCCGCACTCCCCCATCCCCAGCCCCGCCCCGCCCGCACCCGGACTCCCGCGGTCCCCAGCCCCGCCCCGCCCGCACCCGCACTCCCCCGATCCCCAGCCCCGCCCCGCCCGCACCCGCACTCCCCCGATCCCCAGCCCCGCCCCGCCCGCACCCGCACTCCCCCATCCCCAGCCCCGCCCCGCCCGCACCCGGACTCCCGCGGTCCCCAGCCCCGCCCCGCCCGCACCCGCACTCCCCCGATCCCCAGCCCCGCCCCGCCCGCACCCGCACTCCCGCGGGTCCGCAGCCCCGCCCCGCCCGCACCCGCACTCCCCCATCCCCAGCCCCGCCCGCCCGCACCCGCACTCCCGCGGGTCCCCAGCCCCGCCCCGCCCGCACCCGGACTCCCGCGGTCCCCAGCCCCGCCCCGCCCGCCCCGCCCGACGCCGGGTTTAGTGCCGGTTGTTTGCGGCGGCGGCTCGCCCCCAGGCTGGACCGCGGAGGGGATGTGCTCACATCGTGCCTAAAGGACCACAGAGAGGCGATGCTTCAAGTGAAACTCCGAAGGAGCCGGTTTTCACAGCAGCATCCTCACCGCGCGTGTGGGAACGACGCCGAAGGACCGAGCGGGTGGTCCGGGGGAAGACGCTTTCCCGCGGGGCGTGTGGCCGGGAGCTGCCGGGGCCGCGTCCCAGCCCCCGTCCCAGCCCCCGTCCCAGCCCCCATCCCAGCCCCCGTCCGCGCCCCCATCCCAGCCCCCGTCCGCCGGAACGCGGAGCCCGCCCACCGCAGGTTTCCGCGCAGGCCGGACTTCCGCGCACACCTGGGAGCGTGCGGCGGCGCTTCCGGCCCGCTCCGCCGGAGGAGACCGACTTCCGGGGCTGTGACCTGGAGGCTTCGATGCCTCCCGCGTCAAGGGGATGCCAGTGCACCGCCGCGGGAGCTCCGCGTGTCTCGGAGCTGCGCAAAGCGATTTTAAAGGTTTCCCGGAAACTTGAATCGTGAAGGAATTGTCGAGGGCAATGAAGGTTTTATAGAGGGGGCTTCCCGTTCCCCGCGGGACGCGTCGGGCGCGGCCGGAAGAGGGTCTCCCCGGGGAGCAGGGCGCACGGCGTCCTGGGCGGGGCCGCGGCCGCGGAGCTACGTGACCTTCGCCCCTGTCGCCCCGGGCGGACACAGTTCAGTCGCTTGGAAGTCGAAGTGCGAGGACAGTGAATAAAAAGAGTGAAAATAGCAAGGAGTGTGGAGGATGTTTGTATAATTTTGGAGGAAAGACGACTTTTTAAAGCAATACGTTATGAGCGTATAGTATTTCTCAAACAGGTAAAACCACCCTAGGGGCCCCCGCGGGGCTCCGCGGTTGAGCGCCCGCCTCCCGCCCGGGGTGGCCCCGGCGTCCCGGCGTCCCGGGGTCCAGTCCCGCGTCCGGCTCCCCGCAGGGCGCCTGCTTCGCCCTCTGCCTGTGTCTCTGCCTCTCTGTGTCCCATGAATACGTACATAACATCTTTTTAAAAATGATAAAATAAAACCACTCTAGTAAGCTTCCAGACTTACCCATGCGCAGAAGAACTCTGATCATCTGCTTTCTGTGGGCAATAAAAATTCATAAAGTGAAAAAATTTGTTGACTGTGAGCTTATTCTTCTACAAAATTCAAGCCACTTATTAGTTAATTCTGAGTAACGGTAGTTCTGAGTCTCCTGGGTCCCAGGAAATGACCTCACTGGGGGGGTGGTAGCACCCTTGTTCCACAATACTCACGCTTTCTCTTCTATCAGGTAAGAAACTTAAGAGTGGGATCGCTGGTTAAATGGAAAGAATAGATTCTACTTTTTAAAGAAAATTCCAAGCTGCTTATCAAAGTGATATAATTTGCTGTCCCCACTAGCAACATAGGAGACTTCCTTCTCTACAGCTTCACCGACACTTGGTATTGTTTTTCCTTTTGATTATAGTCATTCTAACGTGTGTAATGGATCTTGTGGTTTTCATTTGTTTTTTCTTAATGGTAAATGATGTTGACCGTTTTGTCACCCATAGACCCTCCTTGGTGAACAGCTGGTTCAAAGTTTTTGCCCATATAAAAAATTAAGGTAGTGGGTCATTTTTCTTATAACTGAATTTTGAAAGTTCTTTGTATGCTCTGGACACAATATATGATTTACAAGTATTTCATTTCTGCCTGTGACTTTTATTTTCATTTTCTTAATGGTGACCTTTTGAAAAGCAAATGTTTTTAATTTTGATGAGAGGCAGCTACAGAAATATCTGGCCCTAAATGACGTCAGCCCTGCCAGGAGTCGGCCCCCCGGCTTGGTTCTGTACATAGTGAATGCAGAGATGGTATAACACACATGCAACACACACACTAAACACACAAACATACACTGCATCACAGACACAACCACACACACCATGCACACTCACACACCACCACACACAAACATACACTGCATCTCACACTAAACATTGATAAATCACACATACACACTGCATCACTCACCATGCACACTCACCCACTCACACATACAGAATCAGAGGATTGTGCCAACACAAGTCCCAGCTGCAAGCTGACCCTGGCATTGCCTCAGGCCTACATAATATGAATAGTGAAGTAGCAAGACAACCCATACCTGTGGGGATCCTATTGGGAAGGACAGCTCTTTCTTTTCTGATAAAGCTCTTGCTGGAGTCTTTTGGTGGCGGCGCTGTGTCATGTAGTCAAATGTGCTCAACTTCTTGGCCACTAGAGAGGACAGAGGAGGAAACAGGCAGTTACAATTATGCAAGTAGGCAGAGTGGCCCATGTGCCACAACCCAGCCGTCCAGGGCTCCCCCATCTAGGGTGCTGGGAGCTGCCTCCTAAGCTGGAGCACTGGGGGACTGTTGGATGGCCAGTCCAGAGCCCCTCTGGCCTGTGGGCAGCAGACAGCAGCTCCTCACACCCCCGGGGCCTACTGGATTCCAACCCTAGGAGCAGCTGTCCTGCCTGCCTCCCAAGCCTGCAGAGTCAATACGGAGCGATGCTGAGGGCTGTGCCCAGCTCTGCTGGGCTGGGACACTAGCTCCAGCATCATGGCAGGAACACCCCGGGCCGCTGGAAGAACATCTGAGGCCTAGGTTTACTGGTAGACAGCACTATTCACAAAATGGGTTCTGTGCCTGTTGCAGCCATGTGCTTCAGTGGAGGTGCCTAACTTCCCATTTCTCTTTCCCTAAAGCCAACAGACATGAAGACAGATGGCTGCTTATTATTTCTGGAAAGTGAGAAAGGCCACCCACCAAAGCCTATTTGCAGCTCGAGGAGCAGACGGAGGACGGACCGCTCCACACACCCCCGTGGAGCCCTCAGAGGCTGCTCCCCAGGTGGAGAGAGCTCCTGTGGAACGGAGCCCAACCCCTTCCTGGGTTCTCTGTACAAGTGCTTTTGTTTTTGTTTGCTTTGGCTTCTCTTTCTCAGTTAACGCCACCTGGCTCCTCACACCCCCTCAGAACCTGTGTCTCAGGGTATAAACTTGCACTTGGTTACATGCTAGTGGAAACACTCCTTCTTTTGCATGGATTTGCACAGCTACCAGCACCATCAGATGGTCAGCACACACTGTCTCCCAGAGCTCACACTTGTCTTGAATTTCATCTGAGAGTAACAAGAGGAAATGCAGCTGAGGAAGTGAAGCCAGAGCGCAGGGTTAAGTGTCCACCATGTTCCCTCTAGCGTTACAGGAGCTGGAGGCCACTGTCCTTCAGGATGCTTTCGCTCCCACTTCTGAAGGTGGCTTTCCCCACCCCTGCTGCTGGCACTCCCACATCTCTGTGTCTTCCCGGGAGATCTTTCCCTCACCAACGCTCCCACTCCTGCTCACATGCTGCAGACCCATCTGGATATCCTTTTCCCAAGCTTGGAAATGGAACATCCAACTGCTGGGAGTTTCTGATGTGTCCCCCAGCAGTTCCCCCCACCTCAGGGCATTAGTGGAGTCCCCTCCCCTGGAGAGCAGGCTGACCCCAGCAGCTTGCAGAAAAGGTGAAGGGGCATCACTTCCACAACTGAGCTACACAAGGCTGGTCCTGTCTGGCTCTGCTGAGGATGAGGACACTATCAGCTGAGAGGGCCCACTGGTGCCACCTTCTTCCACACAGAGGCCACAGAGGGTCACGTACGTTCAAGGAAGGGCTTCATGGGGAGAACCCTGCCCTCCCTGTGCCCAGGCAGAGCCCGCAGCACATGATGCTCTGCGGACACCAGAAAACCGCCAGGCTCCCTGTGGTGAGTTTGGTCGGCAGATACCCATCACTGCTTTACTTTTTTCATTGTTTGGATTTAGTGCCTCCCTAAATCCCCTGATCTTTTTTCAAGGTGCCCTGTTCCTGCCTCAGATTCTGCTCCTTCATTTCTGAACATTCAAAGTCACTCTTAAAATCCTAAAATCCTTCTCGTGTTTCAGATGTCTCAGAACGGAACGAGTCCTGCTGCCCCTCAAGGGGTGTCTCTTCCCGCCTTGTGATTTGTCTTGTGCTTGTTTCTGGCAGGGGCCAGCTGAGCAGTCTTCTGACTTGGGACACAAGCGAATGCATGGAGGCCTGACTGGAGTAGGGGCTCAGACACATACTTAGGTAGAGGTGGAAGATAAGCAGGTGCCCAAGCAGTAGGAGGCTGATGACATCTAACAGCAGCACTAGCACCCCGATGCTGAGGACCACCGGGATCTTCGTCTTTACAGGGAAAAGTGGGAGGAACAGCAGCCAGGTGTTCTTGTTGGAGATCTCTGTGGAGGCAGGGCAGACACCCACTTGTCCATCACCGGGGGCACGGCGGCTGCACCTCCCCTCAGGACATGGCTCAGCAGTGTGAGAAGGAAACCAGCCCAAGGGAGCCCCTCTTCCTTGCCCCGGGATGTGCCTTACCTTACCTAAGTGCAGCCACACCCACCCGCAACAATCCCACTTATAGGTCTGGAAGAGGATAACTAAGTGTCCAGAACCCAGAGCCTGGCCCACTGCCTGGCCCTAGCCCTTCCCCATTCTCAACCAGTCACTCTCACAGAGAACTACAGAGCTGTAGCCAACGCCTCGGGGCATCTCCAGAACACGGTCCTCTGTGTGCCAAAGGCTGCTGATACTTCCAAACTGAGGAATCTGCAGGCAGGCCCATGAGATGGAATTCCAGCTGAAATGCCCTCATTTCACTCTAGAAGGTGCTTGACTCCAGTCCCTTACGTAGCACCCCAAAAGGTGGCTGCTGGCCTCAGGGGCTGCAACACCATGGGGGTGGGGGGCTGGCTGGACCATGGGATGGTCAACCCCACGCTGTCCCCTTAGCTGGTGCTGTTTTCATGAATTCCCACCAATGACAGCAAAGTGTCCCAGGGAACTGGTGGTTAAGCAGCCCTGTGGAATCTTCTGAAACAGTAAACCCAGGAGATCGCCTCAGTCATCAGGTATTCATGTGTAGCTGGTCCCACTATTGCTGCATGGCCAGCAAGTCCCAGAGAGAAGCCAGGGTCACTTGGCCTCTCTGTACCTGCTGTGGCCACAGAGGCTAGTGGGCTCCAGGCAGTCACCATGCCCTGTGACCCCGCGCTACACATCAGTGTGGAGGCCATGAAGAAATGTGCAGAGGTGCAGCGCGGGCACTTGGGTGTGCCGAGGTCCCCGCTCACAGCTGCAAGCCACATTTGGAGCGTGTAAGGACCTTGGGAGGCCATGTAATGGGACGGGCCGTGCCCACCCTTGACTGTTCTGGAGGCTGCCGGCACGGCTAGCCCCCCTGGCTCAGGCTACGTGTAGAGACTGTCAGGGAGCATCGCAGGTGGAGGCTTCCAGCTGGCTGTGTGCAAAGCACGGGCAGCTCTTCTGCTGAGTGGGGCCTGGTCTCGCTGAGACCCCCACTGATCCCTTTTACCACAGAAATAACCAGGATGTGTTCTGGAGCAGATGCAGGTCAGACAGTCTGTGCCACGAGGGCTCCTCCATGCCAGGGGCTGTGTGGGCCAGTGGTAAAGGTGCACAGGCATCGCACCCCCCAGGAAGAAGGGCGGTGCAGCTGGGCTCTGGTTAGATGGCAGAGGGAGAAGGGAGACGCGGGGGCTCAGTCCCACCACCGCATCCTCTCACTGGCCCTGTAACTGCTGGCGGCTCACTTTCCTGGGAGCAGGGCACTGTCCAGACCTGCTCTGGAGCCCGACACAGGGCCTTGCTGAGATGTTGGAGCCCGGGCGGGGTGACAGTCCCTGGAATGTTCTGAGGTGGGCCACAAGTGCCTCCATTCTCCTGCTCTTTGTGCTGGGCTGTGATGACGTGCTCTGGAGAGAGGCCTGGACAGCATTGCTCTGCACCCCAAGGGCTGTGGTCCCTGAACACTCAGGACAGACACAAAAGGTACTCCACTTGAGGTCCTCCCAGCATCGGTGTCTGGGCTGCTGACCAATGACCAATGACCACAGTCTGGGTGGTTTAAACAGACATGGAGCCTAGAAGTCAGGGTGTAGCAGGGCCCAGGCACCCCTGGGCTTGTGGCTGTGTCCCTCAGGTCTCTTATAGGGATGTTCTCAATGGATCCAACACCCCTCACACACACTCCCTGGTAACCTATGATCATTTCAGGATCCCTAATCATGTCTTTAAAAACCCTTTCCCAAATAAGGTCTGGGGGTGAGATCAGGACATACCTCCGAGGCCACATCCAATCCCACGTCTGCTCTCAAGGCCAGGTCCTGGACCCACTCAGCAGAGGCCCACAGCCACACATCACCCAGAAGCCGTCCCCAAGCAGCCCTGTCCTCCCACCCCACTAAGGCTAACTCCAGGATGACTGGGTGAGGGGCCCCCTCCAGTGCTTGGCGCTACCTGGGAGCATGACCTCAGCAGCTGGTGCCCACAGGCCCTGAACCCCTCCTCCTGGTGCCTGGGAGGCTGCTGCCCACCTGCCAGCCCCACTGCTCACCTAGCTGGGGGCAGGCCAGGCTGATGCTCCCCAGAAGGAAGGCTTTTACCCCAAAGGCAGCCGGAGGGACAGGCTACCGCTTGCTAGTGACCCGAGGGGAAGCAACGCCACAGAGAAGCCAGTGCGTACTTTTGTAGTAAGGGTGCGTGCGGAGCTCTGCTGGGTTGATGAAGAACTGGATGAAGATATAGAGCAGGATGGCTGTCAGGCAGACCACACCGGCCAAGGCGGAGGCCACAGAGCAGAAGAAGTACCTGCAGGAGAGGCAGAGGCAGAGCCGGGCTCAGAACCTGGCGACCTGGATCCAAGACCCAGCCTTCTTCCCGTCTCCTATCCTGGGAGCCCCTTTTGAGTTCTCCAGGGGCCGCTGCTGGTTTGAGGCCGCCCTGACGGCACCAGTGGTTTCCGTATCTCATGGCTTCCAGACGTGTTCCCCTTTGACCCCCACCAGCTGGTGAGGAGGAGCCACCCTGGGCCACAGGTAGGGACGCACTCTGGGCCAAGTAGGGTGCACAGTCACCCACATCTCAGCTGCCGCTCACCTGGGGCTCCTGCCCGGTCACATAACTGTGGAAAATGAGCCCTTGTGGCTCCTAGCCTCGGGTTGTGGTCGTGACTGCTGCCACTGAATAGAATTGGGTGTGGACACATGGTGGGGGCTCCTGGTGCTGGCCTTCCATCAGGGCACCAAAGCCGAGTTAGGTTGGGGAGGCCAGGGGTGTGCTGTAACAGGGGCCTGGCCCTGTGCAGCTCACAGGTGGCCATCTCCACACACCCTCCCTGGGGCTGTGCACGCTGCTGTGCACGATGATGTCCTGTGCTTTGACATTAGACCAGAATCAGTCCTGCCCCCCTGCATGTACTCAGAGACCCAGAGAATAACTGATCCATCCAGAAAATACGCTGTGGGTAGCAGTTCTTGGAATATGCTCCCACTGCAACGTCTTCCCCTGGGCTTTCTGCTCTTGGGACAGGGAAGGGAACTACTCCTTTAACATTTTCAATCCCAGTATTATCTCTTCATCTGAAATTTAGCGGATTCCATTATCTTTTTCAGAAATTTTTAAAAAAGATTTTATTTATTTATTCATGAGAAACAGAGAGAGAGAGGCAGACGCAGGCAGAGGTAGAAGCAGGCCCCATGCAGGGAGCCCAATGTGGGACTCGATCCCAGGTCTCCAGGATCAGGCCCTGAGCCAAAGGCAGATGCGCTTAACTGCTGAGCCACTCAGGCATCCCTTTTCCAGAACTTCTTGAGGGTTCTTTACATATGTCTTTAGGTGGAGAGCTAAAATGTGCACGTTCCTGCAGGGTCAGGTGGCTGTGGAGTGGGGCCCTAGGGTCCCAGGGAGTAGCTGTCTTGAGGGCTATCCCCGGTTCCCCAGGTATGTCTCCTGCATGGTCCTGCACAGGCCCAGTGCCCTGTGTCCTCAAGCCTGGCCCTGTACCTGGATTTGGTTTCCAGAGAGCCCCTCTAGGCATTGGAAGCCCCTCAGCTGTCCTGTCCTGATGTCAGGGCAAGGCCCTGACAGGCCCTTCCAATAGGCAGGGCACCAAGGCCTGTCCAGCCAACATTCAGGACATGAAACATTGCCTCCCTCTCTGACCCCTGGGTCTGTGGCACCTCAGCACCTTATCTAGCACTTCTCTGTGAAGACCTGGCTTCTCTCAGGGCTTGCTATGCTTTGATCACTTTTTTTTGACAAATTGTCTTGTAAATGCAGTCACTCCCTCTTGCTTTCTCTGCTGGATGATTGCAGGGACAGGAATCTGGGCAGATGTGCAGGAACGGTGGCCCTGTGCTCACTCCGAGTATCCCCTACGCTGTATGTCAGGCACCTGTTCCTTCCTGCCGACCCTGCCCAGCAGATGCCAGGGGGGCTCCAGGGCTCCTCCATGGTCCAGGGTCTTCTCGTCCCCACTGGGAGCTCCCTCTGACTGCTGGGCCGAGGGCCCACTGTCAGGACCTCTGAGCTCAACCTGTGTGCCATGGGACCCAGTCCACTCAGTCTTCATCAGTGGCAGGGCTGCACACCCATAACGGCTAACTGGACCTCAAGGTGACCAGCGCATGGCAGCAAGGCCTGAAGGAGGTGCGTCCAGGGGGAGAAGAGAGCCACCCCACACTGGCTGGCCCTGGGCTCCTCTTCCTAGTGAGGAAGCAGGACGGGGACTTCCAGGCAGCCCCTGTCACCTGATGCTGATTGGGTTTTTCTAACTATGAGAGCTCTGTATTTCCTTCTGCTCAAAGCAGCAGTGTTCCCCAGGCCTGAACAAGTGGCTCCCTCCTGACATGGTCTTCCCTCGGCACATCAGCTGCAGGATGGCATGTATAGTCAGCGAAGGCCAGTGTGAGCTGGGGGGCTGCAGCCTTTCATGGCTACTCAGAGCCCAGGCTCCAGCACAGGGTCCTAGTGATGCTCATGGGCCCTACATCTGAGCCCATCCGGGCCTGGACACTGGTCCTACAGCAGCCTCAGCCCACATACTCTTGGATGGCCTCACTGGAAGGAGGAGGCTGGGCCAGGCCAGCGGGTCAATGACCAGGCAGCTGGGTCCATGCCCCTGCCAACGTCACAGGTTTCAGAGCCACAGGAGAACAGAGGGACATGAAATACCACCGTGCTGGAGATAGGAAGTGACCCCCCCAACTGCCTGGGGCCCCCACCCTCACCCAGGAGGTCCCCCACCACTTCACCCTTCCCCCACACCTGGGTCTCCCCCCCACTCTCCAAGACCCCCATCAGCCCCCAGCCCCTCACCAGTAATTCCTGCTGCCCACACAGTTGTTCAGCCATTTGCAGTGGTGGTCAAAGCCAGAGATGCACTTGTTGCAGGCACTACAGTGTTTGGCTTTCTCGCTCCTGAAAGGAAGAATTCAGATCAGGAGGGGGTCTGTGGCAGCACCTGCAGGAGGAAGCTGGGTCAGAGCCCTGCCCACCTGGGGCATCCACATGGTGCCAGGCCTCAGATCCACCCTGAGCTGTGGCCTCCCTCCAGGCTGCCCACTGGGTGGAGACCCCAGGGCCTCGACCAGCCCAGGTAGAGGTCTGATGGGGGTGGCTAGACCGGGGAGGAGCCCTGTGTGTCTGAGGACAGTGGTGCTGGTCAGCTGCCTGGACACAGGGTGGTCCTGGGCGGCCCCACCCCTGCGTGGTCCCCCAGGGTGGCAGGCCACAGAGGGATCAGCTCCCCCCCCCCCAATGCCGCCTGCCTCCACACCCAGGGCACTCACAGGGTGAGCTCACACAGGTGGCAGTACTGGTTCTGGATCACATGTGTGTGTTTGGACTGGTCAAAGGTTGGCATAGGCTCAGAGTAGTTCTTGAGACGGACGTTAGCTTCAGCTGGGTCGATGGAAACTGTAATCAAGTGGACCAGGAAGTGGAGAAAGAAGAGCCCACCAGTCACCTGAGGAGGGAGTGTCAAGGAACAACACAGCGAAGGTGCCCACTCAAGGCGGCCGCCGGTCAGTGCCATGGGAGCTGTGAGCCTGGCACCAGGGGAGCCCCACACAGGAGACAGGCTCTCCCATTGGAAGGGGGCCGTGGAGGTGCAGTGAGGGGTGTGTGCCATGCCGGGTGCTGAAGGTGGTGTCGGGGCTCTTCGGGAGGCTCCCACAGCACATGTGGGGTAGGAGGCAGGCATATCATCAAGAAGTGAAGGGGAGGGAGGGCGTTGTGTGAGGCACCCGGTCTGCCTCCATCTGCCCTCATGTCTCCCTGCCCCTGGCCCCTCCGGCTTTCCAGCACCCACTCCCTCCGCAGCACCCAGGGTAAAACCAGGCCCGGGGATTGCACCCTCTCCTCCTCCTCCACCTCAGGACCAACATGCCATCCCCATGGAAACCAAACAGAGGAGGTGGAGGCCGCCTCCCAGTCAGCCCTGCCCCGCTTCCCTGGAGGGCTCCAGGGTGTGGCGGGGAAATGAGCAGCCGGGTGCTCAGGACTCTGCAGTGGTTTTATGGGGTGGGGTTCCTGAGCAGGGGCTGTGGGAAGCCCCCCTTGGGGTCCCTCTCGGCTCTGTCACTGTTGTGATCCGGGGTCTGCTGCGCACTTCGCAAAAACACTCAGCCTTGGCCTGGCCTGGAGTTGGCAGGCGTGCCCCTCCTTCCATGAGCTCCTCGTAAGAAATGTCCATGATGCGCCAAAAGCCTGAGGGAGAGGCTGTTTCTGGCCAGAGCTGATTATGGTCCCTCGTCCTCTCGCCTCCAGGTACAGTGCAGACCTAGGATGTGGGCTCGGAGGCTGGGGTGCCAGCCCTGCTGGGGAGACCTGGCTGTACAGAGGGCAGGCAAGAATGAACTGAGAGCCAAGATAGTCAGACGGGAAGGCTGGCACCCAGGCCAGGGGCAGATGACGGCGGCTGAGCCACACCTCGGGAGACCTGCAGGGGGAAGGGACTGACCAGATCCCTCGGGCCATAGAGAAGATGCAGTGACATCAAGACCCTGCTCCATGCAGGGTATGGGGCAGCAGGTGGGCGGTCAGGGCCAGGCTAGGCTTCACTACCACAGCAGGAGACAACAACGCAACACTGGCAGGCCAGTCCCCCTGCACCTGCTCCCCAAAGCCTGAGGCGCTGGCCAGATGCATGGTGCTGTTTGTGTGGTTACCAGGGCAATAGGAACATCCTGAGCAGCAGGTCCAGGGCAATAAGATGCAGCAGGAAGTGAAACCACGCCCCAGCCCCAGGGCAGTCCCTTTCTCTGCCTGTATCAGAACTGGATGGGCGGGTGACCAGGAGGGAGCACAGTAGGGAGCATGAGAGAGAGCCTGGGAGGGAGCATGAGAGAGCACAAGAGGGAGGTCAGGAGGGACCCAGGAGGGAGCGCAGCCAGGAGCATCGGAGGGAGCCTTGGAGGGAGCTGGGGAGGGAGCCTGGGAGGGAGCCTGGGAGGGAGCACGGGAGGGAGCACGGGAGGGAGTACAGGAGGGTGCATGAGAGGGAGCCTGGGCAGGAGCACAACAGGGAGCCCAGGAGGGAGCATGGGAGGAAACATGAGAAGGAGCACAGGTCGGCAGCAGGTAAGGCTGGGCCTGGATGTGTGGTTGAAGCCCTCTGCCCCCATGGCTACACTTGGCTCATAGGAGACCACCGGGGAGACTGTGGGGACAGCATGGCTGGCACTCCAACCCTCGATGTGCAGGTACCTAAGGCATGTGACTTGAGCCTGATGGGCCAGGCACATGGAGCTGCCTGTGGCCAATTTCCCCAGATCTCCCCATGCTTCAGGTGTCCTGGCCAGGCCGCCCCTGGGATGGGTCCCCCATCCCCCAGGAATGAAGAGGCACCCTGGGGCATGAAGCTGCCCAAGCAAGAACACAGCCCAGCAGTTTGTCTGACCTAACGCCGCCCAGCCAGCACTCAGGCAGGTTCAGGGGGGCCCTCACAGCCCAGGTCACCCACAGAAGTGCGGACCAGAAGACCATTCACTCAGCCACACACTGCGGACGTTGATGGACATCAGTGAGCAGGGGCTGAGCCCCCAGTGTCACGGAGTGGGTACCACACCAAATTCCCGCTCTCATTTATCTCAAGAGGATCTCAGGTTCCCATGAACGACAAAGAGGGAAAGCAACAGGGTAGGAGGTCTGGCTCTCAGTTAGCAGAGGCCTGGTCCCCTAGCAACAATCTGTGTTTGGTAAACAGGCAATGGCGCCAGCCCAGGACACCCGCCAGCCCAGGACACACGCCCTCCCGTCCTTCCGGTTCTTCAGCAGGAAGAGGTGAGGCGCCCCCAGAGCCACCCTCCCCACCCCCCCACCCCGCGTCTGCCTCACCCCAGCCCCTGGAATCAGAGGGAGATGTCGCCAGCACTGTCATAGCAGTGCAACAGGGGCTTTTGCACCCTGGCCACAGCCACAGCCCCTCGGACTAAGTCCCGTCACATCAGACACTGGTCCCTCTGCACAGTGGGCGCTATGGGCTGGGGGTCAGCCTGCTTCCCGTTGCAGGATGGCGGGGGAGGCTCAGACTCTGAGGGTCAGCCAGGAACCCATGGACCCGCCTCCTGAGCAATGTCTTCCTGAGGTGCCCTCCTCCCTGGGGCCCAGCGGTCCCTGCAGGCGTGGAAGGACACTGGCGCCCCCCGGTGGCCAGAGTGCAGGGCCCAGGCGGCAGTGAGGCCTGAGGGAAGTCCCCAGACCCAAGAAGACGCCTGGTGTCCTAGGGCAGCCTGAGTCCTGGATGTCCGTGAAGCCAGCTGGAATGGACCTCTGGGCCCCAGAGCAGGTGAGTGCCAGCGTGCCCCCTGAACAAAATACACAGGGAAGCTCAAAAAACACCCCCAAACAGGCAGAGCTCTGGTCAGTCGAGGGACCATGAGGATGAGGGCTTGTAACCCAGCACGTGAGCAGACCCCAGTCAAGGGCACACATTAGAATACAGACAAGGAGGGGCAGCAGAGACAGGGGAGCCCACCCGCACCTGCTGGCTTCCACTGCTCTGCTCCAGCGGCTGCCACCTTGCCCTATGCACAGCCTCTAAGTGAGCTGAGCACACAGGAGGAGTGGCAAACAGAGACCCCCCCCAACAAGCCCCAGCCAGAGGGGGCTCCAATGGGAAGGCCTACCTGCAGGCTGGCCCCGCTATGGGGGTGGTGCACAGACCAGGGCACCTGTGGACACAGCGCTGGGCCAGAATGGGAGACCCAACACCACACGCAAGGTGTGAACTGTGACTGGATTCTGGGTAAATTACTCCCATGTTTTGAGGACCACTGGAGAAATTTTAAGATAGGCTGCCTTTAAGATGGGTATTCCTATCCATCCTGTCGGCAGTGAAAGCACAAGTGCGTTGGGCCCTGCCTCACACCCCGTCAGACCACCAGATGGCAGGAGGGGCTGCTGGGCCCGGGGCACACAGGACCCATGTTCCCCTGCTCTGCTTCTGGGGACCAGGCACTCTGAGGGCCCTGCAGGGGGACCATCAGGTCAGGGGCCACCAGGCGCAGGGGAGGCAGTGGGCACGCCCGTCAGGCCATGGCGGATGCCTAGGTGCATTGGTGGGGTCTGCAGCTGTGGCCCCCAGACACGGACGCGCTGGTGGAACTGAGATCCGCCACCCACACTGTAAGGCGTGAAGAGGGGCATGGTGGGTGACACCTGGGCGGCTGGGGGCGGAGCACAGCACCTCCACGCATCCTGCACCGTGGCCTGTGTTGTGAGTCCCAGCAGCCGGCAGGCTTTCTCTCTGCCAGGTCCGCCACCACCCACCACAGGCTCCTGTATTACCAGAGGGACCAAACAGGAAAGCACAATGATGAACAGCTGAAGGCGGGCCACCATTATAATCAGTGTTATAAAAACACCCCCTCGGCCCCCGGCATGGCTCCCCCACCCAACCTGTTGGACCCAGCCCACTGTGGACATGTGAGGGGACCCTGAGACCAAACCCTTCATTCTCTGAGCCAGATGGGCTGTTCAGATGCGAGGAAGTACCTGTGTGTGTGAACACGGGCATGGCTGCTGTGGGACTGTGCCCATGTGTGCCTGCATGGATGCCCTGGCCATGTGATTCCTTCCCGTCCTTGGCCCCACCCCGGGGCCCCTCCACCCCTGGCCACCGAGAGTGCTCTCCCCAAACCGAGGGTGGCCAAGCGGCAGACATGCCTATGCTTTTAGTCAGGACTCAGAGCCAGTGAGCCACACAGGGAACAGATGTGGGCATCAGGCGCTGTGGCCATGGTGGCTGTCTGGGGTGAACAGGGGGAATGGGATCAGAGGGCAGGGTGATACACCTGGGGATGACTCAGAGCCGAGGATGGAGCAGTGAGGACAGAATAGCAAGGGGAACCAGCAGGCATGGCCTGACCCTGAGCCAGCTTGGGGAGGGCCCCTTGGGAGCCTCCCTGGGACAGCAGGTGCTGCTCCCACAGTAAAGGATACACCATAGGCAACGTACTTCCAGTTATGTGGCAGGAAGGGAATGAAGATGCCAAAGTTGGCAACAGCCAAGATGAGGAATGTGGCCCAGGCCACCACCTGGAAGGAGTGCAGGGGCCTCGACCAGCCATTCACTCGGGACAGCTGCGGGGGTGAGGCCTGCTTGCCCCCGGCTTCTGGGACGACCCATCTCCAGCTCCTGCTGCACAAATCCATCTGCAAGGGGTGCAGACAGGTGTGCATGGATGCTTCCCGTGGCCTGTGTGGCAAGGGGACCCCAGGGCTGCCCACATCTTGAGGAATATGGTGGGTGGAGCCCTCCAGGGTCCCTGGGGAATCCCGCAATTTGCCCAGGCCACAGCAGCAAAGTACTGGTGCTAACACTCTGGAGGGTGTGAGGCCCACAGGGCCCAGGACCCAGGAGGGTACACGCCAGGACTCCAGTGCAGTGCAGGCCCAATTCCAGAGATGAGTGTGGGCTTTGTTTACAAATGTGCACTGATGCATCAGGAACCCCATCATGTGCAGGAGGAAGACCCACATCAGGATGAGGCCCTCATCCCTGGGAAACCGATAATGAGTCTGCAGGAAAAGCAGACCCTTGTTGGTGTGACCATGTGACGCTTTCACCTGCCTGAAATCCTCAGAGAATCTTCCTGTAAGTTTCCCTTAAGGACAGAACAAGATACCACATCCCCAGAGAGTCGTACTATTCCTGCCACAGGACGAAGATCTGAGGACCGTGGGGCTTCTGGGGCCTCAGGTGCTCTGGGGTCACTGGGGTTGAGCCCAGGGGCTGGGAGGGACCTGTGGCCACGTCTGGCCAGGCAGCAGGCTGTCAGGATGGGTGAGCGACACGGCACAGCCACCACAGGTGGAGCCCTGAGACTTTGCCACAGGAGGGCAGAGTGTGGCTGCTGTCCATGGGCCGGCCGCCTCGTTCCTGGGCTGTGGGGCCAGGTGGGGCTTCCCTGGTCAGTGGGACCCTCAGGGGCCCATGGTGGGCATCCCACTGGGCCAGCGAGGCCAGAGCACTGGGCAGTGGGGTAGTACCCTGCATGACAGTACGATTCCTGAGTAACCGCAACATTCAGACAGAAGCGCCAATCAACAGAAAGAACACTGCCAGGAACCAAACCCCGTGATGGAGAAGGTCAGCTCGAGGGCACGTGCAGACCTTGGGACAGGAAGGCAACGCCATGGCACTGACCGAAGAAATTCTAAGTGACATGAGAACAGAGGTAGAGACACCACTCATCCTGCAGAAGGAGCAAACGCGAGGATGTGGGTCAGCCCAGGGCTGCCCGCACTGGCACCCTGTCCTAAGGGCTCCCCAGGATGGAAATGTCACCATGACCGAGTGTGGAAGCCCCAAAGCTGCAACTGGTATTGCAATGTGTAAAATTTAAGAGTGATTCTTCAGGTTCTGAGAGCGGTTTGAACCTCAACAGACCCTGCCCAAGTGTCACGAGTGTGCAGTGGCCAAGCATGAGGTCTGGAGGGACACCAAGTCCCTGCTCCTCCAAGGGCTCCGGGAAGCTCCCACATCAGACCTGGAGGAGGCCCCGAGACCTCGGGAGGCACCAAGGGAAATGCACAGGGGCAAGTGCAGCCCAGGGTTGCAGGGGTCACGCCTAGATAGAAGCCGCCCCGCGGTTGGAGCGCCACAGGAGGCGCACACTCACCCTTGATTCCCAGGAGCAGGCAGGGCAGGCGTGGCGGTAGTCAGTCCCCAGGGCTTCGCAGCTGCGTGGGCTCTGGCGGGCAAGGGTCCCCTCCCATGGCGGGCACTTCGCTCACACACACCTCTGTGCACGAAAAAACACACGTTCTCCTCAACTCGTCTGACGTGTGTGCAAAAGGGGCAGAGCATCTCCTCTGCTCTGATCCTTAGCTCATGGGGATCACACCAGTTCAAAACTTGCAAATGAACCCTAGGCTCGCAACAAATGTGGGACGTCCTGTCTCCTGGGGTGCAAAGGGCACAGTTAACGTGGGCTCCACGTGCAGACAAGACACCCGAGAGGACACCATCCTCCCTGAACATGCATATACCACACGTGCATCACATGCACACCACACACACAACACACTGTATGCAAACTACAGAAACATCCCAAACACACAACACATGCACCACAAATGCACACCACAGACACACAGGGTTTCTGGACCCATTTCTCTTCTTCCTCTTTCTCAGCCTATTTCCTTGGCCTGGAACCGCGCGCCCCATCCCCGCGAACAGCCATCTCTTGATCTTGCGCCTGTCGTGGTGTCACTGTCTCTGGACAACCTCCCTGACACCCGCCAAATCTACTCCTGTAAATGCTGAAACTGATAGTCTGGACCCCGCCCGTGGGAAGGGGGGAGCATGACACCCCACTGGGTAGACCTGGTAGTGGGCTTGGGAAATGAGCCCTGCTAGGCCTGGGGCCCATTTTAGCCCGTTTGGTTCCTAACATTTGTGTTTTGTCCTCCCTAAGGGTTCTAGCCTGTGTCCTGGTGTGCGATGCTCCCACAAGGCCACTGTCACCTCCACGTCCCCAACACGAGCAAGGCCGACTTGCAGGAGCTTCGTGTAGGTGCCACTGTGCTGGTCCCCCCACTGTAGATGGGGGCAAGGCTGAAACTGCTCTTCCTACATCTCCTGTGTCCCCATCCCCAGGTGCAGACCCTGTCACACCGTGCTCCCCAGCACAGGGCATCCTGGGCACCCTGCCTACGTATTTATGACACTACAACCTGTGCAGATGTGACCTTCTGGACTCATCACCTAACACAGGTCCTGCCAGCTTCTCAGTGGTTGCTTTGCTCTCTATCCCACCTGGGACGTGCAGAGCTTATACCTGCAAGTTCCCCAGTCAGAACAGAAGCTCGAGGCACCTACCCCCCCTGCCTCGGGAGCCAGAACCCACTCTGCGAGCCCCCGATCAGCGGTCCAGGCTGGACAGAAGAGCACGGGCCTCTCGCTTGGCCCAGACCCAGCTGAGGACCCCTGGTTGCCACGGCAGCGACGGAACCCTGGGAGGTGCCTCATAAAGCCAGGGCTACCCCCCTCCCCGGAGCCCCCGCTGCCTGCTGGGTGAGGGGCGGGGTGCAGAGACAGCACAGGGGCCCCCAACAGGCCGTGCTGGCAGGCAGCACCCGCAGGCGGGAGGCCTTCTACTTGGTCCCGAGTTCTGACTACAGCACCTCTCACGGCAGCCCCTCAGTGAACCAGCAGAAGGCTCCTGCCACCTCTTTTTTCAGTGGCAGGGGCCTTGATCCCAAGGCTCCTTGTGACGTCTGACCTGGTGGCTAAGTCTTCTCTAGGGGCCCAAACTCACATGCTCTGTCCAGGTCGGATCAGACACCACCGTCCCCAGTCTGCCCCCCTCAGGAGCCACAAAAGGGCCAACATGGAGGCGGGGGGGCAAAGGGCACATGGACACCATGTGCCAGGAAGGGGTCCCTCCCGACGATGGCTCAGCACAGACGTCCCCTCCCCTGCCTCTTTCCTCAGAGTCTCAATCATCAAGAATAGGACATTTCCAGTGCCCATTTGGGTCCAAGGACCCCCCACACGGCCTTCTCTGACCATTCCCTGGTGGGGGACAGCAGAGGCTCTATAGACTCCAGCATCACACACTTCCTGGGGGAAGCCACCCAAGCCAGGAGTGCTGAGCGGCTTCCCACAGGCAGTGTGTGGCCCTGCTGCCCAGCACCCATGGTGGTTGGGGTTTTTGCTTCTCACCAGACAGCAGGGCCAGGCCCAAGATGGAAGAGAAGCCAGTGGGCAGGGCCAGGGCGGCCATGAGAACCCTGCTGGGGTGCCTGGGGACTTCTCCTCTGGGCAGGGAGCTGGGCCACGCGGCTGGTGCTGAGGCCTACTTCTGGGGTGGGTCAGTCCCCCTCCACCCAGTCTGTGTTCACTCGGGCTTCTGCATCCTTACACTTGTGTCCCTCTGGCCCAACATGTCCCAAGTAATCTCAAGGAGCAGAGTACGCATGCGGATGAGAGGGATGCTGATCCTGGCCACCTTGTGTGACCATGATGGGCAGGAGACAGGGCCCGAGATGAGAGGGGCCTAGGGGATGAGGGGGCTGAAGGCCAGGCTGCTGGCAGTGGGGAGAGTGGCCACCTCCTGTGGGCCCTGCACACCAGCACCTGCCCATGGGCAGACCACCAGGTCCCTGAAAGGGAGGAGCCAGAGACCCACGCAGCTGGGCCTGCCGGCCACCACTATCCATACTGCTCCCAGGCCAGGCCAATACACCACCAGACACCTGGGTCTCAGAACCCCGAGCATCCGGCAACAGCACAGGAGGGGCTGTGGACAGTGGGAGGTGTCAGGAGTAACTGAACTGGTTGCTGGGAACTGGACATGAGAGCAGGGCACCCTCGAGTGTGGTCATTCCATGCACACTCATTTCTGGAAGGCCTGTCTCTGGCAGAACATGCAAGTGTCAGCAGCAAGGCCACGGCTCCTATCTGCAGTGATGCATCGCTCCAGCTGCTGGAAAGTGCAGTCTGTACAGGGCCTAAAAGTGCTTTCCAGTAAATTAAGATGAGCAACATCTCTGCCTCTTGCACAGAACATGCTTCTCCAGACACACCTGTGTGCAGGCTGCCAGGCCCTCCCCAGGGGTTTTCCTGGGGCCTGTGACCTCTAGACCCGGTGCCCCGCACCTCAGCAAACCCTAAAGGAGGTTGCTGAGGAGTGGAAGGCACTGACCAGGAGCCTGCCAGGCTCCTCAAGCAGAGGGCCCAGGGAGGCAAACCAAGCCCCAGATTCCCCCTTCATGGCTGACACTGCCAGTAGCAGCCTGAGCCCTGGCAGGGTCCATGGCAAGGACAGGGCATCCCTGGGCCCATGCTGACATACCCTACATGAAAGAACTTTGAAAACACTGTGCTGAGGAAAGGAAGCCAGGCACAAAAGGCCATGTAGCACAGATTCCACTAAGACGAGATGCTCAGAACGGGAAAATTCATGGATGCCAAAAGTGGAGCAGTTGCCAGGGGCTCCAGGACGGGATGAGAGTGGCCGCTAATGGGGATGGGGTTTCCTTTTGGGGTAATGGAAATATTCCAGAATTCAATAGTAGTGGTTGCACAACATTGTGAATGTGCCAGATGATGCTCAATTGCATATTTTAAAGCGGTCAGTGGTTAATTTAAGGTCACGTGAATTTTACTGAAATAAAAAGATGGCTCAGTGGGCCCTCCTATCCCGGTCTTCCCTTCTGTGGGGCATGTGGCCTTCTGAGTAGCAGCCTGTGGCTCCCCAGGGGCCATGCCCAGACAGCAGGGATCCCCAGGTCGCCCTGCCCGATCTGCCCATCTGCAGTGCAGGCACATGTGAGTGATGAGGCCCTCAGGGTGGGGGGGCCGGTCCCTTCATGGGGGATGGGGCTCCATGGCCTCCTACTGTCTGAGTAGGTCTCACAAAAACATACACCAGGGCCATGTCCCAGAGGCACGGTCGTGAACCCCAGCTGAGGGCCAGGGAGAGGAAAGGGCTCAGCAAGGCAACTCCAGCCTCTGAACCCAGGACCAAACCCTGCCCAGAACCTCACCTTCGGAGCCCTGGGGAAGGCAGAGCCCACCCGCAGACCTGCACCCTCCTGACCTTGTGGTGGCAGGCTGGCAGCTGACCGCGGTTCACCCTCCAGCGGCTTGTTCCTTCACTGGCACTCTGCCACAGCTGCTTCCTGACACCTCGCTTGTGCTCCCTTTACCTCATGTCTGTGAGGGGCCCTGTGCACCCAGGGGCGCTCGGGGGCCGGGGCGCATGGCGCCGCCCACTGCCTCAGTCACGCACTCTCTCCCAGGACTGACTTGCCCTGGGATGTAACAGAGCCCTCAACTTTGTTTTCAAAAAAGGAACACAAGCAAATGTGCAGGGTGGTCAAGTTGGATATTGTTGCAGGAGAGACATGGGCTAGACACAGAGGGAGGGGAGATGGTGAGCGTCACGAGTGGACACCGGCAACCTTTCATGACAAAGCTTTTTGCTGAGAAGTCCCTCAGTAGCAGACACCCATGGTGCTACGAATAATTATACGCAATCACTCTGTATTTTATTGAGATCTCTGTTTTGTAAATGTAAACAGGCATCCAGTAAACACATCCAGAATAAAAAAGGTCTATGGACACAGCACGTGGCCGTGACCAGGAGGCAGTGTGGTCTTCCAGCAGAAGGCAGGCCTCGCCCGGCACAGGAGGAGGAGCACAGGGCCAGTCCCAGGCCGGGAAGGTGCGGGCCCCCAGGACCTGCCTCGGAGACGCGGGGGCGCAGGGGGTGGGCAGGGCAGAGAGCACGTAGGAGTCCCGCTGTGGGCAGGTCCGCATCCCAGGGAGCACAGGCCAGCGCACGGACAGGCTTTACATTCTGCTCAAAGCTCAGACACGGACACCGGCTCAACCCCATGTGGCTGCACACCCTTCTGTGTGCTGCCCACTCTTCAGAGTTCATGGGCTGGGGCTATGCACACAAACACTGGATCCGTGCGTAGCCGACATGGTACTAGAGACAACTCACCACCTCCCCAGGGCTGCTTCCCGCGAGCCAAAGGGGACAAAATGGAAGTCTTTGTCTCAGGACAAAAACTCTGTACATGCAAATAAAAAAAATTAAAAAATAATGGAAGACTATCTACAAGGCTAGCTCTTCGTAGAGGCTGCAGGTTCCGGAGACTGCAGAAACTCGTACGGGTCATGGGTCACCTCTGGCTGCTCCCCAACACTGAGGCGAGAAGGGCTTCCTGCAAGTGTGGGAAAGACGGGGCGCTCACACGATGGGTCTGCACACACACCATGCACCAGACCCGTGGAAATGTGTCCTCGTGACTGTGGTCAGCCACAGAGCCATGGACCCTCCTCCTCCCACCCCCCACCTCAAGCTGATAAGCACCCCCTAACTGCCCAACATCAACAGGGGCTCAGCAGAGCTGGTGCTCGTATCTGAGAACTGAAACAGCAGCTCAGGGAGCTCACTGAGCAAATTCAAGAAGCCAGGAAGCAACGCTTGGTTCCCTTCCTGGAGGAGCTGAAATCCTGGTGGCGTCCATGCATCTGCCCGTCACCCTATTCGTTAAAGAGAGAAGGCCCCAGGCCAAGGCCACCTGCTCTCCCCACATCAGAGTCCTGGAGGAACAAAGCATTTCTCAACACCCTATTCTAGGACTAACAAGAACAGCAGAAGAAACCAACGTCCCCAAAGTTGAACTCAACGTGCCTGTCAGTGTCTGGGGCCTGGTGCTTCCCTGTCCAAGGGCCTTGGGATGTGGCAGGAGCCAGGGCTCCTGACACAGGGACAACCAGCACCCCACAGCCAAGACCACAACACCTAACACGGAGTAAATTCCATTCAAAACGCTGACCCGTGCACTTCCTGACGAGGGAGATGTGGTTCAGAATCCCCGGGGGCAGGGACGCCCTGCAGAGGGAGCAGGGCCTGCAGAGTTCTGGGGGCTCAACCCGCAGCCCGTGTGAGCACCCAAGTACCAGGATCTTTGGCCCCGCCCACCAGCGGCTCGGCTGCCCTCTTCCCAGATGATGTGCAACGCCTGTGGGCTGAGACAGACGCTGGGGCCTAGGGCTCCCTTACCCAGGTGGTGCTGGTCCCTGTCAGAGGGGGAGGTGTTGGACAGGGAGCTGAGGTTGGAGGATGGCCGGGAGCCCCCACGCTCTGCCTGTGCCTCGTGCAGGTCCTGCAGGAGCTTTGCTGTCTCATCCAAGTTCAGGTGGCCGTCGTCAGCATCCAGCTCCTTCTTCACTTTCCCTGTGCAAACACAGGACGACTGGATGCGGGGCTGCCAGCAGCCTTGGCTAGCACTGCACGCCGGCACCTGTGGCCTGTAACCATGCACTCTCCCTCACTTCTATGCACGCTCAGGATGACAGCCAATGTGCACGAAGCTGGGGGAGCACAGGGAAACCTGGAGGGCAGGGCAAGATTGCCAGAGTAGACGAGAACCAGGTGCCACGTCCAATCTGGGCCATCTCACACACAGAGCTATAACACCCCCCCCCCCCCCGCTGAACCCCCTACCCCCCACATAAACCAACAGGATGCAGGACAGTGTGTACTAGAGGCCTGAAAATGCCAGGATAGGCCACAGGCCAGAGCCGGGTGGGGGCCCAGAGCCATGGGCAGTCTAAGAGCAGGTGAAGATGGGCTGCCTAGACACCTCCCAGGTCTGGCGGGAAGGGGACCTGTGTGTGTATGGGGAGGTCACAACCCCCCAGGAAATTCAAGAGCTCATACACGTCTCCAACACCTGTGGCCTATGTCTGCAAAAGGATATAGCCCAATGGTGGGACCAAGGCCCCCCTACACTAAATGTGTCTTGGGGCTATCCCAAGAACACTGCAAAACAAAACCTGGGCAGGGTCTGAAGGCTACACATCACTCACGGCCTGTCAGAATAAGACCCAGCACGTCTGATGGCAGAGCTGCAGGGTGACCTGTGGGGAGCCACCACTGGGCAGGAGAGCAGGAAAGGGTATGAACAAGACAGACACTGATCACTGGGCACTTGTCCCTCAAAGGCAGAGGAGAAAGGTGGGCAGGGGGAGAGAGGTGTCTGTAACAAGCCCCCACCCTACCCCGAGAATGGCAACAGCAGGTTAGCCGTGGTGGCTGGACGGCCAGACACAAAGCACAGAAGGGACTAGGCAATAAATGGCAGAACTGGGGACCCAGCTTGCCAGGGGTGATGAAGTTGACAAAGCCCCAAGGTCACTCAACCGAACCAAACACAGGAATAGTCAAGCTAACAAAGGCCTGTGGAAGCACGTTATAGCCAAACGACCAAAACCAGCACAGATGAGAAAATCGTCAGCAGAGTTCAAGAAAGAACGGCTGGCAGAGCGTTAACACTGCAGCCTCAGACCAGTGGCCTCAAAAGCTAGGATGGCCCCTGGCTGCTGATGGTCCCCACCACCCCAAGACACAGGAGGCCCTGCACATCAACTAACCACACCGTCGATGTGGTTTCCAGTCAACACTTGCTGTCCTTCCTGGAGCCTGCGATCTGCAGACGTGCCACCTGGTCTCCCGCAGACCCCGCCTGTGTCCCCGTTCCCTCTGTGCATCCTGGCACGTACCCCTGTGCTATAGTGAACCAGAGCCAGGAGGCCCAGGGAACCATCAAACCTGGTGGTCAGCGTGGGGACCTCCAAACAACTGGGAGAATAACCAGGAGCAAGATGGTAGACCCAAACTGGATGGGGTTACTGCACTACACACACTACACTAAAGACACCCCACCCTAAGGCAGAGATGCAAGACCCAGTCTCATGTCATCTGAAGGTCAGTTGAAACCCACTTCTGACATAGCCAGGGTTTGTGAACTTCAGCAGCAGTGACCCCTGGGGCTGGGTTGTTCCTGGGGGGCTGCTCCCTGCGCCTCAGAGTGTTGAGCAGCATGTGTGGCCTCCCCCTCAATGCCAGAAGCACACCTCCAAGTGTGACAGCCAAAGACGTCTCCAGACACCACCATGCGCGATGGGGGTTTGGGTGGACGGGGTAGGGGAGGGCGCTCTCAGGAGAGAAACCCCGAGGTAAGGCTCCGGTGTGTCCAAAGTAAAGGAGAGGAAGAACACCATGAGAGCCACTGGTCGGCAGGAAGCCAGGCGGTCAAGGAGACCCCGAAACCAAGTGCTGTGCAGAGCAGAGGATGTTGTGTGTGGCAGGGCAGGGGTCAGCTGTCCACAGGGGCACGGCCACGTGGGTACATGTACACACACCAATGCAGCGATGGCAGGCTGAGGCCGGCAGCTCATCCCTGTGTGAACTGCACAGCGATCCTGCACTTGGAGCAGGATGGCAGAAAGGAGACTGGGCAAGACTGCTTGAGGGCCCCCTGGAGGGGGTCCCAAGGACGGTGGCCACACTCCTGGAAGCAAGGACATGCCTCAGTGTATCAGTCCAGACCCCCAGGGGCTGCCCTGCAGGCTACTGCTGCAGCAGGGCCAAGAGCAGAGTCCGCCTCTTCCAAGGAGCCCAATGACGCGAGCATGCCCAACACAACCTACCCAGAGAGCCAAGCATGGAGATGTCCAGAGAGGCGTCAGAGTAGGACTTCATCGCCATGAAGTCCAGAACGGAGCTGCCGTCGCCCAGCGAGTCCCCAGCCTGCAGGAGACAGATAGACACAAAGCAGAAGACAAAAGAAGTCACTGAGCGAGTAGTTAACACCAGCTGAACTCACAGGAGCAACGGCAGCATTGGGGCCCCACACCCATAGGCAGGACAGGCCCGCTCTACTGCGTCCACATCTGAGCAGCAGGCAGGACCACAGCATGTCCAGTCCACACTGCCACACCCACGATCATGGGGGGAACTCAGGAGGGCTGTCCTGTGGAGACCAAACCAACACCACACAAAGGCTGTGGGTTCTTGGGGAGGGACAGGTCCCAGCAACAGACACAGGACACCAAGGGCTCACAACTGCTGTGGACTGCACACTAGATGGGGAGGCAGACCCACGCCAGCGTGTTCCCTTTCCTCTGTGGCACCTGCTGCCCTCCTGCACCTCTACAGTGTCAAATCCTGCTCTGCGTCATTATGGAAACAATGCTGCGTTCCCCAACACTCACTCCCCACCACTTGCAAAGCTTCCACACCTGTTCGTTGTTCGAAGATACTAGGATATAACAGCTAACATGTGGCTACCTTAAAAATAAACCTAAAGGAGCCATCTCTGGTATTTTAAGGGATACCTGGGTCACTGCTGGAGAGCTACTGTCCAATGAGACTGCACTCCCCGACATAGCTTGGGAGGACAGTCTTCACCATCTGTGAGCCCTCTCCCGTTGGGCTGTCTTCCCTGGGTGTGAGTCCGCTCCTGTCGGGCTGTCTGGGGCTGGGTGTGAGCCCTCTCCCATCAGGCTGCCTTCCCTGGGTGTGAGCCCGCTCCCGTCAGGCTGTCTGGGGCTGGGTGTGAGTCTGCTCCCATTGGGCTGTCTAGGGCTGGGTGTGAGCCCTCTCCTGTCAGGCTGTCTTCTCTGGGTGTGAGCCCTCTCCTGTCAGGCTGTCTTCCCTGGCTGGGAGCCCTCTTCCGCCAGGCTGTCTTCTCTAGGTGTGAGCCTGCTCTCATCGGGCTATCTTCCCTGGGTGTGAGCCCACTCCCATCGGGCTGTCTTCTCTGGGTGGGAGCCTGCTCCCATCGGGCTGTCTGGGGCTGGGTCTGGGGCTGGGTGTGAGCCCTCTACCATCAGGCTGTCTTCCCTGGGTGTGAGCCCACTCCCATCGGGCTGTCTTTCCTGGGTGTGAGCCCCATTCTGTTAAGTTCTTCTAGATGATTTGTAAATTTGTTTCTTTCACTTGGCTTTCCTAAGAGTCACTTCTGTCCATGCTCTGATAAATAACTTCTCTTAAAAGAAGTGTTACAGGGATGACTCTGGGCCATCAACACACCAGGCTGAGCTAGTTTACAGAGTATGGCAGCAGCCAGACACCAGAGTGAGTGCTGCCATAGCCCTACAACCACCCCACAATTACCACCCTCTCTGCAACCAGAGACTAAGGCTTGGCACGGTCTGCCAGGGCCCCACATAAGGCCCTTGCTCTACATGGCTGGAGCAATTATCCCACAGCTATGGCTTTCAAGGTTATTACAGGTTTACCTGATGACCCTAAAATATGAGGCACCTTAAAGCTCGTAAAAACAATTTCAAAGAAACTGGTTTGCTTACAATATTTCCTTAGAGACCACACACAGCCACAGCCTCCACACACACCCCGAAAACATCCCAGAGGTTAGCGTGCCCTGTGGCTCTCCTACAGGAAAGTACTCTGGTGCCCACCTTCCCATCAACCAGTTTTGCATACTTGTTAAGTATGGAGATCTATGCTCCAGAGTAGTGTGAAAATGACATTATCATTAGAGTCTGTGCCTTTAACTGTGTTAAAAATTTAAGTCTAAAGAAAACCACGAATGGTGTGTTTGCAAAGATGTCTGGAGCCCTAAGTGGTGACAGGGAGACATTGCCACAGATGCTGTGAGGGGTGCATGCACCAATGGAATGAGGAGAGATGAGGCAGAGGCAGGCACCTCCTCATGTGCCAAGACCAGGCCGCACACCGCCTGCCAGCGGGAATTCACCCAATGACTGGCTGCTACCATGGGCTTGAGAGGGTAGGGAACTGGGTGGGGCCTGGTGCTCCCTGCACAAGGGACAGCCTAGGTGACAGGAGGCCTCTTCAGAAAGCTCCCTGGGCAGTCCCTGGGCTGTCTGCATGGAGGCGAGGGTGGTTGGACAGAGGGAGTGAGTGCTGGGCTCCCACGTCAAGACGGCCTGCAGCACATCCCAGCTCTCCACAGACACCATGTGGGACGTGTGCTCCAGGCCAGAGACCCTGAGCAGGACCCCACCTGTGTCTCAAACCTGGCCACACCAGGGAACACACCCTCAGAGAGACACCCATTCTGTCACTCAATGAGCCCCACTTGATGGGCACCTGTCACACCTGCCCTGAGTGGGCCTTCTGTCCACTGAGGCCAGGTAACACCTGTGGCCCAGGCCCCCACAGGATACCCCAAAGCCTAGGGCTGCTGCTCCAACACAGGGGCTATGTTCAAAGCTTATTGTCAAAGTGCACGTTTCAAGTTACTCCCAAGGAACACGAAAAATGCGGAAACTAAGAGCAGACCACAATGAAGTTTCCTCAAATCTAGACGGTCTGCTTTAGGTTCTGGGAATGCTCCAAGGACACAGGTCTCCAAAGCTGGCCTTCCTCACCAGTGTGCAGTACACACGCACCTGGCTGACAGCACACAGTTCCTGCTGAGAGGGCTGAAGAACCCACCGCTCTAGGAACTAAGCTTACTCCTCGCTATACAGGCCCCAACAGGCCCCCTGCTCCCCCAGGCACCTGCAGACACAGAGCCCCCAGCTTGGTCACTGCTCTGCGGGCTGCTGCATCTGGGCTGGAAGAGAAGTGCTTTGGCTTTCTATCCTTTACCCAAGTCATTAAAAATCAGAGTTGGGGAGACTACCACTTAATCAGTTTCTCAATAAAACACATGAACCTCTTCTCAGCCATCCCATTTCAGAGGCTGAATGTGACCCTTCCCCACATGAATGCTCATAACTAGGTTTTTACTTATGAGTCTGTACAACTCACCTTCACTTCGTCTGGAGGCTTCACTGGAACATTTCTCCTCTGCAAATCAAAACAGGAGAGAAGCCAGTTTTTCCAAAGCAGTTCTATATAGGACCATCCATTCATGTCACATCCACATGCGTGAACTGAAAACAGCTTACTATCACTGGGATTGTCCCCGTGATGTTCACACCAGAGTGTGAACCAGAGCTGGGCCCTGCCTGCTTCCTTGGAGCTGGCCGACGGAGCGAGACAGCCAAGCCGACCTGTAGAAGGCACGATTCATGCAGCCCCAGCCAAGACCCCTGGCAGGTTACCGAGTGCCCGGAGAATACCCTGGGCAAGATGGAGATGAAGAAGTGAGAGGGCACCCACGTTATTCCACAAAGTCACAGCCTGACATTGAACTGTCTCAGGGGCAACACGGGAAAAATGCCAAGACTGGTGGTTTATGTGTTTGATGAAGAGGCACCTGTGCCCTCAGATGGGGGACATTATGGGGCCACGTACCCTTCTCATCAGGCTACACAGCACCCACTTCACTACTACTGCGTGACCACATTCCGTATGAGACTTCGAGCTACACATGACCACGTGTGGAGATCACAAACCTAAATCCAACTACCCTACAACCTTGCAGGAGCGTCACCTTCAGCATAACCTAGTGTGTGCGTGTACCTAGAAACAATCATTCGGCTTGTAGGCTTTTGCATCTGAGACCTTTCGTTTATGATAATGTTTTGGAAATCCACTTCCACTGTGATTTTTATAAAGTGAAATCGAAAAATAAGTATCGTCACTATTTCACACATAAGCCTCTGCTAACGTATACACTTTATTATCAAACGTTACCCAATCCTGAAGCACACTGGAAATCACACAACTCCTACCATGCAAGTTCACTCAGAAAAGTCATCCAACCAGAATCTAGAAAGCAAAGTGAGTCAGCAGGATGTGATGGGGCTTTCGGCTCTAACCACCACGTGGCATAAAGACAGCTTCAGACACTCAGCCCAGGGCAGCGCCGGGAGGAAACCCTCAGGCCACAGTAGCCACAGCAGGTTGAAAAGTGAGAGTTCACAGGCTGGTGGGACAAAGTCTGGAGAGGACAACTCATAGCAAGGGCTTCAAAATCCAGGAGGGTCAAACCCAGCAGACAAGAACCTGTGCATACAGATGGAACACACGGGGCCAGGAGTGCACGATGGGACACATCTGAGCTCCACTTGGCCAAGCAAAGCCCTCACTGCAGTCCACCAGAAGGGACCCCAGAGGGCCATTCCTCAGTATCAAGGCCTAACTCACCCAACATAAAGGCCACCTAGACCCGCCCTGACAAAGCTTAAAAACAAACCCCAAGAAATCAGGTAACTCACAAGAACTCTGCCAAACAGAACGCCAATATTCTTTAAAGGAACACAGTAAAATCCAGACCAGCCTTGCCCAGCGGTAATAGGAGCAGACATCAAACTTCAGTTTCCCACTAGCCAATTAAAACTAATGTTAATGCACAACTAACAATACATATTTCACTTAATCTAATGTACCAAAAGAATTTTTTAACATATAATCCAAATAAAACAATAAAATATTTTTACATTTCATTTTTTGTATTCATCTCTAAAATTCTGGTTTGTAGCTCACATTTTCATCCTAAGTTCAGACGAGCCGCAGTAATGTTTCCATCAGCCACCTGAGGCTGCTGGCTGCTCTATCAGCAATCTAGATGGTAGAGACTCAAGAGTGTGACGCCTAGGATTCAATCAAACAAAAAAGCAACAAATCATGGCCTAGAAGCAAAGGAAAATCTGCCAACAGGCAAATCCAGCAGTGAGAGAGATGACAGAATGAGTGCGTAAGGACTTTAAAGCACCTGTAATAAACGTCAGAAATAGGTGCAAAGATTTAGAGGAAAGCATGAACACAATGTGGTAGAAGGGAAAATGCAAGAAAGAACGAAACAGAAGTCAAGATGAATACAGTGCCTGAAATGAAAAACTCATCGTCTGTGATTAATGGCAGATATAGACATGGCATAAAAACAGATCACTCAACTTGAAGCCACGGCAACAGAAACCATTCAAACTGAAGGAGGGGAAAAAAGACTAAAAAAGAACAGAGCATTAACAGCATGTGGAATGGTTGAGATCTCTAACACCAGTGTTGAAGTCTTAGAAAAATGAAGGAAGTGGAGGGTGGGCAGAAATGGTATTTGAAGAAATAATGGATGAAAATCTTCCAAATTTGGGGATCCCTGGGTGGCGCAGTGGTTTGGCGCCTGCCTTTGGCCCAGGGCGCGATCCTGGAGACCCGGGATCGAATCCCACGTCGGGCTCCCGGTGCATGGAGCCTGCTTCTCCCTCTGCCTGTGTCTCTGCCTCTCTCTCTCTCTCTCTCTCTGTGTGTGACTATCATAAATAAATAAAAAAAAAAAAAAAAAGAAAGAAAATCTTCCAAATTTGATGAAAACTATAAACTGACAGGTCCAAGAAGGTCAACAAATGTTAAGCGGAATAAACACGAAGAACATGACATATCAGTAATGAGCCGCTGAGAATCTGTTACAATGATTAAAGTTTAAAAGCATCTAGAGCAGCAGTCAGTAAACTTTCTCCAAAGGACCAAACCTAAGGTCTGTCACACACTCTTCTTTTTTTATAGTCATTAAGAAAAGTAAAAGAACATTTGTAGCTCTTGGGCCAAAGTGTGCCAATCCCTGATGTCGACCAGACAATGGGGGAGAAGTGGAAAACAGATAAAAATGATTATAGATGCTTCAGAAACAATGTGACCGGGCATCTTTGAGACAGAAAGACAACCATCTGTAATTCCAGACCCAGGAACGACAAATGTCAAAGATAAAGGTAAAATAAAAATATTTTTCAGACCAAAAAAAGATGACCAAATACACTGTCAGCAAGTCTACACCAGAAAAAATATTAAAGAAGGTTCTCCGGGATGAAGGAAAACAAGAGCAGATGAAAGAAATTTCAGGTACACACAAAGTTATAAAGAGTGCCAGAAACGGTGAATATGTGGTCAACAGAGAGGACTTACAATGAATGAGGGACGAACAGCTAGCAATTCCCTAACAACCACATCAGTCAGGATGGGCTCCTTCTATGGCAGTGGTGCCAACGGCAGGAGCCAAGGGCATGTGGGTGCATGACAAGTAGGACCACACAGCACACCCACCTGCCTCAGCTGGAAGAGCATTCGTGAGTGGTCCCCACCAGTGATCTGGTCCAGGAGGTCATCCACCATTTTCTTGCTATAGCTCCCAGCATCCTTCACAAATTCCTGCAGGCTGGAAGGGCCGTGAGAGAACATGTCAAACAGGCACCACCTGCTCTAGTCTTCCAGATTCTTTCACCAGTGCCACTGGTCCTGACCCTAGGAGCCTGCCCTATTCAGCCCTCCTCAGACGGTCCTCTACAAGAGAGGGTGTTATCGAGAACAGCAAACCTCCCAGATACAGTTTCAGAGAGGGTATCAGGAGTCTTCATCAGATTTTAAAAGTGGTCTATGACCCAAAAAAGGCTAGAAACAATTCAAGAAAAAATTATTTTTAAAAAAAGCAATGTGAACAACAGTCTACGCATGTTCAGGTGATCCATGATCTGTGCAGGATTAGAGGCGCCAACCTGCCCAGCTGAAAATCTGCATAAAACTTCTGACTCCCCCAAAACTTAACTACTAATAGTCTACTGTTGACCAGAAACCTTTCTGATGAGATAAAACAACTGAGTACTACAGATCTTGTACATTATATGGATTACATATCATATGCTTACAATAAAGCTAAATAAAAACACGTTACAAAAAATACGAGAAAAAATACGTTTATAGTACTGTACTACGCTTAATGAAAAGAAAAAGCCAAAAAGGGGATCCCTGGGTGGCGCAGCGGTTTGGCGCCTGCCTTTGGCCCAGGGCGCGATCTTGGAGACCCGGGATCAAATCCCACATCGGGGTCCCAGTGCATGGAGCCTGCTTCTCCCTCTGTCTGTGTCTCTGCCTGTCTCTCTCTCTCTGTATGTCTATCATAAATAAATAAAAATTAAAAAAATTGTTTAAAAAAAAAAAAGGAAAAGCCACGTATAAACCTGCACAGCTGAAAGCTGTGTTGCTCAAGTGTCAACCAAATATCTTCTACTAACTTCTGTAAAAGAAACCTAATTTTTTTTTTTTTTTTTTTTTTTTTTGGACTTAAAAACTAAGTAGATCGAGGAGAGATGCTCCGGAATGGGAAGGGGGGGAAAAGGTATGGAAACAAGAGTCTCCATGTACACCCTAGAGCATCATTTTGATTTTGGGACCCACATAAATGCTAAAAAATAAAAAATAAATAAAAGATTTTGAAAAAGAAGCAAAGAACAAAAGCCCAAGTTCTAGCATCAAACCCCAGGCAAAGGCTCCAAACGGCTTCCCAGATGTCAGAAATTCACACAGAGTGGAAGCGACAAACTATGACAATGCACAAGTCTCCACCAGGAGCATCTTAGGAGACACCAGCAAACAGGGTGTGAAGGGAGCAGGGTATGGTCTGGAAGCACCCCAGAACAGAGCATGTGGAGAAGTGGCATGGGGACACCAGGGAGGAGTGCTATTTGCTTGCCACACACTGCCCACAGGACTGGGATTTCCACTGTACTATGTGTTTCAGGCACATGCCTGGGGAAGGCCACCACAGCCGGGAGCATTGTGCCGCCTGAACTGAAGGTGGCTGCTGTCCCTGAAGGGCTGTGACAGCACAGGGGGTAAAGGAGACGGTCACCACTTGTGACCTGTCCTTGCCTATAACAAATTTCCTCCTTGGTTCCACTTCTACTTCTCTGGTCTCACAAAAGTCGCATAAGGTACTCACTTACTGTATTAAGGGCTGACTTCTTATTGTTCATTTTTAAAATACACCCTATATTCTGTTTAGAATTAAAAGAAGCTCTAATGTGGACAAAACCAATTTCTTAGAGGTTAGCAAAATTTTATTTTTCTCCTGGAAAATTACTAAAATTCTGTAGAAGGGACCCATCTCTACCTAGCATGGAGAGCAAGAAAATACACAGAAAAACAGTTCTACAAAAGCACAGTACTGCTTTTAAAACCACATCTAGGGCAGCCTGGGTGGCTCGGAGGTTTAGTGCCTGCCTTCAGCCCAAGGCATGATCCTGGAGACCGGCATCAGGATCCCTCCATGGAGCCTGTTTCTCCCTCTGCCTATCTCTCTGCCTCTCTCTGTGTGTCTCTCATGAATAAATAAATAAAATCTTAAAAAAAAAAATAAAACCACACCTAATAAAACCACATCAAAGTCCCTGTTAGGGACTCGCCTGTATCCATAATTCTCATGTTCTAGCCCTAACCCTGGTGCTTCAGAATGCGAGTGTCTTTGGAGACAAGGCCTGTAAGAGGTGATCAAGTTAGAATGAAGTCTTTAAGGTGGGCCCTCATCCCTTATGATTGGTGTCCTTAAAGGAAGCAGAGGTGAGGACACAGGCTCACAGTGCAGGATGCCCAAGTGAAGGCACAGGGAGACCTGGCATCTACATGCCCAGGAGAACCAGCCCTGCCTGCCCCGGGACCTCAGACTCCAGCCTCCAGGACCACCAGATGACAAATGCCTGTTATCAAAGCCATCCGGCCTGTGGCGCTCCATTTTGGTGGTCCAAGCAGACCAGTATAGCCACGAAGCCATATTTCAGTAAAATCACACAACAGACTCTAAACAAGCACAGCGGTGCTGTATATACACGTTCTCACATTCTTTTTAAAGCAGAACCTGGATCGTCACCTGCTTACAGTACTAGCCGAGTTACCTGAACTTCAAGATCAGCCTGCAGCACACCAGTGGTTTATAGAAATTAGGTTGCAAATTGCTGTGCAGACCCACTGCCACCAGTTCTCTCTCCTTGCCAACCCCACACTAGGAACAGTCCCACTGTGCAGCAAGCAAGAAGCCGGGTGGTGATGCCAAACCTGCTTACCTCAGCGCGCACTGCACACCCGTCTCATCCCCGTAGGCAGAATAAAGCAGTTCCGTTTCGTCCGATTTCAAGTCGCCAAATACTGAATTGTTGTGCATGGAAAGTGCAGTAGTGGCACTGGAGAGAAATGTCACTGAGAGCACAAGAGGGAGAGCAAGAGGACATGAGACACATGTGCTAGTGGTGCCTGGCAGGAGACACACTGCACTGTCCAGGGGCTGTGCGCCCCCACCCCCACCATCACACCCCACCTCCTGCGTGCTACTCCGCTCTTGACACACCTGAAGCCAGAGCAGCTTTCTGGGTCTAACTAGTAGAACTGCCTCAACACCCTCGTTTTACAAGCAGAGAACCAGTTACATTCTGTAGTGAGGTGAGCATCGGGTTCCCATCCCATCCCAAAGAGTGCTGGCAGCTGTGCCAGCAGACAGAGGCTGCCTCCTGCCCAGAGGATGTCAAGGGAGTCAGAGGATCACCACCCACGAGAAGGCGTTGCTGGCACCTCCACATAAGTCAGACCTTGAGAGGAGGGAGTGCTCTGGGCCTCTCCCCACTCGATGCCGGCAGTACCAGTGTGACCAGAAAACATCCCCAGGGACTGCTAGGTGTCCCCTGGGAACAAAGCTGCTGCATGCCCTGACGTACTCTGAAACCGGCAAGCCGGCCACAAACACCAGCGCAGCCAACACCGCAGCCTCTCCCTCCTCCAGTGTGCCCACCCAGCCCTCCGTCTCCCACCTTGCTCACTCGTGCTGTCCAGACACTCTCATGCACTCCCCACCATTGGCATGGGGCTCAGATCCACCCATTGGTAAGAGCAGACGGCAAGGGAAGAGCTCGCCCGCTCACTTCTATTCTATTCCCCTCACTCCTAATGACCTTAACTTCGCCGCTACATCAGAGCCAGCATGTGGACACAGTAGTAAAAACAGGTGATCCCTGAATACCTTGGGGAGGACCCCGCTCCACACCCCTACTGTGACACCCCCCCCCCCCCCCCGCCAACCTGCCCGTCTCACTCACCTTTGCCCCTTCTCTCGTCTTTGAAGCCCAGCGTGGTGAAGCCGGGCAGCAGCTTGCTGGAGAGCGAGCTTAGGTCCACTGGGTGGGTCTCCTCCTCTGCAAGAGGACCTGCTGTGAGCTTGCAGCTCGGGAGCCCCCAGCCCCTGCAGTGCCTCTCATGGGCATGGGCATGGGGGAGGGCACAGGCGCTTTTCACAAACACCAGCTAGAGTCAAATTCACAGGAGCCACTATAATTCTCAAACCTTCTCTTTTTCTTTCCAAGCCAGCACTTGATCCGCTTATCTGTTCTCTCACAAGAACATTACCACTCATTCCAGCCAGAGTGCACACATGGTCTGCATTGGAGAACACGACGCAAACCTATCTCCCGTCCAGGGCCCCCCTCCCCACCCCAAGAGAACACTGCCGGGTGCCCTGGTGGGTGGGAGCAGCCCTACAGCCATGCAGGCGAGACCAATGCACAGTATCTCATTTTCCCTGGTACATGAGTGTCTTACAAGTGCAAGCGAACTTTGCCTTTCTTCAAAGGACAACCCTTTGAGACACTTTTCAAAGAGATGGATGAGGATACACATGCTTCTTAGAGCCCAGAGAAGTGACTGCATAGGTGAGCAGACCCAGCATCTGTGCCTCCCTCAAGATTCTCCTTATTAACAGGATTCTCAAACAGGGAATTTCTTCCAAAGCTCACAGTTGGGGCTCTTCCGAGCTCTGCGAGTGGAGATTTGAATACTCTGGTTTCTCTCTGACATATCAAGAAATCCTCTGCGATGCCATCAGGAAGTCGAGCCATAAGGACTTCTAGAATTGCAGCTCTGCAGGAATGCAGCTCCAAGTCCTGCCGCCTAGCCTAGGGGCCACTGAGCATGAGAGGCCTGAGCAACACCTCTGCCCCCACTGGACTGCCCTCTGTCCATTTATCACACACAGGTCTTATCAAGGAGATGCTTATCTGTGCTCTACCATGGGTGCCATGCTCTGCAGGGGAAACACTGATCTCAAACAAAACCCCTGGCAGTGCAGAGATGGAGAAAGCAGCATGTGGGCCTCAGAGAAGCCCAGCCCCTCCAGAGCCCACTCACCATCAGCGTCCGGCTCAGCCGTGTTGACCACACTGTAGAGGAGGCTGCCGTCCCCATTCTTCCTCAGATAACCCATCTGCAAAAAAGCACAACTGAGTGCCTGTACCCCCAATGAGCTTCCTGCTATCGTGGCTGCTGCTGCTATGCCAATAAAATCAAGGCCTTCCAGTACAGCCTAAGTGGGATGAATCCCAGGCCACGAGGTTCTTGGTTTCCCCATGGAAAAGGCCACAGAGGCCCCTCTCGTACCTTCCCCAATTTAACTTCAGACGTGTGTGCACTGGGAGGACTCAGGCTTGTGACCCTTCTAAAGCCGCTTTGGAAATAGGAGACTTTAGGCAGAACTGACCAATTTATAGGGCATGGGAACTTGAACCAGATGAAGCTAGAACAAGACCCTAGTCTCCAAGTGCCGTGTCTGTGGACAGCCTAGAGGCTCCATCTCTAAACCACAAGGGACTTACTTCCACTTAAAGACCAACCATGAACAAAACCACTCCTCCTCTAAAAACCTCTAGGAACGTTTGTCCAGGAAGAGGAGCACCTGCACGTTGATGTGGGAATGGGATGAGGAGGGCCTTTGGGCCTGCGAGCTGGAGTCTGAGTGCAGGGCTGGGAGGAGAAGTGGGGACGGGAGGACTGATTGTCCCTGACCAAGAAATTAATCAGGTTTCTCACTGTGGAATTCTAACACCAAAACAGAGGACAGCGAAGCAGGTGCAGTGCCAGGAGCAATGGGTGTTGGTGTGGGCACGTGCTTCTGACCAGTACACACAGGTCAACACCGGGTTTTTCCAAGCCCTACCCATGGAGGGCCCCAGGGCTCCTTGGAGACCCCAAAGTTAGAGCACAACAGGCGTGCAGACCAGCAGCTCCAGGAGAACACCACCACAAGCTACAAAGGGAACGTCAAACTTCCTACCAGGAAGCTTTATAGTAAGTAAAAAAGAAATTTACCTCAGCGTTTTTATATAACCTGGCATATCTAAAATTTCATCGGTCAGAATTCTTTATACTCTGTTCACTGAACATTTTGAAGAGTTCACGTTAAAATAGAATGTGAAGTTCTAGTGTTTTTCATAGAGTACCTGCTGACAGGAGACTGTGGATATACCATGTCAATAAAACGTACCAGGATTAATTTCATCTCCATCCTTGTTACCAAGACTACATGGTTTAAAACTACGCAGGGAACGCCTGAGTGGCTCAGTGGTTGACCTGCCTTCGGCTCAGGTCATGATCCCGAGGTCCTGGGATCGAGTCCCACAACAGGGACTCGCAGGGAGCCTGCTTCTCCCTCTTTCTGGGTCTCTCATGAATAAATAAATAAAATCTAAACCGCTCTATATCTGCACGGTTTCTACAGGACATGCTGATCTATTCTTATGGCAGAAAACGTGCTGAAAGGATGCAGGGGCCTCTTCCTGAGGACCAGCAGCTGCTGCGGCAGCTCCCAAGGCCCACACCTGGGACACATGAGCCCACGGCATACCACAGAGGTGCAGAGACACGAGCACACCAGAAGGTTCAAGCTGTGGTGCAGAAGCCTGGCAGGCCCAGCTTCCATCAATGGTAACCAACATTCCCACTGAAGGGCGGGTCTGTCATGGCCGTCCACCCACTGCACACCACCTCTGGGAGGGTCCTGCCTGTGAGGCACCCTCGGAGGCCTTTCCCACCCAGGAAACAGAGCCGGTGACAGGAGCCAACACAACTCCGCAGTGAACAATGCATCAACAGGGTGCAGCGCCGCCCAGACCTCCTGACGCTACCTTGCCCCTGGGAGGAGCCGGTTGATCCTGTCCCGAGCCTCGTCAGCTGCGTGCTCCACCAAGGCCAGCACGTGCTCCTCCGCCGTGCTGTCAGTCAGGCTGCAAGCATTTCCTTCCGGCTCAAACATGCAGCTATGAAGAAGCAGGAGCACCACACAAGTCACCAGGAGACCGGGGCACATGCTGCTCCCACCTCACCCGTGGCCAGTCCCTAACACTCCTCAAGGTCACCAGGAGCTGGCAGGAGCAACACAAGGCATATCTTAATCCGTACCTTTTAGCTGCAACCACAGAAATACAAAACACTTCCCCCTAGGAGTAAAGGTAACCCCAACAGCCACAAGGCATTCCTCGTGTCCCAGTTACACATGTCCATCTGAGAGCCACCTGACTGGAACCTCAATGCCTGATATAGGAAGCTGACAAAACTACAGTGTCATTTGAGGCACCATTTGAAAAAGGGGCAAAACTCCGTGGAGAGCCGAAGCACCAGCAACAAGTGTGAGCTGGAAAGACAAGGGGCCCCAGGAGCCCCATGTGAAGGAGTTCTTTACTCAAACAATCAAGAGTCACCGGGTGCAGCACCCAAGGGAGGTGGGCCTCTCCTGTGGAACGTTCTAGATGCAAATGGTAGACTTTTTATAAGGAGCTATGGGAGCAAAGCCTGCCTGGGGACCCTGAGCCTATAAGAAAGCTCTCTCTCTGGTCCAGGGTGTAGGACCGCAGGAGCTGGACACTCAGGGGGTACGATGAGAAAGAAGCCCCAGCCCCAACTCCCATGTGTGCCACCTGCCCAACAGCACAGTTCTGTCTCGAGGCTGAGAGAGTTAAGCCAGGCCAGCAGCATGCGTCCTGCATAGGACAGAACCTCTTAGGAGTGAAGGGCCAATGATTATCCACAAACAACACATGCATGGGAGCAGCTGTGACCTGATGGGCTCTGGTGACATGGCTGGGACAGAGCCCCAGTGTGGTGGCAGAGGCTGTCCTGCCCTTGGCCCCCTATGTCCACAAGCAAGACAGTGACTCTCCTGCAGAACAAATCCTAGCTGGTCCAGGTTGGCTGCCAGCTGCCTGGTAACACCTGATGCTAGAGCTCGGATCTAGGCCCAGGGGCCTGTGTTCCCCCCAGCGCGTGGCACAAGGAGCCCGTCCTTGAGCAACTCCAAGGACGTGGGCCCTGGCACAGGCTCACCCCCCCGCCTTCCCAAGTGTGTCCCACACAGCAGGCAAATGCACTTCCCTGTACCTGATAACTTCTCTACTCGGCCTTTTGGATTTCTTGGCAGTTTCTACTTGTACAGGTGCCACTTCGGGGACAGGTTCCTCGACAGCTGTATCTTCATTGCCCAGAAGAGCTGCCTGCTGAGAAAAATCCATGTCCTGCATAAACGACATGCTGCGCTTCAAAGCTAACAGCCGCTCCTAGAATCAAAAAGGACAGAGCAGCAGGGCTTTACCTCTGCCCCACACCAGGGTGCCATGACGATGGGTGGGATGGGGATGGCCCAGCCTCACCTGGCCTAACCGCTGACCCCCACAGCGCTACCACAGGAGGTGGTCACGGGAGTCAGCACCAAATGTGTAGGTGACCAGCTGGGAGCACCCCGGGGCCAGCAGAGGGGACAGGCCGGGGGGCACGGGGCCCGCACCTCACCTATAGGCTGATCGGGCACAAGGCACTGGTCCTAGATGCATGACGCATGCAACCTGGCTCATGGGACAGATCTGGGAGGCCACTCCGACAGCCAAGATGTCTCATCTAGATTCAGTGGGCAGCCACGTAAAACAAATCATAGGCTGGCTGCAATCCAGTGAGACAAGATGCCCAGGCTCAGATCGACAGATCCAGAACTTTCCACCAACCCTACGGGAGACGTTACAGCTGGGTCATGAGCATGAGCAGAGAGAGAGAAAAGAGACTGCCTGCAGGGAAGGGTGACCTGGGACATCTACCCTAGAGCAGGGGGTCCACACCGCGGCCAGTGACGGATGGATGGAAGCATGTCATTCACTGGGGGTGAGGTTCTGTTTAGGCATAAAAATACAGAGGAGAACTCTCGTTTCTGTGGCTCCTTGCTGTCAATGGGCTTCTTACTTTGCTCATCATCTTAAAGCCTGCATGAAGGATCTTCTTGGCTAACTTGTAATACACAGTGTCTGGTCTGTTGTAGGTCATGGCGTTATCACACATCAGTTTAAAATCTGCCTGAAAGGGAAAAAAAAAAATAGTATCCATCCAATTTGAAATACCACCAAGACAAGAGCAGAAATTGGATTCCTGTCAAGAGGCTCAAAGTGAGTGAGAAACAACTAGATTAAGCTCATTAGTTTAACAAACGGTTTCCACAGCCCTTCAGAAAAACGTCCCTAACTGTTCATTGGTCTTTCCCTGCACACGGTGAGAAGCCTGCCAAGCCCTGAACTTCCTCCCAAGTGTGACATGCACACATTCTAAGAATATGGCAGCTCCCTCTCTTCCATCTCCAGCTCACCCATTCTGGGAGGAACTCAGATGTAAATGGAATAAGAACTGACAGTCAGCTTCTTTTGATTAAAGTTAAGGGATGAGCTGAGACCTGGGCACGTTCATGTCCTCTATCTCTGGGATTTTTCCACAGAATTCAGAATTTGGTCTACAGGTAATTTCTCTACAAGTATCAGAAAAAACATTTCCCTAAAACAAGGAAACTCTTACTGAACAACTTATGTTAAAGGTAAACTATTGGAAACTTCAGTATCTTGTCCCCCTAACCAAATTACATTGGGCACACACCTATCACAGGTGAGTCAGCCACCAGGAGGCACAAAGATAGCTAAAGCCAGCCGGGCAATGCAGTGCAATCTCTCCCGGCCCTTTCCAAATGCCAGCACTGGCCCTGAGCCAAGGCCTCCAAGCCCCTGTCCTTCGCTGGCCCCGAGGTACCAGTCTTGAGGATGCCAGGGGTAAGGGGACACTGCTCACAGCCAGGACGGTCACCGGGCAGCAGATGAAACTCAGGCCCATGTTAGGAAGGTAGAGGAGTTTCGGGCTGCCGCTAGCCATCTGCCCAACCCTTCCGTGGAAACCCCACCGCACGCCGTACCCTTTCACGAGGTACTGCTTCTGCAACTCAGCAAAACCTCTCAGTCACGTCACCAGGAAATGAAAGTAAAAAAGCCAAGTCTTCCAAATTTCACAGAAACTAAGAAAGAAACCTGATGCCCTTTCCTAAATGACATTATTAGCAAAATTGTCACTCATTTTAATCCCTCTAGGTTTTGAAGCCAAGAACCAATTTCTATCTCACAGATGGTAACAAAAAACAGATTTAAAAACTACGTACGTGGGACACCTGGGTGGCTCAATGGTTTAGCCCCTGCCTTTGGCCCAGGGCGTGATCCTGGAGTCCTGGGGTGGAGTCCTGCATTGGAATCCCTGCATGGAGCCTGCTTCTCCCTCTGCCTGTGTCTCTGCCTCTCTCTCTCTCTATCTCTTGTGAATAAATAAAATCTTAAAAATAAATAAGTAAATAAAAGCTATATACTCAAGAACTGTAAGAATTTATTATTAAAAAAAAAAAAAAAAACGCGGATCCCTGGGTGGCTCAGCGGTTTGGCGCCTGCCTTTGGCCCAGGGCGGGATCTTGGAGTCCCAAGATCGAGTCCTACGTCAGGCTCATGGCATGGAGCCTGCTTCTCCTTCCTCCTGTGTCTCTGCCTCTCTCTCTATCATAAATAAATAAACAAAAATAAATCTTTTTTTTTTTAAAAAAAGCTAAATTCCTGGTTAATATAAAACTAAATATTAGAATAACTTTTTCTAGAAATAAACACTCTATAGCTAGACCAAATCGGACACACTCCTGTTTGACCCAATGCGTTTCTATGGCTTTGCAACATACAGTCGGGTTTCCAGACAAAAACAAGGAGAACGTTTCAGTCAACCCGCTCCTTCAATGCGAACGTTTCAGTCAACCCGCTCCTCAGTTTGTGTCTGGGCGACCCCAGCCCAGATGCTCCAAAGCCCATGGAAACTTGCAACTGGAAACGAGCTAAGACAGAGTGTTCACTGGACATAAACAAACAGAGCCTCACAACAGTGATTTGAGGAACTGAAACTAGTTTACCTTAAATTCCGTGACTGACTTGTATTCGTTGGCTACAATCTTGTCTTTCATTGTGCCAAAATCCATGGGATGTTTTATTATCATTGAGTATCCTGGAGCAATTGCATCCGTGACAGGAAAAGCAAAAAACCCATGAGGATCTTTTCTAAAAACAAAAACATCTTTACTTAAACTGGGAAAACTACAGATCTAGATCTCCAAATGATACAAAACTCCAGATAATAAAAACGTAACACAACTCACCAAGTTTTAAGCCTGTTTCTTAAAAAATAAAACAAAACACCTATGCTGCTTACAATTGTGGTAGATGTTTTATGTGACTAAGAATTCCGAAACAGCCTTCCTGGCTCCAGTGACATGTGAATCATGACGGCCTTGACCCCTCTGCGCTGACTTGGCAGCCGGCTCTTCCACGCTGCTCCCCCAGATGCTCACCCACCCCCCACCCTACCAGCGGTCTGCCTCTCAGGTGGAGGTGGGGGAAGACACCCCCATGTTCCCAAGCTCAAGCTCTCAAGAAACTGTTTACCTCTGGAGCTGGCGAAGAAAATGCTCTAATAGTTGCTGAATAGGCGTGCTCTCATTCTCAGCTGATGATTCAAAAAAATAAAAAAAATAAAGGTGAGTCGAGAGATTTTGTTCTCACAGCATTGTAAAGCTCCGACACCATGAGATGCACTTAGCTTTTGTTAGCTATTTTGTGTTTCATGGTGTTTTCAGTTCCAAAGGAACTGGGTACAAGAGTAAACCAGGCCCAGTCCTGGCCACTAAAACGCTAAGCTGGGTGGGAAAGGGTATCACTCACAGCATCAAGTCCCAAAAACCCCTCAGAGCACCAACACCTGAGTGTGACAACAGGGAACTATCACTCAGCCATGTGTGACAGTGCCAGTCACCCTAGGCCCGGCATATTCCAGACATGGTATGAAGAAGAGACTATGACACAGAGGTGGAGCTTCGCCAAATGACCTCTCACGAGAGTCCTAGATCTCTGGTCCTGCCTGTTCCTCATCTGTGCAGGAAGCGCACGCGTACACACACACACACACACACACACACACACACACACACACACCAGGTTAGCAATGTCTCTGGGCCCACAGTGTGAACATGAGGATTCTGGTGAATGTAAACACAGAGGCTGGCACAGGTTTTGTTCTCTTGGTTGTGAGCAGGCAGGTGCCTTTCCTCCTGCCCCCCACTGAGGGCCATATCAGCACCCAGACCTCAGTTTCTGAACGCTGTGCTGCACTAAGGAGTGCAGACCTGCAGTGGGTCTTCGAGGTGTGCCATCAGCACTTCAAGCACATGGGAGGGAAGCACTGCACGTAGGACCTGAAGCAAGCCGTTATTCAGACTCAGCTCACAGTGACTGGCAACTGTCTAAACTCCGCACACACACTCACCTAGTGCGCTGCTGCTCTGCGCCCCACCTCCCACCTGCTCGCCATGGCAATGACCTACACAGAGCAAGGGGATCCCTCCAAAACTATAGATAGTCAAATCCCAAGTCCAGAAAACACCATAGCCTCCCAACCATGTGCAAGTCTCTGACAGAAGTGGCTCAGAACCTTTCCTCTGGTGAAGCCGGTATGACCCTGTGGTTTCTGACAGCCTCACTAATTGACTCGACCATGAGTTTCCTCCTACCCACGATGAGATTGGGAGTTTACAGGGGGAGCGGGACACAGGAGCAGCTGGCCAAGCTTCGCGCTAGAAGTTCAAAGGTGACAGTAAGACCTGAGGCCCAGCTACGCTTCATATCGAGAAAATAGCATTCCCTCCCTCCCGCGCTCCTCCTGAGACACCAACCAGCACACCAGTGCCGACCAAGATGTCACAGACACGAGCCGTGATGCTCCCGGAAAACCTCACCTGGCTGTGTTCGGCACGCTCGAACAGGCCTATCGGGGGGCGGCTCCACCTCCACCTTCTTCCCAGGATCAAAGTCATCGGTCTCTCCCTCCGTGTCGCCATGCTCCTTTTCCCGCTTCCGCTTCTTCTCTTCCTGTGAGGCAGAGGCAGGGCAGCGAGAGCAACGCAAGCAGTTTTAAATAGATCTCCTGGAACTGAGGGGAAACACAGAACTAAGAGAGAAACCCCTGCAGAGCACTTCTTACTCAGAGCCCCACCTCACAGCAACCACCCCGGGGCTCAGGCCAGAAGGACCTGCTGGCCTGGGTTTTGCTACAAACAGGACAACCCTGGCCTGAGGCCGTGCAGCACTCACAGGCCGCTGTGTCCCTGGCTCTACCTTTCTTTTCCTTCTTTCTTCGTCGTCCAGGTGCTTCTCCTTCTCTGATTTCTTTTTCTTCTTCTTCTTCTTCTCTTTGTGCCGCTCTCGCTCGTGGTCCGACCTGTCATCATAATAACTGGAATCGTGCCCAGACCCCGAGAGCTCAGTCACTTCACTTCCTCCGACTTTGAGAACCAGCTTCAGGGGCTTCTCCAGAGGCTTGTCTGTGTAATCTGTGGACAGAAACCCGGGGCCTCACTGTGTGTTCCTCCCCAGGTGATGGCACGGCGGGCTCAACGTGCAGGTGTGACCACCAGAATGCCCAGGCCCCAGGAGGCAGTGGCATCGGCCCAGCTAAGGCAGCAGGCAGGGGAACAGCAGAACCACGGTGGAAAGACAGGGAGGTGGACCCCAGAGCAGCCACTGTTTCCTCCCCTTCATGCCGCCTTATGCTCAGGGGGCCCAGGAGGAAGCAGTCGGCGGGGGAGGGGGACCAATCCAGGAGCTTCCCACCCCGCCCCTAAGCTCTGGGACTCAGTCCACCCCCTGGTCCTGCAGCAGCCGCTGGGTTGACTCATGTGGGCACAAGCTGCCGCAGGCCCGTTGGCAGGCACTGGGATGGTCACCCCCTACTCAAAGACCAGAGCAGCCAACAGATGCTCGACTCCCTTCTCAAGGATTCAGGACCCAACCAGATGCCTGAGAGCCCTGGACTCCTGCCTAGAACCACCTCCAGTGATCCCTCCTGCCCTGGACCCTTCCTGGGGACCTGCCGAGGCCCTGAAAGCCCTCCCTGGGGCCCCCGCCGAGGCCAGCCCTTGCACCCTCTCCCTGCCCCCGGCCCCTCCCGGGCCCCCGCCGAGGCCAGCCCTTGCACCCTCTCCCTGCCCCGGGCCCCTCCCCGGGCCCCGCCGAGGCCAGCCCTTGCACCCTCTCCCTGCCCCCGCCCCTCCCCGGACCCCCGCCGAGGCCAGCCCTTGCACCCTCTCCCTGCCCCGGGTCCCCTCCCCGGGCCCCCGCCGAGGCCAGCCCTTGCACCCTCTCCCTGCCCCGGGCCCCTCCCCGGGACCCCCGCCGAGGCCAGCCCTTGCACCCTCTCCCTGCCCCGGGCCCCTCCCCGGGCCCCCGCCGAGGCCAGCCCTTGCACCCTCTCCCTGCCCCGGGCCCCTCCCCGGGCCCCCGCCGAGGCCAGCCCTTGCACCCTCTCCCTGCCCCGGGCCCCTCCCCGGGCCCCCGCCGAGGCCAGCCCTTGCACCCTCTCCCTGCCCCGGGCCCCTCCCGGGACCCCGCCGAGGCCAGCCCTTGCACCCTCTCCCTGCCCCGGGCCCCTCCCCGGGCCCCCGCCGAGGCCAGCCCTTGCACCCTCTCCCTGCCCCGGGTCCCTCCCCGGACCCCCGCCGAGGCCAGCCCTTGCACCCTCTCCCTGCCCCGGCCCCTCCCCGGGCCCCCGCCGAGGCCAGCCCTTGCACCCTCTCCCTGCCCCGGGCCCCTCCCTGGGACCCCGCCGAGGCCAGCCCTTGCACCCTCTCCCTGCCCCGGGCCCCTCCCCGGGCCCCCGCCGAGGCCAGCCCTTGCACCCTCTCCCTGCCCCCGGCCCCTCCCCGGGCCCCCGCCGAGGCCAGCCCTTGCACCCTCTCCCTGCCCCGGGTCCCTCCCCGGACCCCCGCCGAGGCCAGCCCTTGCACCCTCTCCCTGCCCCGGCCCCTCCCCGGGCCCCCGCCGAGGCCAGCCCTTGCACCCTCTCCCTGCCCCGGGCCCCTCCCGGGACCCCGCCGAGGCCAGCCCTTGCACCCTCTCCCTGCCCCGGGCCCCTCCCCGGCCCCCGCCGAGGCCAGCCCTTGCACCCTCTCCCTGCCCCGGGCCCCTCCCTGGGACCCCTACCAAGGCCAGCCCTTGCACCCTCTCCCTGCCCCCCGCCCCGGCGCTCAGGGCCCTCCCTCGGGACCCCGCCCGCCGCGAACGCCCCGCCCGGCGTCACAAAGCGCGCCCGCCGCCTCACCCTCGTAGGACGAGCGCCACTCGGTCTTGTGCTTCTTGTGCTTCTTGCCCATGGCGGCGCGGGGCCCGGGCGCGGGGCCGAGGGCAGCAGCGAGCCCGGCCGGAGCGTGGCCGCCGCCCCCGCGGCCCTGGCTCGCCGCCCGCCTAGCCCCGCGCAGGTCGCGGGGCCGCGCCGGAAGCAGGCGCCGCGGCCGGAAGTCGGCCCTCCCCGCCCTGCCGGCGCCTAGCGCTTCCGGGTCAGGGGTCGGCGCGCGGCACTTTCAAGCGCGGGCGGGCGGCGGGAGCGGCGGCGGCGGGGGTGCTGGTGGCGGTGGCGGTGCAGGGCGCGAGGCGGCGACGGCCACGCTCCGGCCGGGCCCCCGCTGCTCCGGGCGGCGGCGCCATGGACGAGGCGGTGGGCGACCTGAAGCAGGCGCTGCCTTGCGTGGCCGAGGCGCCGACCGTGCATGTGGAGGTGCACCAGCGCAGCTGCAGGTGAGCCCCAGCCCGACCCCGGCCCTGACCCCGGACCCGGACCGCGGCCCTGACTCATGCGGGCGCTCGCACGGCGCGAGAGAGGACGGGCTGCGGCTCCGGAGGGAGCGCGGGGCCTGCCCCGGGAGATGGGTCTGGGCCTGGGAGCAGGAGCCGCCCTTCCAGAGCTGCTTGCGCCGCCTGGGACGCTCCCGGGCTCCGAGGGTCGCAGAGCGGGGGATCTGGGTCCCAGGGCCAGCCGGGGTCCTCAAGGGTCCTGTGATGCCCTGCAAGCTGGGCTTCTCTCCAATGAACCACACCCCCGGGGCTCCTGGCAAAAGGCTTCCCTAGGCGCTGGGAGGTTTGCTCTTTCACTTGTAGCGGTCAGAGCCGGCCCTTCCTGAGCACTGGCTGTGCACCGCCTGGTCCCCAGCACCCGGACGTGCTGACCCACCCTCCACGCCTGGTGCCCAGCACCTGGACCTGCTGACCCACCCTCCCGGCCTGGTCCCCAGCCCCTGGAGGTGCTGACCCACCCTCCCAGCCTGGTGCCCAGCACCCGGACGTGCTGACCCACCCTCCCGGCCTGGTCCCCAGCCCCTGGAGGTGCTGACCCACCCTCCCAGCCTGGTGCCCAGCACCCGGACGTGCTGACCCACCTTCCCAGCCTGGTCCCTAGCACTGTGAGTGTGCTGACCCACCCTCCCGGCCTGGTCCCCAGCACCTGGACCTGCTGACCCACCTTCCCAGCCTGGTCCCTAGCACTGTGAGTGTGCTGACCCACGCTCCCGGCCTGGTCCCCAGCACCTGGACCTGCTGACCCACCTTCCCAGCCTGGTCCCTAGCACTGTGGGTGTGCTGACCCACCCTCCCGGCCTGGTCCCCAGCACCTGGACTTGCTGACCCACCTTCCCAGCCTGGTCCCCAGCACCTGGACTTGCTGACCCACCTTCCCAGCCTGGTCCCTAGCACTGTGGGTGTGCTGACCCACCCTCCTGGCCTGGTCCCCAGCACCTGGGCGTGCTGACCCACTCTCCGGGCCACTGGTATAGCAGGAAGCACTACTGCCACCCCTTTCTCTGAAGGAGAGCATACAGGTTCTGGATCATCCTCCAAGCACTCCCTGTAGCTGCAAGTGAGGTGCAGGTGGATCCGTAGGCAAGAGTTGTGCCATCTGCAGTGGCCTCACTTGAAGGCTTACTGTCACAGTCTAGTAAGCTGAGCCCTTATCTTACTGTCTCCTTTGTTTTCCCAGCACTGCAAAAAAAGAAGACATTAAGCTGAGTGTAAGAAAGCTACTCAACAGGCATAATATTGTGTTTGGGGACTACAAGTGGAATGAGTTCGATGATCCTTTTCTGGCCAGAAACGTGCAGTCAGTGTCTATTGTTGACACAGAGTTAAAGGTGAAAGACCCACAGGTAATTGGTTCACCATGAAGAGGAATCCCTCATCCCCAGCTGAATATAGAGTCAGCATCACAAGGGCACCTGGCTGGCTCAGTCTGGGGAGCATGTAATCTTGGCCTTAGGTTCAGCAGTTGAGGCTCCACATTAGATGTAGAATTTACTTTTAAAAAGGAAAAAAACAACAACAACAAAGTATCACAAATATTTGCTTGGTTCTTTGGTGATGTGTTGTCAGAAACTGGCAGGTTTATCTGTTGGCTTTTAAGAGGAGCACCGGCTCTGTAAAGAGCCAGGTACTGAAGTGGATGTGGCCTTCCTCTTGGGATGCCGCACAGTGGGGTGGTGGGCTGTGGTGATGAGACCCCCCCCCGCCCCAGCCCACTCCCTGTTCTTGTGATCAGTGGGGGTCTGGTGGGCTCACTGGGCACAGGACCATAGGAGGCGTGGGGGCTGCAGAGAGGAGGTGGGCTTTCCTTCTAGAAGGTCCTCATTTAGTCCAGTGTGGACCACTCACCATCTTTGCATGAGAGGGTAGATGCTGTGGGGCCTTTCTGTCACTATGAAGACAACCCGAAGATGGGAAGATGCAGCACCTATGTTTGTGTGGTTCACGTCTCGTAAAGAATCAGTTTGTAGGATTGGCTTGGCACTGAGATTTTGCTTGCAAGGTGGACCTCCCCATCTGTATGCTGGGACTAACGTTTGTGGCTATGTCAGTTTTATTCGTCATCCTAGATTTTGGCTAGCCGGAAGGAACCTGATGAGCTTTCCACAGTGTGGAGGAAAGACAGCTTAACAGCCTAACTGGAGCTAGTAACCATGTTAACGTTCTCATCTTTGACCCTGCAGGTTCAGCTAGAGGAATTGTCTGGATGACAAGTGCGTGATTTTGCAGAGATACGTGAACGACTTATATATGTTGTTAAGAATAGTTCTATTTGAAATAATTGTTCATCAGTCAGAGGTTGGCTGGGCAAATGATACATCCACACCCAATGTGGAATTGCTAGGAAAAAGCACTGGTCAGATTCCTGTCTACTGACAGAAATGTTTCCAAGCTCTACCGAGGGGGAAAGGCACAGTTAGAAATCTGCAGTCAGATGTATTTTGGTCAAATACGTGTGGCTGTGTCATAGACCAGAGCATGGGTGAGGCGGATGTGGAGGCCTTTGGCATTCTTCATTCTGTGTTTTTTGTATTTTTCCACCTATTTTCAGGTTTATATGAAACTTTCATGATTACAAAGAATAATTAAGGGCTTTCTTAAACAAAAGGGGCGGGGAGAAACATTTTAAAATTAGGTAATCCTAAATTTGAACATAAAAGCTTCTCTTCCTGATCTAAAAACTGTTTTTTGACATTCTGCACGTTTGATCTTTGTTTTTGGAAATTACCATCTAATTTTGATGAGTAGAATTAGGAAGTGAGTTATTTTCAGTTTGCGTGGATTTATTTGATCTCTTTTCTCACCACAGCCCATTGATCTGGGTGCTTGCACAATTGCACTTCACGTCTTCCAGCTGAATGAGGGTGGCCCCAGCAGCGAGACTCTAGAGGAGGAAACCGAGAACATCACTGCGGCAAGTCACTGGGTCCTGCCTGCAGGTGCGGGACAGTGATGGTGGGCAGGCCACACCCGGGACACAACATCAGATGCCGGCATGTGACTCTCCCAAGTTGTTAACTGAGGGGACTGTATTCATCCCTAGGCTTTTGGGATGTCTTATTTCTTAAAGGTGGAAAACATGTCACATAGAGGAGAGGAGAGGTCTCCACTGTGAAACTGTATCCCCTCAGGCAGGTCCCTCTGAGCTGGTGCGGATTGAGAATCTGGAGGTGTTCCTTTCCTGCCCAGTTGGTCACCTGCTGAGCCACTCTTTGCTCCTGCCTTCTCTGTGCTTCTCTGTGGACTTTGCCGTAGTTCTAGCAGGTGGAGTCCTGGGGTTAATTCCCTCCTTGGAGTTTATGTCTGAAGTCCTAACAGCTGGACTAGACTGGCCGCTGCTCTGCCCCAGTGCTGGCTAGTGGGGGGGAGTGGTGGCGGGCCAGGGTCTGCGCTCCTGGCAGAGTGCAGGTCCACAAACACAATTGTGTGTGGTAACATGACAAGAAAATAACTGTATTCTTTTGAATTATCTGTCAAAAGTTACGTGACTGGTAGTTATTTAACATCTTTATAGTTTTGGGCAGCCCGGGTGGCTCAGCGGTTTAGCGCTGCCTTCAACCCAGGGCGTGATCCTAGAGACCCGGGATTGAGTCCCACTTTCGGGCTCCCTGCATGGAGCCTACTACTTCTTCTGCCTGTGTCTCTGCCTCTCTCTGTGTGTGTCTCTCATGAATAAATAAGTAAAACCTTTAAAAAAAAAAAAAAAAACAACTTCAGTTTTAAAAAGAATTGAAATTTTAAGAAAACTTCAAAAGTTTAACTTTCTTATAGTAAGAATCTCAGCCAGCCACACATGGAGCAATGGAGAGCATCCATGGCTCAGAGCAGACCTCATAGATCAGTGTAATGTCTCCTTTCCTAAAATTAGGTTTTTGTTTTATTCTCTCCCAGCTGAATTCCATGGGCTTTGGGACAGCCTGGTATATGATGTGGAAGTCAAATCTCATGTAAGTTGCTGTGCTATTTTCCAAGAAGGCCGGTTGTTTAAAGTGGGATCAACATTGTATTGCTCTTCAACATCTTGTAACCCCTTGACTCCAATAGGCTTTGGGAACTTAGGTCCACCTACAGCCCATGTCCTGCGTATCTGTCCTTGGGTTGTCCCCAGCAGAGTCAGTCTCGGGGAGAAAGGGGAAGGTGCCCAATATGAAGACAGCTTTCATTGATGGTGCTCTTAAGAACCCACAGGGACTGAGGAGGCAGGGCCGGGGGCAGACAGAGCAGGTGGGCAGGCCCAAGTGAGCACCAGTTCCTCTGAGCCCCCTTCAAGGGGAGGGGTCCTTCTGTAGGCTGTGGGGGACACTGGAGGCCCAGCCCCCCAGACACAGAGTCCTGGCTAGTGTCCTGAGCACACATGCTGCGGCTTACCCACTGCTCTGTTGTCCCCGAGGTGGGAGCTTACTCATCACTTGATAAATCTCATCGTTCTGTATCATCATTTTTAGTCAAAGTGACCCCCGCATTTGTCCTTTATGCTTACAATAGTAGCAGCCAGCCTATCCTCCTGTTTTGAGTTTCTTCTAAACCGAGAGCCTGTGAGGCATCTGCATGCAGTGGTGCTGGCAGCCTCTGAGGGGTGGCCGGGTGCCCATCCGCCCTCCTTGGGCATGAGCTCTAGCAGCACCTCTGGTGGGAATTCTCTACCCTGTCCGCAGCTTTTGACTGCATTTTACCTTTCTTCACTCAGCTCCTCGACTATGTGATGACAACTTTACTGTTCTCAGACAAGAATGTCGACAGCAATCTCATTGCCTGGAACCGGGTAGTGCTGCTGCACGGTAAAGCGTGTGGGGTGTCACTTATATAACAAGATAAACTGTGTCAAACCGGGCTTTTTTATTTGTCGCATTGACTTCTTTAAGATTTACCATTCTGTTTTCTGATGCAGCCAGAGTTGTTCTAGAATGTACCTTCCCTGAGGAGCCAATCTAGCTCACATTACTCGGGGCATCTGCTACTTGACCCTTCACTTGGTGGCCACCCACTGCCTTGGGACTTTCCTATGTTATTATCAAACTTTTCAAATAACTGCCTAATTCCCCCAAGTGATCATACGAACCTTAGGGTAGAAGTTGCCTCGTGTTTCTTTGCAGTATCCTTAGAGCTTCACTTTGTGACCGTAAACCACAACAACCATATTTTACTGAAATTCTGTCTGAATCTTCTCTGAGGAAGACACTGGGTTTTTTCTTGATGTCAGTGGTTAGAAAGGAATCCAGAGAATACTCAAATGATAGTGAGGTGGGATGCAAAGTAATTAGCTTCTTCCACCAGTTAAGGTTATAGGCTCCTGTGCCATCTTAAAGTGTCTTAAGCAGCAGATATTCTCAGCACGTTGTCCTACTAGTTCTGAGTTGGTGATCCACAGGTATTCTAATTAGTGAAAGAGCTCATTTTCTCTTTAGAATTATGTGTTTTTGTTTTGTTTTTTAATTATCAGGACCGTGTGCAGAAAATCAGAGTTGAATGTCTCTGTGTTTCCTGACAGATGCATTTGTTCTTCTACATTAGTTATCTCAGAGCTGCCACCAGGCCCCATGCTAAGTGGCACATGGGGAAGAAGCTGTGGGAATGGGGGGCCCTTGCCTGGCCATGGTTGTGGTTGAGTGTGGGCCTCAGTGAAATGATTGCCACGAGAGACACTTGACCTTTCGCAAGGTGCCTCAGTGAGCGAATTTTATAGAGGACCGGGACAAGGATGGTGTCAGTGAAGACAGAGACCAGGAAATGTAGTGCTTGCTCGGGATGCTGAGGAGACCCACCTGCCAGGAAGCAGTGTGGTGTTGCGGTCTTGGAAGCTAAGACCAGAGACGCAAGCTGAGTTCAAACTAGGAAGAAATGGAAAGACTCATGAAGCCTGTTGACATTTTGTGACATTCACCCTGCTGGCAGACTTCTTTGTGAGTCAGCGAGCAGTACTTGGGGTGATAGCATTCATAGCATTAAGTGCTGCTCCCCATTTTGTCTGCTGTGGGTAATGCAACTACTGTTGTTTCAAGAAACCTGTTGCAGAGCTGACTTAACATTTGCTTGGGTTTTGTTGCAGGTCCTCCGGGAACTGGAAAAACATCCCTGTGTAAAGCATTAGCCCAGAAACTGACCATTAGGCTTTCAAGCAGGTAACGTGGTAATTCGAGAACGGAGAGCTGGACAAGATTGCCTGTTTCTCTTTGTGGCACAGAGGGGTTTTTATTTTTTCATGATGTCCCTTGACCCACACGAAGTCCCTCTCTTTCAGGCAGGTTAACTAATGCCTCTGTACTCAGCAGTGCCCTGAGACCCTTCTCAGTCATTTTAAATTGATGGTGCTGGCTTTACTTTAAGTATGTGGTCTTTCTGGTGACTGTCCCATACACGTCAGGACACAGTGTCTGCTCTCAGGGATGGGACTCAACGGCAGCTTGGGGTGCATACTGCTCTGGCTGACAGCACTGCTCTGTCACCTGGGAGAGGAGTGGCCAGCCTCTCAGGATGGGTCTGTTTCTCCATCGTTGTGCTTAGACACCCTGTGCCCGTTTTTTCAGCTACCTCCCATTTTCTAGGAACCCATTTATTCACACGTTCAGTCGCCAATATTGTCCCGTGGCCACTTAGGTGCTGTTTTGTCTTAATGGGCTTTTAGAATTTTATGTGTTCCATTTTGGGTCATTTTCTAAAATACCTAATCTGCTGTTAATTCCATTCAGTGACATCTTCATTTCTGATGGTGTTTTTCTTTTCTGGAGGCTCTGCTTGGTTCCTTTTATGCCTCTCAGGTCTCTCGTTGTGCTCTTGCTAAAATGCTCAAGCACTGGCGTTTTGACTTCATTCTCTACTAATTCCATCGTTGTTGTCAGTTCTGAGTCTCTTGATTGATGGTTGTTTCTCTTGCTTTGGGGTCAATTTCTGCTTCTTGTCCTATAGGGTAAGTTTTGATTAAAGGCAAGCATTGTTTTTGTTGGGTTTTGTTCTAGCGAGTATTTCAGTTACTTGTGATTTGGTGTGATCCTCTTAAAGTTTGTTTTTAAGCTTTGTTGGAGAGAGGTCTAGACCGAATGTTGAACCGAGGCCCTTCCGGGGTCTCAGCCTGGCACCCTGAGTGATAGCAGGTACTGTCCACTGGGGCCGTTGGGAACGTGAATGTCCCAGCTGCGAATGCCTGGAACTGTGTGGCTCTCGGCTCTCCGGCCTCCTGGGATTTCTCCTTTGAAGCATACTCAAGTGTTCAGAAAAGACCCAGAAGGACCCCGTGATGATTCCTAGAGTTTTAGTCCTGCTTATCTGCGCCCCTTCTGGAACTCTGCTCTGCAGACCCCAGCTGCTTCAGGCTTCTGGAACTCAGGCCTGTGTTTCCAAGTCCACCCAGCAGCTGCGCACTTTTTGGGTCCCCTCCAGGGTTGTGGTTGGAAGGTGCTGCAGGCAGAGAGCCAGAGCAGTTGTCGGGCTCCCTCAGTCCCGTGTGGGTTAACAGTCCTTCATGTCTGCTGTCCAGTCCCTTCACATGTGCTGTTGCAGTTTTGTCTCTTGTTCTCTGGTTGATTAATTTGGAGAGTTAATCTGATACTTATTGCTCCAGTATGACTTTAGAAGAGGGAATCCTATGAGGTATACTTTAAGTTAATCTATTTTACTTCTTTTAAAGGATGTAATTATTTTTATGTAGGGAAATTGCTCTATTTCTACTGTTTATTCATGTTTAACAACTTGGTATTCATCTTGACTTATTGAAATGCAGCCATGTTTTCAAGATCTCTTGGGGCGGTTTCCTAAAACACCAGAGACTAAGGATGTTACTAATAAATACAACTGTACAACCATCTAGAAATATGCATTTATTTTGTGGCTTATAAATTGTAAGAATAAACCTTAGCCTTTGTTGCTCTACTTATCAAAATGCTTTAGAATTAAACATTAACATTCAGGCCATCTTTATATCGTTAGGTTGTTTCTCTCTTTCCTCTTTTGTAAACAGAAAAGAAGTGATTTGGAAGTGATTATTTTTCTCGTGTGGACTTTCAAGGTGCAGGGGACCTGGCTTAGCTTCCCTTCTGCCTCAGTCTCACCTGTTTGATTTTAGTTAGAACTAAGCCCATGCAGGTCTCGGCCACCTCCAGTGTGCAAAGAGGGTCAGCACTAGATTCCAGTCAGTATGTGGAACGTCACTATGACATTCACTTTGGGGCGTCTGGGCACCCCAGGGCTCAGGCAGTGATTCTGTGTTAGGAAACAGATTGTCACGCTCATTTGGGTTTTACAGAAGAAGGAAAGCTTATTCAGCTCCAGCAAACAACTTCTGATGATGTTTTGTTTTGCTTGCTGTGTTATTATTGGTAGTACTTCTTATAACACTAGGGGTGTGAACTGTGAGTAGGTTAGAAGTAAGGGAAATTTTACTCTTGCTTTGATTCAAATGAAGCTGTTATTCAATTCAAAACACTTTGCTTCAACCAGAACCACCGACCGTATGTCATTAAGTTTTCATAATTATTTGAGCCCTCGTTGGTATTATCTTGAGGTGATTCATTATTACTTCCAGCCTGGTTGGTAGCTGGTGATATAACCAGTTAGTGGGCAGTGTGAAAGAAGGAGTGGTTGCCACTGGGGGTGCCATAGGAATGATTTATAGACCGATTGTCTTAACTTTGTTTTATCTTCCCAGGTACCAGTATGGCCAACTAATTGAAATAAACAGCCACAGCCTCTTTTCTAAGTGGTTTTCAGAAGTAAGTATTGGCATCACTTCTACTTCTCAGGATTGCTGACCACGTAGTTGAAAAGGTCCCACATAGTAGGCAAACTTCCTTTACCAGGAGCATTAGAAATGGTAACACATGACAGTGGGGCTGACTTAAGGGTCAGAGAGAAGTTCCGGAACTAAGCAGTAACTTGGAAATAGTGTGAGACTTGAGAGGACCCTCTGCTGGTCACATCCAGACCTTTGGGTGGGACAGATCCTCAACTTAGGGAGGGGACCCACATTCTAGCAAGGGTCGCATCCTCAGCTGAGCATGCCCTCAGGGCTCAGCCAGGGTGATGCTGTAGGGGCCCTTCACCCAGGAGAGCTCTACATAGGTGCCTGTGTCAGAAGATCCCTCTGGGGTGGTGAGCCAGGATGGGGAACCCCTGTAAGGTGTGCGCCCACCAGCTTATATGTTTGCATACATGACCCATCTTGTTCCTGGTCATGGGGACGGTATGGAAAGAGAAGGAGGAAGTGCACTGAGGTGTGAGGCGCTCATGCCAAGTGGCCCAGAGCTGAGCCAGTGTGGGTCCAGACTCGCTGCCCTGGCACATGGAGCAGGACAAGGTGGCATGTGCGTCGGCCTTCTCCCATGTGGCCCTACCTTCTGGGATTTAGGGATTTCTCCAAGGGGCCCTCAGGAGACAGTGGACTTGTGGGGCCCCCTGGCTCAGACTGAGCTGGGTAGGGACCATGGATTCGAAAGTGCAAGTCAACACTGAAGGATCATTTCGGTTCTAGAGTGGCAAGCTGGTAACAAAGATGTTCCAGAAGATTCAGGACTTAATCGATGACAAAGATGCCCTGGTATTTGTGCTGATTGATGAGGTAGGCATGTCTGGACATCACACCCGGGACTGATGCAAATCCAAGCACTGGCTGAACATGGCCTCCATCCGGCATTGCAATCACGCAGCCCGCTCCTCCTGGGCGTCCTGCGCGGGGCGCTCCCAGCATAACAAGCTCACACGTGCATGCACCTGTTCCTCACTTGCTCAGTTGATGCTCCTGGGGCAATGTACTGGCCTTTTCCACCTTTTGTCCCGTCCCCACAGGTGGAGAGCCTCACGGCCGCCCGCAATGCTTGCAGGGCAGGCACCGAGCCTTCAGATGCCATCCGGGTGGTCAACGCCGTCTTGACCCAGATCGATCAGATTAAGAGGTAATGGTGATGTGGTGGCAGCACATGAGGAGCCAAGGCAGAGTGTGAGGGGCCTGCACACCCCTAGGTCTTAACTTCTGCCTCCTGTTTTATGGAGATGGGGTTGCTGCTGCTGAGTATTCGTTCTGTCTACGCCCATGTGAAGTATAGTGTATCTGTTACATGCAGAGCTTAGGAATTAAGTACTTGTACTAAACTACTAAAAACATAAAGCGAAGCTTGAGTGTAAAAGGTGGTCACAGCTGGGGTGCGGCCCTGCCCTCCAGAGTGGCACTCAGGAGCCAGCTTGCTACATGTGGACTTGCAGGGAACTGAGCTGTGCTAAGGGCTCTTTGCTCCAGGCCTTCGGGGAAGTTTCACCACAGAGAGGCTCTGGCTGCCTAAGACACTGCTATTGGCTATTGGGGTCCGCGGGGCCACTTGTGTGAGGTACGGGCCTGCCCGTACGTCCTGCCCTGCCCCCATCTGGCTTCCACCCCTGCCTCCTTCACCTGAGGGCCATTGCTCTCCAAGGAGTTGGCGACAGCATCTGACCCCGGCAAACCTCTCCTCCCTCCACTCTCCAGGCCACCTCAGTTTCTGCCACTGGCCTCTCCTCTCTTCAGGCGGCCTGGGCAGCCCATGCCTGGCCTTCTACCCTCTTCTGTCGCTCAGCCTTCAGAGGCCTGTGGTCTTCCTGGACCAGGTCAGGTGCACTCATTCAGCACTGAAACCCCCACATCCAGGGCTCCCAGGGCATGGATGGCCTCGTGGGGTACCACTACTCGAGCCAGTAGGTGGGGCCCCACGCCCCTGGGACCTTGTAGGGTAGGCTCCAGAGGGGATGGTGACACGTGGGCCTCTGGTCTTGCGCACCTTCCTGTCCCCTTTACTTCAGGTCCCTCGGGGTGACTTCCCAGCCAGCCTTTGTGTGGGTCTGACTCCTGGGCTCCTAGGATCCAAGCACTCCCCGCCCCCACCTTCACTGGTTCACCCCTGCTCACCTTGCATTATGCATCCAGCAGCTAAAGCTGGCCCTCTGGCCCTAGGGGACCCTGCGGCGTCCACCGCCCGTGAGCCCCCGCGGCTGTCATATGCCTGCTCTGTGGTGGCCCACATCAGTGAGCAGACTAGACAAAGGTGCCTTCTCGTGCAGCTTCGGAGCTAAAGGGGAAGGAGCTGGTACCTAGGATAAATAGTCTGCTTCATGACATGTGGGGGTGATGAGAACATGTGCAGAGCAGTTACTGGGCAGGTTGATGGGGTGGTCAGGGCTCTGCACACAGGTGAGAGCTTGGCTGCACTGTGGCTGAGGGAGGAGAGGGAACAGTTAAGGGGGGGGGGCGGCGCTGGTACCTAGGAGAACTTTCCAGAAGGCAGAGGAGTAGAGGATCTGCTTGGTGTCTTGTGTCGCTGTCAAGAGAGCCTGATGGGAGTCGGGGTCCGGCAGGCGCTCAGGGATGAGCCTTGGAAGGCCTTATGGGCTGGTGTCGGGACATGGAGTGCAGCCTGCTGGAACGCTGGCTGAACACTGGGACCTCCAGGAACGGGGTATGAGGGAGTCATGGAGGCACCTGGTGACTGGCATGTCCTCTGCCTCCAGGCACTGCAACGTGGTAATTCTGACTACTTCTAACATCACGGAGAGGATTGACGTGGCCTTTGTGGACAGGGCTGACATCAGGCAATACATCGGGCCACCCTCTGCGGCAGCCATCTTCAAAATCTACCTCTCCTGTTTGGAAGAACTAATGAAGGTACTGGCTGTTCTTTCATTCTTTTAGCAGTGGATTTCTGGTGTTCTGTTCTGTTTGTTCCCTGACATAGCTCAGAATAGATCATTCCAACATGGAGTTAGTTATCTGATCATGACGTTAACCCTTTTAGGTTGAAAACTGCAGTTATGACTTGAAGGTTGAGTTGATATTTGAAATTGTGGCCACTGATTCATTAGGTCAGCCTGACTGGATGTCACGGTGCTCAGGGAAGTCAGCCTGACCAGTGGTCACGGTGCTCAGGGAAGTCAGCCTGACCGGAGGTCACGGCCCACGGGGAGGTCAGCCTGACTGGAGGTCACAGCCCACGGGGAGGTCAGCCTGACGAGGTCACGGTGCTCAGAGACGTCAGCCTGACCAGAGGTCACAGCGCATGGGAGGTCAGCCTGACCGGAGGTCACGGCGCTCGGGGAGGTCAGCCTGACCAGAGGTCACGACTCGGGGACGTCAGCCTGACCAGAGGTCACGACTCGGGGACGTCAGCCTGACCAGAGGTCACGGCGCACGGGAGGTCAGCCTGACCGGAGGTCACGGCGCTCGGGGAGGTCAGCCTGACCAGAGGTCACGACTCGGGGACGTCAGCCTGACCAGAGGTCACGGCGCATGGAGGAACCCCGCCTGGCACCACGGAGCTGGGGCCCCAATGCCCCCAGCAAGGATGACGTCGCCCATGGTGGGCATGGGAGAACTGGTCGTGGTGTGTGCATCCCACCCTGCTTTTCTGTGGCAAAGAGAAAGGGAGGTGCCCTATGGAGCTGTGATTTGAGGTCCTTGGTAAACTTCAGAAAGTGTCGCTGTCGGGAAGTCGGCATGGTGAGATCCTGCCAGCAGTCACAAGCGCACGGAGGCTGTGCATCCAGAAGATGCTCTAAGGCTTAGACAAACGTATAGACTTTTCTAGGAGCTGAGCATGTGGGGCAGGGGTGGTTCTTTAGATGGTTTACAGGGAATGAAGACATTCCAGTGGCCTAGTGCAGATTTGGCTGCTCCTGAAGGCCGTCACCTGAGACTGGCCCACTGTGTCAGGAGCCAGCAGTTCTCGTGTGCCTGGATGGCCTGTGTCACGGGCGGGCGGGGGGGAGGGGGCAGTCCCAGGAAGGCTGCAGGGGGCCTGAGGGACTGTCACTTTAGAAAGAGGAGAACAAGGAATGCCTGGGTGGCTCAGTGATTGAGCGTCTGCCTTCGGCCTAGGGCGTGTGATCCTGGAGTCCCACATCGGGCTCCCTGCATGGAGCCTGCTTCTCTCTCTGCCTGTGTCTCTGCCTGCGTCTCTGTGTCTCTCATGAATAATAAATAAATAAAAATGGAAGGAAGGAATGAAAAGAAAGAGAGAAAGAAGGAGAGAAAGAGAAGGAAGGAAGGAGGGAAAGGAAAGGAAAAAGGAAAAGAAAGAAAGAAAACACTCCTAACACAAACCATGTTTCTTAAATTTACCCACAGTCTTCACCAACCCTCCAAAAAGAGTTCACGTGAGGAGTCATTCCACAGTGGTCACTGGGCACCCTAATGCATTTAGCCTGGGCGGGAACTCGGGCCCAAGTCCAGGGTCAGGCTGCACCATTGGACCACACAACAGTCTGATCATAAAAATGATGCATGAAGACTGTCCTAGAAAGGCCAACTCAGGCCAGGTCCTGGCTCCTGGGCCAGCTCTGCTCCCCTGGGCTAAGGTGTAGCACTGAAGCCCAGGACCAGGCAGGCCTGGGCCCCCCAAATCCCTCCCTGCCATGACAATGCAGTCAAGACACCTCCTGACCAAAGGCACAGAAGAGGGTGGGCTGCTGCTCCCTGAGGCGTGGTTTTCCCTGTCTTGGAAGGAATGGGGGTGTGCATATGAGCAAGAGGGGAGCGGCCGGCAGCTGGTGTGGCTGTGCCCGCACTGCCATGGGATGGCATGTGGTCGCCTGCTCCCTGGGTGCCGTCCCCGTGGCTGACAGGGAAGGCACACTCTGCCCTGCCGAGCCTGCCGTAATGCCCTGTCTCTGTCTCCAGTGTCAGATCATATACCCTCGCCAGCAGCTGCTGACCCTCCGGGAGCTGGAGATGATTGGCTTCATTGAAAACAACGTGTCGAAGTTGAGCCTTCTCCTGAGTGAAATTTCAAGGTGTGAATTGACTCCGTTGCACCAAGAAAAGTGCCTCTGTTGTGGTGATGGGTGGGGCGTAGCTGGCTGTAGCAGCCTGAGGTGGCAGTTTGCTGTCCAAGGGCAGGGAGTTGAATCCTGAGGCCTCTGTCCTGTACGTGCCAAGGGCCCTTGACCACTGCGGTCTCGGGTTCCTGGGCCAGAGTGTCAGCTGCCCTCCCACAGGCGGCTTTCAAAACTTGGAAACAGCACGGTGCTTCTGTCTGTAAAGGTAGACGTTCAAATCAAGGCTCTCGACATCTCAATGGTTTTAAAATGGTATTTGTAAAATTTGTACAAACTGCCAAGAAGAAAACATGGTAAGCTTCTGTTTGAGCAAGCGGAGCTCAAAGAACTGCAGCGTCCTGTGCTTGGTGCTTTGGGAGGGGAAGGAGAGAGCACACCCAGAGCCCTGGCTGTCAGGAGGGACGTGCTCCGCCCTGAGCCTCGAGGGGGGGCCGCACATGCGTGGGGGCCCACGACTACAGTGCTGTCAGCCTCCCAGATGGCTTTGGTGATCGAGGGCATGAGGAGGGAAGGCAGGGAGATGGAGCAGAGCCTCAAAGGACAGAACTGTGATAAACTGAAGAGAGATGGGATGGCCGCAGGTGCCCTGTGTGCAAGGGGACCTCAGCTGGGTCATGCTGCAGAGATGGCCACAGTCCCCAGGCCATGTTCTGCCCAGGGAGCATGAACTTTCTGAAGCCATGAGGCTTGTGGAAGGTTTTGAACAAAGGGATAGCCTGATGAACATTGTTTTTTGAGTAAATCTGTTGAAGAGATTTAAACTGATTGACAAGGGGCCGGGAGGGGCATTCAGACACTTGTGCAAAAGTACTAGATTCGGACCAGCCTGGTTCCTGGGGGCTGTGCCGCTGGCGGTGCCTATGGTGTCGTGTGTGCTCCAAGGCAGGTGGTGTGTCGTCCCGCCTTGGGCCATAGCTGGGGACTGGGGGAGACCAGCCCCCCTCGAGACCCACTGGTGGGGGGACAACGTTCAGAGATGAGGGAACCCGGCTTGAACCTGTTCCCCAAATCTGGTTCTGCCCACAGGAAGAGTGAGGGCCTCAGTGGCCGCGTCCTGAGAAAACTCCCTTTCCTGGCTCACGCGCTGTACATCCAGGTGAGTCTTCCGCGGCCGTCCCTGCCTCTGGCTCTCTGCCCTCCCTGCCACTGCTCTGTGTGGCAGGGCAGAGCCTCGCTGGGCATCGCATGGGACACCATCAACCTGATTTCTCTCCATGTCTAAGAGATGGGCTCCTGGGCAAGAGGAGGCTTATGGCTCGCTGCCTCTGTGGTGACCAGGGGGTGCTGGCGCCTCACACACATGCGTGGCTCACTGAGAGCCATACTGGCCCTCCCTGACCCTCGCTGACCCTCCCTTGCCCTCCCTGGCCCTCTCTGACTCTCCCTGGCCCACCCTGGCCCTCCCCAGCCCTCCCTGCCCCACTTGGAGCATCCATGCAAAATAGCATGGTGGAGTCCCCCTGCCTGTCCCATGCTGTGGCTGTGCCCCTGCACCTGCTAGTGGCCCTGGCGAGGGCAGGCACAGCCCACGTGCCCGTATCTCCTTCTAGGCCCCCACCGTCACCATTGAGGGCTTCCTCCAGGCCCTGTCTCTGGCGGTGGACAAGCAGTTTGAAGAGAGGAAGAAGCTCTCATCTTGCATTTGATCTGGGCTCCTGGCCCCAGGATTTCTAATTGTGAACACGACCGGAAGTGATGTCACTCCTCACGGCAGCAACTGCCCAGAAATCTCCCAACACTCAGCCCAGGTGTACAGGCCAGAAGCCCACAAGGCTGAGCAGTGTTCACAGACATGTGTTATTATTTACGTGTTTTTAAGACAAACATCCTGTTGTGTTCACTGTTTTGAAAGACGATCACTTAAGTTCTGTCCTGTAAAGAACCGTCTTGTGCTCATTTCATTCTGTGTCTGGTCGATCGGACACAAAATGCTGACAAATGTTGGAAGAAGGCAGTTAACATAGGTTTTAAGAAACAAAAGAGAAAACTTACCGCCTTAAAGAAGAATGTAATCGTAGCATTAAAAATGCCCACCTCACTGAAGCCAGAAGGCAGCCTTTGCTTCCTGCCTCAAGCTTGTTTTGTTTACTGCAAACACTTCAGACCCATGAATAAAGAACACCCTATTCCTGTGTCCTGAGACTTGAGACAAAAATTGCAGGTAGAGCATTCTTCCCAATACTCTGCTGGTGCTGTTTGAGGGAAAGGTTCAGCCTCCGCGTCAGGGGGCCTGTGCCACACCCCTTGGCGTCTGCAACAGGTGGTGTCGTGCAGCCTGTCGCGTCGTTCCTTCCCTCACGTGCCCGTGGCTCCGGTGCAGATTCACGTGAACAATGTAAAGTGGCTGAGAATCAGGGTGTCTCATGGAATGCCAGGTTTTGCTCTTATCTGATGCTAAAATTCTGTTTGTGTTTTATATACGTCTCTGAGGAACATGTTACTCTTTGTTACAGAACTTTGTAAGTACTAAAACTTTTTCCCCAGACTTTTCTCACTTTGAATTTTATTAAAATATTATTCACATGAATAATTAGCCTTGAACCTGTGCCATACTTTGAGTTGTAGGAGGGGACTGTGCCCGTTTGTGGGAATGGCACCAAGAACCAGATTCAGAGCCTGGAGCCTCCTGCCTGGAGACCAGAGCCTGGCCCTGTGGTTCCCTCGAGACCCTGAAGTGGGGGTCAGGAAAAGGGGCGCGCCATGCTCCAGGATCAGGGACCCTGAGAACTTCATCTGGCCAGTTTGCTACTGAAATGCCTGCTACCTGGGTGCCCAGATGGAAGGAAGGGGCCAAGGCCCTGGGCTGGTGCAGGTGGGCAGAAAGACGGGGGTGTGGGGGGGTAGGTGGCAGGGGGAGGAGGGGCCCGGAGGGACAGACTAGGTGGGCACAGGGCCCTAGAGGCCAGCCCCACAGGCAGAGGACAAGAAATCTAAGGGGGGGTAGGGTCCACCAGACCAAGACCCGTTTCTCAGAAAGTCGGTTCCAGATGCTCTTGGGTGCATCTGATGCGTCTGCCTGTGGGCCACTAGAGGGTGACACTGCCCCGTGCAGTGGGACAGGAGGGGTTTCCAGGGCTCAGCAAGGGCCCTGGTGTAGACAGACCAACTGGTCAGCAGAGGCCCTCTCTTCTCCCCATGTGCCATGTGTGTCCACATGTGTTTGTGCCTTGGGACATGTGTAGGTACAGACTTCCCACCTCTTGGGAGCCAGCAGGGGCCTCGGGGACACAGTGTTCTCAGCCTGTCATGCTTCCTTAGGACCTAGCTCACAGGTGAGTTTAAGAAGCTGTAGGGGCCAGTCCCACCCACTCAGCCGTCCTGAGGGGCCTGCTGGAGACGGGTGGGCCAAAGTGTAAGAAGGGGGCCACACTGGGCCCCGGGACAGAGGACACAAGCCCAGTCTCCTTCCTGGCACAGGCTGTTGTGGGCACTTCATGGGTGGTGGCCCCAACTCCCCATGTGCTCGTCGCTGGGCACGGCTAGGTGCTCCTAGGGGCTCCCTGCCCCGGGGGCAGGTTCATGAGGGGCAGCTGGACCATGTCCTTGTGGTTTGCAGCCCACTCCGCATTGGAGAAACAGGCCAGAGCGCTGCCTCCCTGCCACAGCTGCCCGGGGGCCGTGAGCTTGATCCATGGGGAGGTGAGCACCACACAGGCAAGGCCTCTTCTGAGTCCTCCAAATCAGGGAGCACAAGCCACAACCCAAGGCCCCCTAGACCACCGTAGCCACGAGGCTGTGCTTGGCGAAGGGGTGTGGGCACCCGGGCCAGTGGGGCTACTGCATAGCCAAGCCTGAGGGTGTCCACGGTCATCACAGGGTTGTGGTCCCAGAAGTTCCAGGCAGTGAGTGAACAGGAATGGGAGAAGCCCCCTGCCCCCTTCTACCACGTGCTGCTGGAGGCTGGGTTCCCAGGTGGTCTCCTGCTCTCTCCCAATGGGCGGGACCCGATGTAGAGAACTCGGCTCAATCTCAACAAGCGCAGCCAGGAGATGCAGGTGGCGTTGTGGCCATGTGGGCCCTCAAGCACCGAGGCCTGGTCCCTAGCCCCCTGTGCCCACCCACCCTCCTTGGCTGCCATGGCTCCACCTGGCCTCCAAGGGCCTTTGCACCAGGGGTAGCTCATTCCCCGGTCTTTGCTGAGGGATCCAACCCCATGTCCCGCGGAAGCTCCTGAAGTCCCGAAGGCTCGCAGGCCTGTCTTTCCCTCCAGCTCCCTGGCAGCATCCTGGGGTTGGGCAGGTCCCCAGCTGTGCTCTTCAGCCCTGGTTTGGGGCCACGGCTAGAGGCTAGAAGGTCCGACAGGTCTGGGGTAGACTCGGGGCCTGTTCACCCAGACGGCGTATCCCTGGGTAATGGTCTGGGATCCCATAGGGGCGCTGAATGGTGGGGTCTCCGCAGAGCACTCAACCATCTTGGGTCCAGCTGCTCAACCACAGAATTCTCTGCTTTTCTGCTGTGTAAGCTGTGCTTCCCTGAGCATCTGCAGACTCTGGCCCTCACGCTCCCCTGCGGTCATCCCTTTCATGCACACAGGACGCCCTCAAACCTTAGTAACCACCACCCACCGCCCTGTCCTTGCATTGGTCATTCCTGTGAGCACCTCACACCCCTCTGGCTTCTGTGCAGGTGACAGCCAGCCTCCTCTGTCCCTGCTGGCTGAGTACCTTCCCCACCAGGTGGTGAGCACCCCACCAGGGAAGAAGCAGGATTTGGCAAGGACGCCTTCAGACTGCCAAGCAGACTCAACCCTTTGCACTTAGTCAGCCACAGGGCCACCGGAGCCAAGACGGGCTGTCGGCAGAGGCCCTGTGGGGAGAAAAGACTGGCCCCTTGCACTACTGTGGGGGTCACTTACAAGCAAATGCGTCCCATGGATGCTGGTGAGAAATTCAAGACTTTGGGTGGCAGAGGGAGGTCTTCGTGTCTCAGGGCACAGCGAGCAGCATGGGGTACCATGCTCCCTTGTCCCTCTTGTTGCCGTGCCCCGCAGGGCCACGACCTGGACCAACAGTACAGATGGAACCTTCTCTGCCCTGTGGGCTCTCACCGAGGGCTGGAAACCTTCTCCAGCAGGTGAGTCCCATCTGCAGTCATGTGCCCGTTTTCACTGCCACGTGAGTTTCCAGCATGTGGCCAGGGTTCCTCTGCCTCGACCGCAGGAGTGGTCGCTGGGCGGCCGGCTTCCTCTCTGCAGGCCGTCACGACCGCAGGCCTGTGCCCCAGTGTCGAGCTGTGGCGGCGCCCACCCTTCAACCCCCTCACCTGAGCTGCCATTTCAGCCTGGAGAACTGTCCGTGACCTCAGTTGCCATTTCCCATGATGTTCTTTCTTCTCTGTCTCCTGATTATGGTTTATGACAAAACTCCACTGCCGTTGATGAGCTGGGCCCTGCTGGATGTCGTAGCCGTGGTTTCCAACTGGAATGCACCCTTCTCTACCATCACCACATATCATGGGAGCGCTTCCTTTCCTACCAGCTTATGGAGTGGTTATTCCTGGAAACTTTGCTTCTCTTTTCCAGAGTCATCATTTGGGGCTGGTATTGCCTGAGTCTCAATCCATGACCGGCTCCCCTCTGCCTTTGCCTCCTGACTTGTCCTTGGTGGTCAGACACCTTCCTCCCTCCGTGATCTCTCACTTGAGCCTGGAAATCACCTGTCTCCGCCACCTGCCTGCCGCGGAGCGTCTGCTGCATCTACAATTGTGGCTGACAAGCCCCATCTCATCCACACGAGCCCTCCCCTCCCGTGAGGTCTGCTTTCGTCCACCCGACTTGTGAATGGTCACCGGAAACCCCCCTTTCTGCGTCACCCGAGCTCACACTGGCACCTGGGGCCTTCCTCACAGGTCACAGGAGTTTTGTTTACACCCGGCAGCCTTGGGTGTCCTGTCATCCAGTTATCGTTTGTGACTCGTGGTCTCTCTCCTCACCACCTGAGTCATCCTTGCTGATCAGAGGCTGTCTTAGTGTCTGCAGTTATTCTTTCGTATGAGAAGCCTTCCTTCTGTAGCATCTGAGTTATCAGTAATGACTAGAACCTTCCTCATCAGCTCCCACGTACCTCTTGAAACCTCTTCCCATCCTGTGGGTGGCGGCTGATGACGGAGTCTTCTGTGCAGCCACCTGTGGCTCTGTCACCTTCCCTCACTCATCCACCTCCATTTGTCACAAACCCCTGGAAACACGGCTCCCCAGCATCTGGGCACAGTGTAGGGCTGGAAATCTCTGTCTGCCCCACTGAGTTACTAGGACTAAAATCATTCTCTCTCTGTCAAAGCTGAGTTCTCCTTTTTGACCAGAAGCTTCTCTCCATGTTAGCCGAGCCGCCATTGATGGCTGTGGCGGGGTTCTATCTAGCGCTCTGACTGAAGAGCGGAGGCTGTCTCTACCCCAGCGGCCATCCATGACCAGAGGTCTCTATGGGCTGATTTACCACATGCCCTGGAGCCACACTCCCTCTGCTGCCTGTGTCACCGCTTGCGACCAGAGAGCCCTTCTTGGCCATCTGAGTTACTTATGACTGGAAACATCCCTTCCTTACCGCCCAGGTGTCATTTCCAAGCGACAACCTTGTCTTTCGCCTCCTAAGTTTTCACACACTCCATGAACTGTTCCTCCCATCTCCTGACCTACACACAGAAAACCCTCCTCCTGCATCCCCTGACTTGTCCCGGGGTGGGAGGGTCCTTTCTCTCCTTCAAGTCCTCCCCTGTGGGTGCCTCCATCCCCAGAGCCTTGCGCTGCTCACCTGTTTGGCTCTCGATGGTCTTCTTGTCTTCGCCCAGCAGTGTTTTCCTGGAGAAAGCAGGCATGTTGAATGGCCGCTGTGAATCCGCGCATCCTGACTACTCTCGAGTTAGTCTGGGGCACAGATGATCTTTGTCGCTTTAGTTTTCTGTCTCCTGGGAAGGAGCCCACTGAGAGCGTGTGTTCCGGGAGCGCTCCACGAGGCCAGGTTACCCAGGAGGCTACGGGTCTGCTTGTCCCCGAGCCTTTCCTCTGTCTCCCCAAGGCCATGAGGGAAAGGAGGCCCTCCCTCAACCACTTGGGTCAAGTCACTTGCTCTCACGTACATCAGCGTTTTGGTTTCTTTTTGAGTTTTTCAGAAAATAAGGGTGTTTTCCGATGCTTGTCACTCTGCCATGTATGGTGCCGACAGTGTGCAGCAGCCACTGCTCCTGGCCTGGACCGGGCATGTGGGACCCTGTGTCTAGGGGCGCTGGGGGAGGTGGGGACCCCACTGCCCTGCCAGCAACTCTGGAGAGACAGTGCCAGCCCGCAGCTACTGTGCCGAACCACACATGAGCCCTAACTGCATTGCCTCCTGGGGGCTAACCTGCTTGCTCCCAGCTACAAGTGGCCCTGTGAAATGCAAGCCCAGTCTGTGGGCCCCTTCATGCTGGATTCAGTTCCTGAAGACTGCCATGTGCTTGGCCCTTCACCTGGCCCAGGGAGTGGATGCACCTGTGCCCACGCTGCCCTTGGCTCTGACCTTCACTGCTGCATGGGACACTGTGATGAGG